GAGCCTAGACACCCGCTCCAAGATGACCAAGTTGGAGAAGCAGCCCGACTTCATTGTCGGCGGCGAGCTTCGTGAATTCCAGTTGAAGGGCCTCAACTTCCTGTGCCTCAACTGGACTCGCGGCAACAATGTCATTCTTGCCGACGAAATGGGTCTGGGTAAGACGGTCCAGACTGTCTCGTTCCTCAGCTGGTTGCGCAATGCCAGGCGCCAAGAAGGACCATCTCTTGTCGTTGCTCCGCTCAGTGTCATCCCAGCTTGGTGCGACACATTCAACAATTGGTCACCAGACATCAACTACGTGGTATATCTTGGACCAGAGGATGCTCGAAGCATCATCCGCGAGAACGAGCTTATCATCAACGGCAATCCAAAGAAGCCAAAGTTCAACGTCTTAGTTACTTCTTACGAATTCATTTTGCAGGACTGGCAATTCCTACAATCCATCAAGTGGCAGGTCTTGGCCGTCGACGAGGCGCACCGTCTGAAGAATAGCGAATCTCAGCTATACCAGCGCCTAGTGGGCTTTGGTATCCCCTGCAAGATTCTCATTACCGGAACCCCGATCCAGAATAACTTGGCCGAGCTGTCTGCCCTCCTCGACTTTTTAAATCCCGGGAAAGTGACCATCGACGAGGACTTGGACTCGCTCTCCGCCGCAGATGCCCAAGAGAAACTGCAGGAGCTTCATCGGTCCATTGCCCCATATATCCTACGACGCACAAAGGAGACAGTCGAGTCCGACTTGCCACCCAAGACGGAAAAGATTATCCGAGTTGAGCTTTCGGATGTGCAGCTGGACTACTATAAGAACATTCTTACGAGAAATTATGCGGCCCTGTGCGATGCTACAAACGGGCACAAGAACTCTCTTCTTAACATCATGATGGAGTTGAAGAAAGTCAGCAACCACCCTTACATGTTTCCCGGAGCAGAGGAGAGGGTTCTGGCCGGTAGCACGCGTCGCGAGGATCAAATCAAGGGCCTGATTGCAAGCAGTGGCAAGATGATGTTGATTGACCAACTGCTGTCCAAGCTGAAAAAGGACGGACACAGGGTTCTGATCTTCAGCCAGATGGTCAGGATGCTGGATATTCTAGGTGACTACCTTTCTCTCAGAGGGTACAAGTTCCAGCGACTCGACGGCACCATCGCAGCGGGCCCGCGACGCATGGCCATCAACCATTTCAACGCAGAGGATAGCGAGGATTTTTGCTTCTTGCTCTCAACTCGTGCAGGTGGTCTTGGCATCAACCTTATGACTGCGGATACCGTCATCATTTTTGATTCTGATTGGAACCCCCAAGCAGACCTGCAAGCCATGGCTCGAGCTCATCGTATCGGACAGAAGCGGCCGGTCAACATTTACCGACTTGTATCCAAAGAAACGGTAGAGGAAGAGGTTTTGGAACGCGCACGCAACAAGCTTCTTCTGGAATATCTGACCATTCAGGCTGGCGTCACTGATGATGGAAAAGCCAAGTTCAAAGAGGAGCTCAACAAGAAGGGCATCAAGATCGACGGCCCATCCACTTCGGAGGACATTCAGATGGTCCTGAAAATGCGATCGTCCAAGATGTTTGAGCAGAGCGGCAACCAACAGCGACTGGAGCAGCTCGACATCGACTCAATTCTGGAAAATGCCGAAATCACAAAGACAAAGGTTGACGACAAGATTAACCTGAGCAGTGGCGGTATTGACTGGGATAATTTTATGCAAATTACAGATGTCAAAGTAGATGATATCAACCTCGACTGGGACCAGATTATCCCGGCCGACAAACTCGCCGAGATCAAGGCGGAAGAAGAAAAGAAGCAACACGAGGATTATCTCGCAAAGGTTGCAGCTGAGAGTGCGCCGCGAAGAGCGGCAGTGAAGAGCCGCAACAAGGATATGGAGCGCGCAGACCGCCTGAAGAAGCGCCAGAGAGAGCAGCAACAAGAAGAGGAAGAGCAGCGCGCCTTCTTGGCAGACCCCAAACGCCCCCTGAACGATAAGGAACAGCGAAATCTGATCAAAGCCTACTTCCGGTTTGGTTCCATGGAGGATCGCAGCGCCGACATCATCCAGGAGGCTAAGCTTGGGGAGAGAGATCCCGATTTTGTCAAATCAGTCTTGGATGACTTTATCAAAGCTGCTCAGCAAGCCGTGGATGACAACAGCGCCAAGCTTGCCGAGGAAGAAAAGAAGATGGGCAAGACTTTGACAAAGAAGGACAAGAAGGCTGTGCTGATCGATTTCGGCGAGCTGAAAAAGGTCAACGCTGAGACTGCTATTGAACGGCCTAAGCAGCTGCAGCTTCTTCGCCAGGTGATTCGTGGTCATTCAGAGTGGAAAAATTTCCGGGTGCCTGACGCCACCAAAGCGGCCAACTATAGCTGCCCCTGGGGAGCCAAGGAGGATGCCATGCTTCTTGTTGGCATTGACAAGCACGGATTCGGCGCGTGGGCCCAGATACGCGACGATTCGGATTTGGACATGCAGGAGAAGCTCTTTTTGGAAGAGCACCGAGTGGGCAAAAAGGAGGAAAGATCCAAAGGCAATGATAAGCTTAAAGCTCCTGGCGCTGTTCATCTCGTGCGCAGATCAGAATATCTCCTTTCCGTTCTACAATCAAAGCACTCAAATGATCGGTCGGTTCAAAAGGCGGTGGAGAACCACCATCGCAACAACAAGAAGCTCCACGCAGTCAATGGCACTCGCGGCAGCAGCTCGACGACGGCCTCGACAGGTCTCAAAAGACAACGAGAACGAGAGAGGGACCACGGGTCGTCTGAACAGCGATCCCGGATTGCCGGAGAGGAGGGTGGATTGGCAAGACCTGATTTCAAGCGCAAGCACGCATCTCACGAAGACGCCCGCAGCCCCAAGCATCGGCGCTCTGAGGACCCGCGTCGGTCTAGCAAGGGAGTTGACGATCATCGCGACGGCCGTATAGAGAAGCGACGGCATCGTGAAGATGACGATCGCCGCCATGACAGATACCGTCGCGAGGAGTATCGCCGCGATGATTATCGGCGTGATGACCGTCGGGACGACCGCCGAGATGATTACCGCAGGGATGACCGCCGGGACGACCGTCGTGACCGGGACCGGGACCGAGAACGTGATCGTGATCGTGACCATCATCGTGACCGTGATCGTGACCACAACCGCGATCGGGATCATCACCATCACCGGGATCACCGAGACCGCGACCATGCAACCCGACACTTGGATGAGCGCAGGGTCAAGGCGCTCCGGAGGTTGGATGAGTTACGACGCATTGGTGATGATAAGGACCAAAGGGCCAAGGACAATGATGCTATGATTTGGTTCCTCTTGAAACCGGTGAGAGATAACTTTGAGAGAATTCTCTCAACCACCAAAGACAGCGTCAAGTCTAGCAAGGAGCGCGCAGCCATCTTTGGAGCTGAGCTGGTGGCCATTGGGTCGTTTCTCGACGAGAAGCTGCCGGCAACAGTCGCAGACGATCGTCTCAAAAACAACTTTTGGTAAGTGGTGGTAGACGATATTTCCAATATTCAACTCCTTTTTTCCCCTGCTAACTTTGGCATTCAGGGACTTCCTGGCGGCTCTTTGGCCTGTGGATGATACCAGCAAGAGCGTCACGGGTGATCGACTGAGCTCAATGTATCGTACGCTTCACGCTCGCAACAAGACGAAAAGTTCTGAGCCCAGTCCCGCAAAGCTCAACGGCACACACGCTGTTCGGTGATTGAAGAAGTAACGACTGAAACAAGCAAAAAAGGGGAAGTTGGTGTTTAGATTTGTTCTGCGACAAGTTTATAAAAGAAGAGCTTGACATTTATTTGCATCGTCTGGCGTTTGGTATTAGGTGGCATTATGGTTCAGTCACAAAAGACTCGGCTGCAACAACATACCCGGATTTGCATGGAAAAAGACACAAGACGACACGCGTTGAGGAGTTTGTTTATACCGGCCGGCCGGCTTGACGAAGACTTTGACGTCTCATCTCTGGTCTGCCTGCCGAGTTGATTTTGAGAATGTTGTATGTTTGGCTTGACTGTGATGAAGGGGGGAGAGGAGGAATGCTCCTTTTTGCTACCTTGTCCTTTTTCTTTCTACCTTTCGCATTTTATTTTTCTGACTTGTGTTTTTATTTTACTATTGGTGACAAGAGCTTGCTCATGTCGCCAGATGAGGGTACATGTTATACCAAACATTCTCCGGACATTGGACGGGGGGAAGGGGGGAGATGACGGATTTTTTTTTCTTTTTTTACGAATGTAATATGAGCGGCTATACGGCTTCTTTTATTTCCTCTCTTGTTTTTCCTCCCACCATGGGGGGCTTTTGCTTTTTTTTTTAAACCCTCCCTATCTTGTTCTACGGACAGTAATTAGAGGAGCGAGTTGAGCAAGTTGGCTGATGAGGACGCACAAGTTTGATAGTCACCAAGCCCAGGCACAAAAAAAAAAACAGCCTGAGGCAGAGGAGGAGCCAATAGATGAATAAAATACTTGAGCTATCCATCTGTGATTGCCTGTGGCGATGTTTTACTGCATGTGGTTTGGCGTACGAGGCCAATATGTGCAAATAGATGAATTAAAGGCAGGGAGATTGATGCATCTCGGCGTGGCACCATGTGAGTGGGTGAGTCGGCTTGTGGCCGCTTATACATGCAGCACTTGAAACCCCCTTGCATGTAGATGATATTATTCTGGTTCTGCTTTTAAGACAGCCGGTTTTTGGTGCTCAAGGACCGAGACTATTTTAATCACGCATCCAGCTCATGGCCATTGAGTAATTTTTCTTCTCCTGGTCCATCGTCTTTTGCTCTGTCATTTGTGCCTGGTGCATGTTCACGTCAGATTTCCCTCTATATTCATAATTCACCGTACCTACCTATCCAGCTGTATACCACATATCTGCCTACCTACCTAGGTATCTAACCTACGTACTTCGAACATAATTGAATACATACATATCATCCTCTTCGATCACCAGCTTCAATGCCTCTTCCTCTGCCCTTTACCAAACATGTCGCAGAGCTCACCGTCCTCCGCGCCGCCCTGCTGACCAGAAGAGTCATCTCGGCCGTCACGGAAATCTCCAAGCACGATGCGACGCCCGTGACCATGGCCGACTTTGGCGCCCAGGCGCTCATCATGGCGAGCCTTCACGAAATCTTCCCCAGAGACAACTACGTGGGCGAGGAAGACGCAGGGACGCTGCGCAAGGACGAGGCGCTGGCGGCGACCGTCTTTGAGCTTGTGCGCGAGACCAGCTACGACTTTGCAAAGCACGAGTCGGTCAATGCCGACGAGTATCGGGCCGTGATTAGCCTGCCGGGCGTCATGTCGCAGGCCGACATGCTGGACTTGCTGGACCTGGCTGGGCGCGGGACGCCGAGGTCCACGGGCAGATACTGGGTCATGGATCCTGTCGACGGCACGGCCACGTTTCTCAAGGGCCAGCAGTATGCCATTTCGCTGGCGCTGATCGACAACGGCAAGGAGGAGCTGAGCGTCGTGTGCTATCCGAACCTCAGCCTCGACGACGGCGTGGTGTCCGAGACGGGCGTCGACACCACAGGTTGCGGCGTCATGTTGTCGACGATCCGCGGCGAGGGCACCGACTACCGCAAGCTGTCGACGGAGTACTATCTCGGGCCGGCCAGAAAGCTGGATCGCTTCTCCGCGCCGGTGAGCCTTGCGGACCTGCGTCTTGTCGACTGTCTGGCCAGCAAGTCGTCTCGTCTGGACATCGCCGAGGGCCTGGCAAGGCAGCTTGGCGCGCTGCCCTTCCCCGGCATCGATCTGTGGTCTTCGCACGTGCGATATGGAGCCCTGATGCTCGGCGAGGGACAGGAGGGGAAGCACATCATGATTCGCGTGCCTGTTGGCGCCCGCAGCGATCCTTCTCGCGCCTACATCTGGGACCACGCCGGCTCGCAGCTCTTGTACACGGAGATGGGCGGCAAAGTGACGGATCTGGAGGGCAGGGAGATTAATTTTGGTGCGGGCAGGACGCTGGCGGCCAACTGGGGGCTTGTGGCTGCGCCGGAGAGCGTCCACGGGGAGATTTTGAGCTTGGTCAGGGAGATGATTGCAAAGGACTCGAGCCAGTAGAGCAACAAGACGGCTGCTGTTCTAGAGAGCCAGAGACGGCGAAGCAGAGAGAAAGACAAGAGAAGAGAAGAGAAGGAGAAGAGATGGAGAAGAGAAGGAGAAGAGAAAGTTGGATCACTATCTCGCTGTCAAGGCGACTGCTGACCCATTTCTTTCATACTCATCAAAACAACTATTATTATCGCCATTATTCTCGAATGCTAAGTTTGAGATGCAAATCTCACCATCCCCATACCATATGTCTGTCTATTTTATATACACGCCTCCTCCCCCTCTCTACATCAAGCTACTCCTGCCCCCAATCTCCATGCTTCCCTGCCCGTCCTTCATCTGCCCACTGCGTCCCACCACAAACTCGTGATAGATCTTCTGCAGCCTCGCCTTCTCGTCCTTGCCGATACTCGCTCGGGTGCTCTCCAGCGCCTTTGTGAGGTGAGACCAGCCGACCACCACTTCTCGCTGGTCGGCAGACTCCTTGCCCTCCGTCTCGTCCACGCCGGGACCTCTGCGGGCTTCCTTGGCCTTTCGTCGCGCCACCTTGATCTGCTCCAGCTTGGACATGATGGCGGCGTTTTCAACCAGCGCGGCAGATCTGCTCTTGGCTGCCACTGGGGCCGTCGTCTCGCCGTCGGCGCCGTAGCGGAACTGCACAAAGCTTGTAGCTGATCCGCCTTTGCTATCCTTGCCGCGCCGGGTCGTAGATGCCGGGCTGTTGATGTCTCCTAGCACGTCGTGGATGGCCTCGAGCTGGGCGTTGGACACTAGCGCCTGTAGATCGGCACCTGAGTATCCCTCCGTCTTTTCGGCAATCGATCTCAGTGCCTCTTCCGACTCGGTCAGCTCACTCGATAGCCGGACCTTTTGCAGCATCGCCTTGATAATGTCCACGCGGTCATCGACCGTAGGCATATCGCACAGCAACGACTTGTCGAGACGGCCGGGACGCAGCAGCGCCGGATCGATGAGGTCAGGTCGCGACGTGGCTGCCAGGACGTACACGCCAGACAAGCCCTCGGCACCGTCCATCTGCGTCAGCAGCTGGTTGACCACGCGGTCCGTGACACCGGTGGAATCGTGGCCACGCTTGGGCGCGATGGAGTCGAACTCGTCGAAGAACAAAACGCAGGGCTTGGCGGCCGACGCGCGGTCAAAGAGGTCTCGCACGCTCTTTTCCGACGCACCAATGTACTTGTTGAGAATCTCAGGGCCCTTGACACTGATGAAATTGAGGCCGCATTCTCCAGCGACGGCACTCGCCAGAAGCGTCTTGCCGCAGCCAGGGAATCCGTACAGGAGCAGACCAGATCGGAGCCGCAGGGGGCACTGGGAGAAGATGGGTGCGTATTTGGTCGGGTACTGCAGGGTCTCGAGGAGGACCTGACGTGTCTCCTGCAGGCCGCCGATGGACTTGAACGTAGTCGTTGAGCTCTGCAGAGATACGTTGCGCAAAGACGCTGGCGTGAACCCCTTGATGGCCTTGTCGAAATCCGCACGGCTAAGATGCACCGCTCCAATAGTGTCGTCGGGAGTCACACTAATGGATCGAATGATGGCCTCGTTTCTAGCTCTGGAGATGAGAACCGTCAAATCTCCGGGCAAGTAGCCGTCAGTCAAGCCGGCAATGTCGAGAAAATCCAGGTCTGAATCCAGTATGAAGCCGCCGGGTTTGCTCGAAGCGCCGTCTTCGTGACCATTGGCAGCTGAATCGTGCCCGTGAAACCAGTCGCTGGCTTCCCCGGAGTTCTCAGTGCCGTTGGCTGTCGTCGGCCGACTGCCATCGCTCACCTGCCCTGAAGCCTCATCCTGGGATACTGCATTCTGTCTAACAATGGCCTCCATGATTTTCCGTCGCCCGTCCTTATCCGGGGCCTTGAGTTCGATGATCTCGCGGACGACGTGGCCGCTGACGACAACGCTATTGAGAGTGTCCTTGCCCTCTGCCGTTGCTAGTAACGCGACGCCGCTGTCTTTGGTGCAGTATTGGCGCACGACAGATCGGATCGTTTCACTGACTTGGCGGCTTCGTCCGTTGTCGTTTCCGACCTGAAGCTCCGTCTCTACCGGGCTGAGCTTGTCCAGGTCATCAAGAACAACCAGTGCTTTGCCGCCCAGTCTTGCGCCCCAGCTAGCCAGCATGAATATGCGGTTGAGAGTCTCTTTGATGGTGGATATCCTCGCCTCGTCGGTCACTAGTTTACGGCAAGAAAAGTAGATGGTATAGAATAGCGTCTCCTCACGAAGTCGGCTGGCGAGATATCTGGCAACAGATGTCTTGCCGGAGCCCTTTGTTCCGGTGAGCAGGACAGATGACATGTGAGCAAGGTGTGACTGCAGGTTTGCGAGCAGCGAGTCGATGCCGACGAGCAATGAGTCGTGAGACGGTTGCAATTCGAATAGGTCCGTCTCGGAAATCCAAGGGGGTCGTGGCACCGGCTGCTGAAAGTCGATTGCGATTTTCGCGTCCAAGCCGGCCAGCCATAGAGCTGCGTCCTTGTTCTGCTCTTGTGATGCAACATCTGAGCTATACTCAAACTTGATGATGCCTCCTTCCCATCCCTGCGGAGCATCTAGGCCGTCGTACAGGTCAACAACGATACCGTCGGTTATCGGGCCTTGTAGAAGCCCTTCGGACCCCTTTGCCCCAGAGTAGATGTGCTTAAACCTCTTGGTGGATTCTTCCTTTTCTGCTTTTGTCTCGATTCCAAATCTCAGGCCTTCGGGTGCCTTTGAGCCAGCCGCAAAGGGGAAGACCTTGATTTGCTGGACAGCTCCACGGGCGAGAGGCTGAGGGGCAGCCTGGATCTTGACAATGCCTCCAACGATGCCCGTGCATCCAAGTGCTGCACACAAAGCTGCTGACAATGCAGCAGCCTGGCCATTGGGCGGATCGTCCCATGGCTTCAGCTTTGCGACAATCTTGGAGGATGCATTGGTGGCAACTGCAGCGGACCCGTCTTCGGGCTGTGGCTTTTGCAATCCCGCAGGCTTGAGAACATCCACCACAACGTAGTTGATGCCCCTGAAGTCATTGGACAGGATATAGTCACGATCCACCCAGACACAGAGACCAGGCTCTGCAATGCCCTCATCGAACCATTCGTTGCAGGCAGCCCTATCTATAGCGCGGAGCAGCAAAGATGGTCTCTTTTCCTCCCTGGCACTTCGTCTCCGAATGGTGCTGGCTCCGCTCCGCTTGGACTTTGACGTGCTTGCGACGCTCCGGTGGTCACCACTGTTCTGTGAGGCCTTGGCTCTCGTTTTCGGTGCGACGATGACTTCGGCGTTGGGGGAGAGCTTCACGAAAGGCACGTCGGCTGCTGGTGCGGGTTCGAGGGACATGATCTTGATGACTGCTGTCGAAGTCGGTGATAGATGTAGAGTTAATGGGTGGGCAGGGACTGCAGCACCGCCTGTAGGGACATATGCCGGGTTGGGGAGCGCTCGTATCTGCGACTGCAGGTTGAGCTCGAGAAACGTTGCGTGAAGTTCGATGATTTCCCAGTCTTCAGGCGTCAGCGGCTCGATGTTGATGGTGTGTGCCAGAGGGGGGTCGACGTGGACCGTGGCCATGACCTTTTCGCCATCTGTGAGGCCGAGGGTGTTTGCAAATGTCGCGTCTATTTCGACTAATTGGATCTCTTGATCTCTCGACGAGCCGCGCGAGCTGGTCAGTCCATCCCGTCCTACTAACTGGGCGGCCCTCCTCTTGCTCGGCATTCCCGTCCATCCAACAAAGACGGATTGCTCCTTGGGCGCTCCGCCCGTCTGCCCACTGGAGGGAGTTGGCCGGTATGTGAGTTCGACGACGACATTCTGGGCGGCCTATGAAGAAATAGGAGGTTCAGTCAATCGCGGAATGGCCTCGGGATCAAAGGCATTGGCCTGGTGGAAAGGAGTAGCGCTCTCAGTGACGTACAGTGTTTACGTTGACCAGCAGGGTAACCAACGAGGTAGGCAGGTTGACAAGACAGTTCTTCAGATGCACGAGCGACAGCTCGGCAGCGGTGGACTGCGCATTCCTTCTGGGAGCCATGGCTGGGGAATTGAATAGAAGTCTGTCTTGTCAGAACAGAGTCCTGTCGCAAGTTCGGCTGCGGGTTGGCGATGCTACATAGTAGTATTCCGCGTTCCTGGAACTTATGGAGCCGGCCGGTTGCTATGCCGAGGCAAGGCTCACGTGCCGAGAGGCCGGCGTTACCAAGGGGTACCTCCCGAGGGTATTAAATCTCGACTAACGCTGGGGTACATGGATGTATCGTGGCTTGCCCGGCATGGAACAAGCTGAAAGGTGCAGCGATTGAGCTTAGCACCGCCACATGTGGCTGAACTATGTACGAAAGTACGTACCTCTTAATTGGCTTTTGACGCCGTAGACGCGTCGCGCGTCTGTCTCGTGTCAACGACAGCTTTTCGAGAGCTCTCGAGACTAGCAGCGTTTCCCATCTCCTTACTAACCCACACACGCATCCCTGCAAGTTGGTTTCCCAGCCCACCAATTTGTGCATCGCATCGCATCTGCCTCTTGCTGCGATTTCCGTCCCTCGTTGTTCTTTTCCGCATCGCAACAACCTGAAATCCCCGGTTTGGCAGTCGGGCATCATCACGCAAAATGGCGCTCCGCGAGTTCAAGGCGCCTGTCAACTACGAAACTCAGCAGTGTAAGGCTTCAATCTGGTTCTGCTGGTGGAGAGCAGCAAACGCTAAACTAAATCTCGTGCAGCGGCATTCGAATCTTTTCTCAAGGACTTCAAGACGTCGCCCGAGCATACCCTCACCACCGCCCTCGGCAACATTACAATTGGCGAAGATGAACTCAGCGACGAGGATGACCTCATGGACGAGGACGACCAGACTCGCCAGCGCCGCCAGGAGGAACGGGCCAAGAGAAAAACGCCCCAGCACAAATACAACGACATGCTGCAATTGCTCGCAGACCGCAAGATTGACGAGTTCGCCATCGATCTGGATGACCTAGCTACTGTGAGTTGGAGCGGGAAATGGCCGCTTTGCGAATTGCCCAGGTGCTGACTGCAGTTAGTGGGAGGGGCAAATGGACGAGTCAATGAAGCTTGTGGACTCGATTGAGATGAACACAAAGCACTACGTCGAGATCATGGCCAGGGCTGTAGACAACATCATGCCTCAGCCTAGCGAAGAAGTCAAGTACGAAAACCTCCTGCCGACGAGAAGACGAATTGTGAGAGAGAAGAAAGAGAACTAAATGGCTAACGGGACTTATAGCTTCAAAGATGACGTTCTAGACGTGTTGATGGCCCGACGACAGGCTAGGAATCGAGAGCTCGACGAATTGGCAGAGAGAGACCCTACTACCGCCGAAGACAAGTTCCCAGCTGAGCTAACCCGCCGGTACACCCTCGTCTTCAAGCCTCGGACAGGGACAGAGGAAGGCGCCTCAAAGGCACTGGCCGTGCGACATGTTCGAGGCGAGCACCTTGGCCACCTCATTACCATCCGAGCCATTGCCACGCGTGTTTCCGACGTCAAGCCCATTGTGCAAGTCAGCGCATATACGTGCGATCGTTGCGGTTGTGAAATCTTCCAGCCCATTGCCGATAAGCAGTATGGACCACTGACCATGTGCCCTTCGTCCGACTGCAAGAAGAATCAGGCCAAGGGCCAGCTGCACCCCTCATCCAGAGCGTCCAAGTTCTTGCCCTTCCAGGAGGTCAAGGTTCAGGAGCTGGCTGAGCAGGTTCCCATCGGCCAGATTCCCCGCTCTCTCACCGTCCACTGCTTTGGCAGTCTTGTCCGAAAAGTCAACCCCGGTGATGTGGTTGACATCTCTGGCATCTTCTTGCCCACACCTTATACCGGCTTCAAGGCGATGAGGGCCGGTCTCCTGACTGACACTTACCTTGAGGCTCATCACATCCATCAGCACAAAAAGGCCTACAGCGAGATGATTGTCGATGCACAGCTGGTCCGAAGAATCGACAGATACCGACAGTCCGGCCAAGTCTACGAGCTGCTCGCCAAGTCCATTGCCCCCGAAATTTTCGGCCACCTAGATGTCAAGAAGGCTCTTTTGCTTTTGCTCATTGGTGGTGTCAACAAGGAAATGGGTGACGGCATGAAGATTCGTGGGGACATTAATATTTGCTTGATGGGCGATCCTGGTGTTGCCAAATCGCAGATGCTCAAGTACATCTCAAAGGTTGCCCCCCGTGGTGTCTATACTTCAGGTCGTGGAAGCAGTGGTGTAGGTCTTACCGCTGCCGTCATGCGAGACCCAGTTACAGACGAGATGGTCCTGGAAGGTGGTGCGCTTGTGCTGGCTGATAATGGCATCTGCTGTATCGATGAGTTCGACAAGATGGACGAGAATGACCGCACTGCCATCCACGAAGTTATGGAACAGCAAACCATCTCCATCTCCAAGGCCGGCATCTCCACGAGTCTGAACGCCCGTACCTCCATTCTTGCAGCTGCTAACCCGGTCTATGGCCGATACAACCCCCGCATCTCACCTGTTGAAAACATCAACCTCCCTGCTGCTCTCTTGTCTCGTTTCGATATCCTTTTCCTGCTCCTCGATACCCCTACGCGAGACACGGATGAACAGCTTGCCAAGCACGTTACCTACGTGCACATGAACAGCCGCCACCCCGACCTTGGCACCGACAATGTTGTCTTTTCCCCCCATGAAGTGCGATCCTACGTTGCTCAGGCTCGAACATATCGACCAGTCGTGCCCGAGTCCGTCTCCGAGTACATGATCAAGACGTACGTCCGTCTGAGAGATCAGCAACAGCGAGCAGAGAAGAAGGGCAAGCAGTTCACACATACTACACCACGTACCTTGCTTGGTGTCGTCCGTCTGGCGCAGGCCCTCGCTCGTCTCCGTTTCAGCAACCAAGTCACCCAAGATGATGTTGATGAAGCTCTGCGACTAGTCGAGGCCAGTAAAGAGAGTCTGAACACTGAGGCTGGTGGTCCTCGACGCGGCCTTAACGCTAGCAGCAGGATCTACAACCTCGTCAAGGCCTTGGCCGATTCGGGTGCTTGCCGTCCCGATGATGCAGATGACGATGATGAACTGGGCGTGGAGCTAAGCATGAGGAAGGTCAAGGAGCGTGTGATTGCTAAGGGCTTCACAGAGGACCAATGGCTGAATGCCCTGGAGGAGTACACTACTTTGGACGTGAGTATATTACCGTTTTTTCTTCTTTCTTTCTTTCTTGTTCATAAGCTAACATTCTCTTTCAGGTTTGGCAAACTGCCGGCAGCGGCTCAAGACTAGTCTTTGTCACTGCGGACGATGACAGAGAAGACAGCATGGAGGAGTAAGTGCAGACAACACAGTAATCGAAAGTGGTTGGATGGCTTGTTCTGTGGGAAAAGCGAGGAAATTGTTCGACTCTTGTAACCGGTTTGGCGTTTTTTTGTTTTGGACACCCTAATCATTTGGAAGGGTGCAAGAGAAGATGAAGTGCATTTGGTAGACTTGCAATTAGATCTTGTCAAACACTAAATGAGAAGAGAAACATATAGTACTACTGTGTCGGATGAATTGCATGTCAAAGATGAAATATCAGAGTGAGGGTGCCTGTATCTGTGGGATCGTCAATGTTGATCAGCATTTAGTGAGATTCTAAGGGCGGCATAATATATAATACATATTCATACAACGCATATTTTTTCCCCCTTCCTTGTCTCATTCATTCATCAGCCTTCCTCATGTTTACCTCCTATTCACCCCTATTTTTATCTTTTACATCCTCATCGTCATAAGTGAAGCTCTCTCCATCTCACCCACAATGCCATGTCCTCCCAAAGCCCACTTCTCCGCTACAGCCTTCGAATCAAGGGCACGGCGCAGCATTCCGCTAGCGCCCCAGTACTCCATCAGCACTCTCGCCTCATCCTTGGAAACGCCCTCCAGACGAATGACCTGGCTGTTCTTGAGGGCGTCGTAGACCCGGTCGTCGTACTTTTTCTCGTAGGCGTTGGGCTTGGGCACCTCTCGGCCTGCCTGGCCGGCTTCCAGCTGCGACAGGACGAGCTCTTGCGAAGGGTGGTAGTGGGTGTTGTTCTCGGAGGTGGCGGCGATGACGGCGCCGCCGTTGGGGAGCTTCGTCTTGCCTGACAGGGCGTCGACAAAGGTGCGCACGAGGAGCAGTTCATGGGCATGCACGATGTTGAAGGAAGGGTCACGATAGGCGCTGACCTTGTTGATGTGGGCGAGGCCGTCGAGCGTAAGCAGGACGGGGGGCTGTCCGGGCTGCGTCAGCTCCGTCCACAGGGCCGACAGCGTGGGCCAGGCGAATTCGCTCTCCTTTGCGCTGAGGGCCAGGTCGGCGAGCGTTGCGCCCTGTTTAAGGCCCGTCAGGCGGGACCAATCCATCTTGAGAGGCGTCTTCTCGAGGACGGCCTTGTTAGCCTTGTAGATGTTTTGGATCAGCTTCAGGCAGTACACGGGCTGGGTGAACTGCATGGGCTCTGTGTCAGGAACGGGAGAAAACTCCGTGTTTCCGTTTGTGAGATCTTGGCCTAACTTTGATATTAGCAAACCTGGTTCGTTGACACCACAACCAGAATTTTGTTATTGTCGAGACATACCTTCGGGAATGTGAATCACCACCCACTCGTTCAGCAGCGCATGTGACATGGCCTGGAGCAGCGTCAAGCTCTTCCCCGAAAGCCGGCTGCCGGTAAGGACACACTTGAAGGCCTCCTTCTTTTCTACCGACGCATCCAGCTTGCTCATCAGCTCAACCGTCTCTTTCCGCACCAGGACGTGGGGTTTCCGGAACAGGTTCCACGTCTGTGTCGTCTTGAACGCCTCCAACGCCCTCAATTGATCCACCACCTGGTCCGGAACGGCAAACATCTTGCCGCCGCTCTCCTCCCTGGCCATGGTCTGCGCCTCGAGGCTCTCAATGCCCGTCACAGGCAGGGCGCTGTTGTTGCTGAGCTGGATTCGTTTGCGGAAGGCCTTGCGCTCGCCCGGCCCGGGCTTCTTGACCGGCACGATGTTCTGCTTCTTCTTGTACGTCTTCTTCGTCTTCTTCGGGAGGTCCTTGCGGCTCTTTACCGCGGGGGGGCCGGCGGCGAGGAGGCTGGTGGTGGAAAACGCTGCTATCAAGGGCTGGATCCGAGGCGCCACTGGGATCGCGGGCCTGACGAGGGTCCGCAGCGATAGGGAGGCCATGATGATGAGATTTTTCCGGATATCAAGTGAAGAGAGGAAATTCAGGCACCGCTTATGTATGTGATGGCACAATCGTTGGCTGTCGCCGCATTGAGGCCGAATCGCGGCGGCGTTGCTTCTTCGATATCCCCCACGTTATTTTTTTTGGAGGTTGTTTCTACTTGAGCCAAAAATCTCAGTGTCGCATGTACCTGTGGAGGGGAGACCACCAACGTACCACTCGCCGCAAAAGCTGCGCTAAAGATACAAGCCCGACCAGGTACCTTGTGGTCTGGCGATCTAGCGCCGCTGCAGTTCTGGCAGCCCGGAAAATTGTAGCCCGTTGATCCGATGCAAGCCAGCTTTATCAGACAATCAACGTTCTTATCGGGACAAAAAAAAAAATTGAGAGTCGCAGAAAGTTTGGTTGAAAAGTGAGATTCAACCACCATTTTCCTGCATTGCGACGCCATCATCAGGAAACAAACGACGAATCTCTTCTGCCGTCGTCTCAATCTCACTCATTTACCGGCCAAGCACCTCAACAAACACACTTCACGCTGAAATACACACACAAAATCCCACAATGGCGCTCCCCATATCCAAACCGAAGCTGCCCGTCGTCGTCGAGAAGCCCACTCCCTACACCTTCGACCTGGGCCACCTGCTCGCCGAGGACCCCAACCCCGTCGCCCTCGACCACGCCGCCATTGACCAGTCGCTCGCCCAAATTGCCCGCGACGGCGCCCAGTCGCTCATCAACCAGCTCCTCACCACCTGCCCCCTCAAGTCCACCACCGACGGCGTCCTCCTGACGCTGCCCCAGCCCGCCACCCGCCTCCCCCGCGAGAAGCCCGTGCCCCAGCCCAAGCCCCCGACCAAGTGGGAGCGCTTCGCCGCCAAGAAGGGCATCAAGGCCAAGACCAGGGAGCAGCGCCGCAACCTGGCCTACGACGAGGAGTCGGGCGAGTGGAAGCGCAAGTGGGGCTACAAGGGCCTGAACAAGAAGGGCGAGGACGACTGGCTTGTCGAGGTCGACCAGAAGAAGGAGGCCGAGCGCAAAGAGGGCACCAGCATCCGCGGCGACGGCAGAAGGGAGCGCAAGGAGAGGATTCAGCGCAACGAAAGGAAGATGAGGAAAAACCAGCGGGATGCCGCGGCCAAGACGGGCAAGAAGATCTGATGGAGGCGCCCTGGCGCACACAATCAATCCAATCTACTTGTTTCTCTCGTTCAAGGGTCTTTTCCATGCACCATGACATCAAGCATGGCTACGGCGTTCAAGGCGTGGGGGGGTTTAGGAGAGGGGCTTGCTTCAAAGAAATCAAGATAATGTCGGCTCAGTCAATATCTGTTTGGGGAGGAAGGGAGGATCACTCAATGTTCACATTTTTTGTATAGATGTTAGATGTTCCGGGGAACTTCAAAGCTAGCATGGTAGCAACAATTTTTTTTCTTCTTTTCTTTCCTCACTTCTCTCCTTTTCCCCATATTTCATCGTTCCTCAAAAATGTTATATGCTACCAAAAAACGAAATTTTGTATTTCCACTCCTCACTCAAATGGCTCTCACTACTGTATCAGGCCACACCCTTCTTTATTCATACACTTGACGCCTTCTATGGCCATATTTCCACCTGAAATCAAGCTTGTAAAGAAATAAAACGAAGAAAAAAAATGAAAATGGAGGCAGATGAAGAGCCTTTGAACGTAGTCTCTAACCACTCCATACCGCTTGCCTTCTTACAAAGGAGACGGGCCCGAGTGTCTCGGCCAATGTCGACATTCCATGTTTTGAGTCCTTGAATAGCTGAAAGAAAATCCGAATCGCGTCGATGATGCAACAATCTGCAACTAAGAATGGAGAAAAGTAAATCTGGGAAACGATCGTCGCGACATTGATGAAGGAAGAAAAGAAAAATGGAGTGAAACCAGACCGAAAATGCAATGAGGCAGATAGCACATATGAAACAAGAAGAGAACTTGGTTCTGAGGCCAGTCAATCTCTCAGAGCTCCTCTGTAGCCACTTTTCAACTTCTTCTTCTTCCCTGCCCTTTTCAAGCAAGGAAGGAAACAGGAGGGAGAAAATCCAGTCCATATCAGACCAGAAATTCTAGTAGATAAGAGATGCGCTAAATTCCGAAAAGACGAAACAAAAACAAGTCATAAACGGCGTGATGTCATAAGTCGGCGCCGATGATAACTGCTGGGTATCTTTGCCGAAAGAGGAAATGTTTGTGTGAAATTTAACCTTGTACGTCTTTAGACTCGACTAGTTACTCAGAAGCCGAGAGGCGACAGAGGCTGGATAGGGGACAAGGGGCGCAGTTCGCGAGTTACCGTAGGCTGAGAGGAATGCGTGAAGCCGAACATGTCGCTAGCATTCTCGTCTTCCTCGCTAGCAGCACTCAAGGCCGTCGAAATGGATGACCTGTGGGATGAAAGGCTGTTGCTGGATTTCGACAACTGAATTTCCGGCTTATCCAGCTTCACCACGGGCTGAGTATGCTCACTAGGCTCACTAGGCTCCTCAATCGATGGCATGTTGGCGTGCAACGAGACGGGATTTACATCCTCCTTGGTCTCACTCTGGAGGGGCGCCTGCATATCGGCAAGGCCGCGCGGTGGTGGCTGATCGAATAGTCGGTACTCCTCCTCAATGAATTTGGGCTCGTTCTTGCAGCCTCTCCAGCAATCTCTCCAATCGCAGACCAGAAATTTGAAACAAAAGGCATCGATTTTCATGCAGGGCTGGAAGCAGATGCAGAGATTCCGGAAATCCATCTTGTTCTTGTCGGAGTGAGCGAGAAGTAAGCTAAGATGACATGTGATGGCGAAGAGGAGGTAGTAGTTGAACGGAGACAGATTCGAGAGCTCGTCGATAAGAAGTTGCGGGACCTTTTCGGCGCCCTGACATTCACGAGCAATCCGCTCTTGAGCCTCTTTGGGGAAGAGTTCATCAGGCAGTTCCCGAAGCCATGCCTTGAGCATTGAACCAACAATGTTGATATCATAGAGGTCATTTTGCTCAAATAGGTTGACATCGTATTCTATACACCCATGTTAGCCAACTACCTTGAGATTCTTGACGACCGGAATAGGGTTAGGGAACGCACGCTCATCGAATCTTCTTTGCCACTTCTTAACCTGAGGCCCGCTTCCAGGCACTCGATAGAGACCTTCGACCTCGGTTCCCTTATAATTCAAGTAATCGATGGCCCTCCACGGGAATGCAGGCATCCAGAATTCTGTCTTGTCCCTTGAGTCTTCCAGTCGTTTCGAAATTCGAGTCAATCGTGTTTGCTCGACCAGCGGCAGATTGATAGTTTTGAGCACGTAATGCTCGTCATCCACCACCGGCTCTCTCTCCGTCGTGCTGCCACTTCGCGTGCTCTTGCCGAATAGCCCCTTGCTAATCAAGTCGGCAGCTCTAGTAGATGAAAATCTCAGCCCGCTGAGAAATGTTGATGCGCCGGTCTCCCGTATCGATGATGAATGGCCCTTGTGCTCCTTGTGTTCCTTGTGCTCCTTGTGCTCCTTGTGTTCCTTATGCTCCTTATGCTCCTTCTCGCGTGAGGCATCTTTAGTAGCACCAGCGGCACCAGCTATTCGGTCCTCTGGTCGGTTCCGAGGATTCGAATTCATCCCGTCGTCTCTGAGTGCCCGGTCTTGGGGCACAGTCGGTGTTTGAGCGGCCGCGGGCGCTGCTGTAATTGGAGTACTGGTGGAGGCAGTGGTCGTGTTGGTGGTATTTTCGGTGAGCGGGGGGTTGTTTGGTGTTGGTAGTGGTACTGGCGCGACGGCAAGTTTGAGGCGGTTGCTCTCCTTGTCGCGAACAGATTTGCTGCGGCCAAGAAGCGCAAATGACTTGGTCTTGTTCTTCTTGATAGAGGGTAGGGGTGGCGTCGCCTCTGCCTCTCCGGATGACGAAACCGAAAGGTCAGAGCGTGATGGTTGAGAAGGAATGGACTTTTGCTGGCCGTCCTCGGAGGTAGTTGGGTCTAAGAAAGCCAGATGGCAGAAGGTTAGCCACAAAGTTTCCAGCATTCGTTTTTTCTATGTTTTGTTTATGTTTTTGGCTCCGCCGACGAAAGGATAACATGCGCCGCCAAAAACTATGTGGCGTGCTAGCGCGCACCATAAATGTTGGCTGTGCACTTCATCCCGTCGTTATACAAATACCCAAGGGATGCCTCCCTCTGTATTCCTTCGGCCTTGATGGGCATCCTGCTTTCTAGCCTTACCTTTGTGACCCGATTTCTCGCCGCCCTCGCTCCCTCTCGACATTGGCTTGCCCCGCGACTCGGGATGCTGCTGGGCCTGTGCGGCGGGTGGCTGGTTGGGAGTCTTGGGCGCCTTGCTGAACTGGAAAAAGCTGGGCTTGGTTGGTTTGTTACCGTCCGTCATGGCTTGGCGCAGGCCCTGGGGAGGCAGTCCGGCTGAAGGAGGATCCAAGGTCGACATCGAGGGCTGCAGCAGCTCCGAATCATCGCGGGCCTGGGCGCGATACTGCTGCAGCTGCAGCTGTTGCTGCTGGCGGGCGGCCTCGTCTGGCGGTCCGGTGCTAGTCGCAGGCCGTGGCGGTTGTGGCTGCAAGGTTGGTGACCTCCCTGTTCTGGGCGGCCTGTTTCTGTGGACGGCAAACTTGCTGATGGGAAAGGGCGATGTTCGCTGCGATTTGGGTGATTTGGGGTCGATGGGCGACGCGGCGGCCTGCGACGCTCCTTCGGCGGACAGCTGCGGCGGGTCGTCGATAGGGTTACCGTCCGCCAGAATCAGCGGCTGCGGCGTGGGCTTGCGTCCCATCTTTGCAACCCCGGCTGCAGAGTGTCGAGAGGCTGCGCGCAACGGCGGCTTTGGTCTGGCGCAGGAGGATTGCTCTGCAGCCGTCTGTCAGGGGGCTGTCTGGGTGTTGGACACAGGCTCAGACACAGGCTCAGACACGGACACAGACACAGACACAGACGCCGAGGCTTGTGCAAGCGGATAGGAGACGACGGTCAGACTCCGGAGCGCGCAGGGCGCTGCAGCAAGGCACTGGGCGTCAGGAGAGATGCGAAGGAGGGGATGTTCCGAGGAGACTCTGTGCCTCAGCTCTGCTTCAAGATGGAGATGGCAAAGGGGCAGGCCGGTGGGGGGCGAGACGAGACGAACGATGGATTGCTGTGGCATCGGCCTGGCTAGCCGGCGTCGTGGAGAAGGGAGGGGCGTGCAAGTAACAGAGAAAGTGCGTGCGTGCGTGCAGATGCGGGTTCTTGATTTGATTTGCGATTGTATTTGTGATTGATATGTTGCATGTGCGAGGGCGACGATGAGGCTGGAGCCGTATCCGTTCAAGGACAGTTCAGGCTGTACAGTAACAGTTCAGTATATAAGAGGTGTCCAATGTCCTGTATTTTGGTGTGGGTGCGTGCGTGCGTAGGTACGGATCAACCAAGCCATGGACGTCGGCAAAAGCAGCAAACTACTCGCGGATGATGCTCTCAGGCCCTGGCCTAGACTTTCTTGTCGTTGCCGCTGGCGACATGCATGCACAAGTAGCGCTACCACCTTATGAAGCAGCACTTGACAGGCAGGTACTCGTACATGAAGGGATCGGATCGGATTGGCACCAGACTGATATTGATATTGATACTGATGGACAGCCCGCTGATTCCATCTATTGTACAGCAATCGCGATTTCAGTCAGACAATGGGCAATGATAGACAGACGGTGTCTCAATGTGGGCATCACGCCAAAGGCCCTCCTGTTTTATTCTTTTCTTCACCCAGTCCACCCTGCAAGGTGTTGCCTCATCCAAATTACTGCGACCGCTAAAAAGCAGATCTAACCCATGCTCTCAGCATCCATCCCGTTTGGGGTACCTGGCCATACGTGCTAAGGTACCTTGCCCAGGGTGGACGCCAGAAGTGGATGGGCGAGGGGGACAGGTACAGGTACAAGACGAGCACGTTCCCAGTGGTCCTGGCGTCAGGTACAGTACGCATTGTGCGCATATGGCAATGGGCCCTCGGGTGCTACTACCTCTGTAGTACGGGGCATGCAGCAGGCCGCAGAAAAGCGCTATTGATGAATAGTTACGCCGATTAGTGGTCAGTTTTCTTCTTGCTCTTCTTTTTTTTTTTTTTGGTCTTGAATGTGAGCACACGCGCCATCGTATCTGAAACGCCTCGGTGGCCCCGGGAAGAGAACCGCTCTTTCAGGGGTTCCCAGCCATGTGATTGGGTCTATTGGCGGCGGTTCTCCACCCTGGGGGGCGCAGGGCAAGCAGTCAGCATACTTGCAAGTACTGTGTACAAGCACACCAGGGCATTTTGATGCACTTGGCATCTCCCTTGCAGGGCCATCAGACAGTAACTCAGGAACATCAAATGTCAGCTCGGTGCCTCCTTGCAGACTAGGTGTCGTACAAGTACCAAAGTATGGATCTCGATGAGTGATTTGTTGTACAGTGATCTACTATATAGTGCCTTAGTGCCAAGCAATTTATATCAGTGTCTGATGCTAATTGATTCACTCTACTGCCTACCTAGTAGTACAAGTAGATTGAGACCTCAGTCAATACCGCACTAATGTCCCCATTGTTCTGAATCAGGCCTGTACCCAATTGCCTATCTCTGTGCCATACTATACCCCTGGATGCAAATCTTCCGCGCTTGCTGTAAGAGATGTGTGTCTCCTCCGTACTAACCCAGCAAGCCAAAAGTACGAGGTACTTACAGGCGTTCGTCATCACTCCCGCGCTAAGCATTGTACGATACACATTCTCCCCAATTCGGCCGGCAGCCCAAACGAACCATGAGCGACTAAAGATTGCATGCTGCATCGACGCATATTCAACTTTGCCTTTTTCCCTGCTAACATCCTCACTAACCTTCCTAGTGTTTAGAGGTCCCTGAGTAGTGCTGGCTATCATATTGTACAGGGACATTGTGTGTACTAACGTCTGCAATGCTGCATCATGTTTGCATTCTGCCTGCAGACAATTGTCCATGTGACTGCTTAGCACCTGCAAAGGGCGCTGTTATTGGGCCACCATTGATGGCCTCCGCATTAGCACCGTCAATAACACATCTCGATGCGATTCAATTATCCGGTGCTGCTTTACATGACATATGGCGCACGGCGGACACGTCACTTTCAAGTCAACAAGGCGTCGGGCCGTGAACCTCAAGCCGTGATGTGCCAATACGAACTTTGTATCTGCAACTTCATGCGCAATACGAATTTAGACGGGCACCGCGTGATGCGCCATTGCCTTGAGTACCATTACGAACAACTCCTGACAGAGCTGTCAGATTCTCATCAAACGCACAGCCACTCCTTCAGCTATTGATAGCTGTATGGCAATCTCGGTAATATTCGTTACGCGCGACTCCGTTCAGACTCCTCTCTCACAACGCTTTTTTTGAGCGCCGACTCAGAAAAGCTACAGCGAGGGGCTGTTAGCAGTTACGAGCATCTACAAGGTAGCAGCGCCAGCTTAATGCGGAGTTAGCAGATCTATAAAAGAAGTCCGAGGAGAAAACAGGCGCATAGACGAGCAGATGAGCCCCTATAATTGTAAAGCATCATCTCCTTTTTGTAGGGGCTGCAAGTAAATTCATGCTGAAATGCTGATGTGATGCTTTGGGTCGTGAGGTTGATTACCTAAGCGTGTTCAACGTCACCAACCAGCACCTCATGGTTGAAGCCACACTTTGATACTGGAGCCTGGCATCTACCAAACACTCCTCCAACACATCACCATGGCCCAGGCAACTGGAGATTCCGAGGGCCCAAAGCTCGCCACAGATGCCCATGTGAAATATGTCTTGAGTCTGGACACCAAAACCGATGAGCTGGACTACTGGATGACTGAGCACCTGCGACTAAACGGTGCATACTGGGGCCTGTCTGCTCTCCATTTTCTCCGTCACCCTGAGGCTCTGCCGCGCAAGGATACCATTGACTTTGTTCTCTCCTGCCAGCACGACAACGGTGGCTTCGGAGCTGCTCCTGGGCACGATGCCCACATGCTCTCTACGGTAAGTGCCGTGCAGATTCTCGCCATGGTCGACGGCTTCGATGAGCTGGAAGCACGAGGGAAGGGAAAGGCTGTTGTTGGCAAGTGTAGGTGCTGATGGGTATCTCTGCCATAATGGACAATCATTGGTATCCTAACATGCATTGCAGTCATAGCGGACCTTCAAAATCCTGACAGTGGAAGCTTCTTTGGCGATGAGTGGGGCGAAGAGGACACAAGATTTCTGTACGCCGCCCTCAACGCTCTGTCCCTCTTGGGACTCCTGTCTCTTGTCAACGTTGATAAAGCTGTTCATCACATCGTCTCCTGCACAAACTTTGACGGCGGCTATGGTGCCAAGCCCGGGGCAGAGTCTCATGCTGCCCAAGTCTTTACCTGCGTTGCTGCTCTCGCCATCGCAGGACGCCTTGATCTCGTTGAGCATGAGAAGCTCGGCCGCTGGCTGAGCGAGAGACAGCTTCCAGGAGGCGGGCTCAACGGCCGGCCTGAGAAGCAGGAAGACGTCTGCTACAGTTGGTGGGTATTGAGCAGCCTTGCCATCATCGATCGTGTCCACTGGATCGAACGGCAGGCCCTGATCAACTTCATCTTGAACTGTCAAGATCCCGACAACGGCGGCTTTTCCGACAGGCCCGGGAACATGGTGGACGTTTGGCACACGTGCTTCGGCACCGCAGGGCTGAGCTTACTTGGGTACCCTGGCATGGAGCCTGTGGATCCGAGATATTGCATGCCCAAGAAGATTGTGGCGAGAGTTCTAGGAGAATGAAGTTGATGACGGATACTGTGTTTAGTATGCATGCGATTTTTGTCTCATACCCTGTCGTCACTGATGGCTCTCTCGAATCACCCTACCGTTGCCGAATCCCTCTTCATGGCGTTGTACGATGGCCAGTGAGATACTGTACGAAGAGAGGAAAGCATCGAGGCTTCCAGAGGCATCGCACATTGCTTTTACCTGGTAATATCCAGCATGCAAGCCAATCTCGCTTTGCTTTTCCAGCATGCTGGATTTGGGCTATGGGACGCGGACTTGGGGCTTTGAAACTACCCTAGAAAAGATACAGGCCAAGCCTTTAAGAACAATTAATTTTGGACAAACATGCCACTCGACTTCCGATGTATTATGACTGTTCTTGGAAACCTCTAAATACCTATTTATGCGTCGAGTTCTCCAGTGCCGCGGCGTGCTGTCCTGGTAGTAAACCGGGGTTTGCACAAAATGATGTAACATACACCTATCCTGCAACAGAATTCTTCCAAAGTAACGACATAAAACAGGGATTTAAAGTTTCTTCAGCATTTTCTCAGGCTTGTAAACCGAAATAAAGCAAATGTAGGAGAATATCTGTACCAATTAATGTGCCTGTTTGGGCTCGCCGCCGAAGATTTCAAGGCTGCACGCAATAAATAAATATGGCATAAAAACGGCCAACCATAAGAATAAATGACATAGGTACCTCAGATCATTGCTGCCTTATTGCTACTAAGATATCTTATCTATTCTGGTTCCAGTGTGCTTCAATAGGTACCGAGTAGGATGGCTGTTCCTTCCTTCTGATATCGATACCGTAGTCAGTGGTTTCTGAAGAAGGAAGGCACGATGCTGCCAATACCTCGCCCAAGGAGGACTAGCCCCCTGGCACTTTCCTCATAGACAGCGAAAAGAAACTCCAGCTGAAGGACGAGGCTGCTCTTCGTTTTCTTCTTCTTTTTCTTCCCTCAAAAGTATGAGAAGCAGCGGCTCTGTATCCTGATTACCACGGATTCGCAGGCGAATCGACGCTCCTGCCAAGATAACACCGGTGTACCACCTTGAATGCCTCTTGACCGCGCCTTCAAGAGCAGCAGCATCGTAGATTCTTCCTTCTCTACACAGAATTTGCGAAATATTCCAGAACGGCCTCGCCACATCGGTCACTCTGTCCTCTCTTGGGACGGAAGCGAGCCGGCTCTAGAGTTTCACGCAACTCCCAAGATGCCTCAACGGGCAGCATCTTCTGCAGCGCGGCTGCCTCAGCCGCTAGTCGTGATCAAGCCTTGTCCTGATATGGACGGCTACGATCCCATGGTAAGCCACATGATTTCTACTTCCACCTTCAAATAGGTACCTATAACTTGCTCTTCTGTCTGAGCTTGAACCAGGCTTTCTCTGCTCTACTGACCCAACCGCTTCTTCCCTCATTACCCGCGTACCCAGTTGCTCTTTTCTGAATCACGTCACTCTCTACCCTTGTTTCTTTGTTTTTGGTGCCACTCCAAGGACCACGGCTTTCGTCTCTCCTTTTCCTCCCGTGCTTGCTGCTACTGCTACTGTTGTTGCTTTCCTGCCTCGAGATCGCTTCGTGCAATCAACCTGGCCCCTAGGTCATGAACAGGTCAGACCTCTCGAAAATGCTCTCGTGACTGCAGACATTTGATGAATTGCGATTTCAAAACAATGCCCTTTTTTGTGCGCCGCTTTGGTTTGAGTATCATGACTGATTGTATTTGGAGCAGGACATGGCTTCCGTGGTCACTGCGGGCAGCTCATCTGGTTCCGGTAGCAAGCAAATTCCTCTGCTTTGCACCGTTTGCCCTGAGACGCCGCGATTTTCCGATGTGTCACACTTGCTCACGCACATTGCCTCCAAAGGCCATCTTCATCATGAAACCCAAACAAAACTGAAGGCTCATCAAGATATTTCGGCGTCTGTCTCTCTACAGCAGTACGAGCAGTGGTATAAAGACAATGGCATCGAGGGGCTGCTTGTTGAGAGGATGAAGGCGAAGCAGCTGAAAGAGGCTGCGAGAAACAAGCGAGCCAGAGGAGCTGCAGCGCTCGTGGCTTCGAAGGTATGGCCCTATTACGGCTTGGGTAGGTCGGTACCAGCTCTCTGATTGCATAATAGCAGCCCAAGAGAAAAATCAAGCGAACGGAATCTGATACACTCGTCAAGAATGAACGAGAAGACTTTCCTCAAGACTTCCCCATGTTTCCGGGATTCTTTCCGTCGGATAATGAAGACGAGATCCAAGACGACTTTCTCGTATCTGGAGATATGATGGCGCTGAAAGGTCAGGTATGGCCAGGGATGGGCAAAATGGATTTGGCAAATGAGGATATGAAACGCACTCGCAACCAAAGAAAGCCCAAGTCGGTCATTGAGAAAATGAAGAGGACGTCAGAAGGCATTGAGCCAACACAAGTCGTCATGACACCCGAATTTGAAGTCGAAAGAGTCAAAGATGTTTATGACAGCTCTTCGCCAATGCCAGATCAAGAGGAAGCGGTTTGTCCTCGGAACCCAAGTTATTTTAGAGTATAGAGCTAATACCGTCCAGACTCCTCCGAAAAAGACAGCCAAGCCTCGTCGAAAGCGTGGAGAGCCACTGGCTGAAATTTCTGCCAACATTCCTCGAGGGGGGAATCGTCGTCTCACACGGGGCAATGTTGGCCAGGAGAAGAGTTCCAAACCGCTTCTAGGATACAGCCGAACTCCAAGTTCCGACATCACCCCTTCTCTTGGACAGTTCAAGCGTTCCCATGATATTTTTCGGGACGATGACAAGATTTCTGGTAAGCATTCCTGCTCTTCACATAATCGCAATGCTGACTTGGTGTAGGTGTCTATGATGGTCTTCCCTTGTCCAATGCGTCCCAGAGGGAACCAAGGTACTATTTATTTGGGGAATTGAATGCACCATCAAAGATGCCGTACTGATTTCTCCATAGTTTCGATCTCCGCAGCCGAATGCGACTACACCAGTTGAACCCGATGCCTCACTCGAATCTTGTGTCTCCAACGCCTGCATCCAGGGACATCCCTGACCGGGGTTTCTCGACACGAGACCTCCATAGAGGTAGAGGCCAAGAGCAAGCCTATCTCAGCATGGGTGGACATATGGGGCTGGGTTCGTAATAATCACCTTCTGATCACTCATTGCAACACTAATCAAAGGTCACACTAGGTTCGCTCAATCACTCGGATCTGTCATTCGCCTTGAATGGGACGTCGATCTATAATAGCACAACTCGGTTCCCTTTTGCTACAAGCCACCATTTCAACACTCTTAGCCATGACCACTTTCGCCTTTCTTCAGGCCACAACTCCCAGCAGAAATTTGACGATTATTCGCATACCGGTGCCGGTGAAGCAAGCACGGTAGCAAACCAGTTTCTTGATATACCCAATACCAATCCTTTGTTTTCCCAGGATCGCCTCTTCCTTGGATCATGCGGTCAATCGGGTCCGGCGCCAAGTCTGTCTCCATTGGGATTTACATCGATAAACCGTAATCAAGATGCCTCTCATTCAATGCGCCAAAATCAGTCTACTACCAACATCAAACTCGAACCGCCACAGCTCTGCGATGTCCTAGATGATGCTAATATTGATGATGAAAAAGATTCACGGTATTCCGTACATGGAATTTGGGAGTCTCAAGAATCTGACAACGGCATCGACGTCCATGAAGATCTCCGACACGATGAATTGGAACTCTAATGTTTCTTTTACTTGTTTCAACGGATGAAACGTTGATATAATATCCATTTCACTTATCCCAAGCATGTGCCAATATCCGATATGTTGCGAAAACGTTACCGGCGCATGTTTATTTTCTCCTTAATTTCGGTCTTATTTTCCTCTAGAGGCGCTTTACGGGATATTCATGGTATATGTCAACGAGGTGAGCTGAAAAGTACCAATCTGCTATTTCTGATCGTTAATTTTGCTAGGGGTGTAGCAAACAATATCTCTTCCTTTATCTGAACTGTGAAGAGAAACGATCACAACGGTAATTGAGCAACTCGACCGACACTGGGCAGCCGTGGCCTAAGAGGCCCCCATGGTTTCTCTCCTTGATAATGCCTGGTTCGGTCGACTATCATGGGATGCAACAATGCTTTTATATTAGAGGCATACTATAGAGGCGACTTTTTTCTCCCGGCCTATTGTACCAAGGCAATTGCGAGCATAGGGCAAGGTGTTTTGAGTGTTTTTCTGGTTGGTCCACGACGATTCTACAATCATTCTGCAGCTTGGGTTTATATGGGACGGGCGGTTTACCAGTAGTAATAGTCAATTTGAACAAAACAGCCCACTTGGCGAGCTTATTTTGTCTGTCTGAAAGCTGAACACAGATAAGGCTGTGGGGAAACAATCTTGGTGTTCGAATGGTTCCATATTGATATTCAGATATAATAAATACAGCAGTTTTTCGCTTCTCATACACCCTAGATACCCTGTAAATGCAATGGCAGCTGTTGCCAAAACGAAAAAAATGCGAGATTAACCTCTTTTCATCGACATTCTAGTGACTATAGCTGCTCAATAGAGGAAATCAAATGGTCTAGTTGGTCTGGACTTGATTCTATGACATGAGCAAGGGTGCGATATGCCCCCTGTAACCGTCGACGCCTCATTTCGTTTTCCAGCTCTTTTGACTTGTCTGCGGCGACGTCAAGGACCTTCTTAGGAATGCGGGCCAGGCGTGCGACGTTTAGTCCATACGAGCGATGAGCTATGCCCTCTCCGACTTCGTACAGGAAGGTTATTTCTTCTTCACCGTCATCTCCTGTTTGGGCGTTGAATTTCATGTGGACGTTTGTGACGCCGAGCAGGCCATCGGCGACGCGAGCGAGATTCTGGTAGTGGGTGATGAAGAGGGTCAGGCACCTGGTCTCGGTGACGACGTAGTGCAGGACGGACTGGGCAATGGCGGCGCCGTCGTGGGTGCTAGTGCCGCGGCCGAGCTCGTCGAGGATGACGAGGCTGCGGGGGGTGGCGGAGCGCAGGATGCGGGCCGTCTCGGAGACCTCGACCATGAATGTGGACTCGCCGGCGAAGAGGTTGTCTCTTGCGCCGGCGCGGGTGTGGATGGCGTCGCAGAGGGTGAGGGTGAGGGAGTCGGCGGGGACGAAGGAGCCGATTTGGGAGAGGAGGACGATGAGGGCGACGGCGCGGACAAAGGACGATTTGCCGCCCATGTTGGGGCCGGTGATGAGGTGTGCTAAGGCGGAGGGGTGGGAAAGCGTGGTGGTGAAGGGGATGTAGCTGCCTTCGAGCGTCTGCTCGGCGATGGGGTGGCGGCCTTGGGAGATGGAGATGGATGGCTCGGAGGTGGAGGGCAGGAATGTTGGTTTGCTGTAGCCGGGCTGAGCAGCGACCTTTGAGAGGGAGAGGAGGCAGTCCAGCGTGGCGAGGGCGGAGATGGCATCCCGGAGAGGCTGGTACTCGGATGCGATGGTGGCGAGGAAGTCTTTGAAGGCCTTGTCGCAGGCAGCGGCGAGGGCCTCGCGATGTTGATCGCGCTCGTTAATGAGGCGGATGACTTCAGGGGTGTGGAACCGCGAGAGCGCCTTGGTGCCGGATATCTTGCTCCACGAGGCAGGGACGTTCTTGATATCTTTGTTGGGAACGGCGATGAGGTACTCAATGCCCGCGACGGTCACATATTCGACGGTCTTCTGCTTGATTTTCCCTGCGGCGACGGCACGGTGTTCGTCGAGCTCGTGCTCGACGTGGGCGATTCCAAGCTGATGGTCCTGGATTTCCTCGGTGTGGAACTCTTCCCGGAAGAATCCATACTTGTCGTCCTTTTTGGCAGCGTAAAGGTTGATGCGATCGAGATACGAGATGACCGAGTCCAGGATCTGGGGCAGGGTCGTGATGGCATTGACAATTAGTGGCGAGTCAAAGCCGACATCAGAGGCTGATTTGACGGAGGAGTAATGGCTCGCAATCTTTTGCAGAGTCTGAAGCACGGACAAGAGCTCCGGTCTGGTGCATTTGCCGTAATAGATGCGAATGAGACTGCGCTCAAGGTCGGCCTTGGTCGTTGTGAGGAGCCTCTCCAGGTCGTCAACAGGCGAGGTTGACTGCTTGTCGAGAAGCTCCTGCACCGCGGCAAGGCGCTCGTCCAACCGCTCCCTGTCTAGCAGAGGACGGCCAACCCATTTCCGCAGGAGACGCTGGCCAAATCGGGTGAGGGTCTTGTCGACAGCCCAGAAGAGGCTTCCCTTTTGGGAGTGATCGGTGGAGTTGCGGTAGACTTCGAGGCTCTCGAGCGTTGTGCCGTTGATGAGCATGTGGGATCGAGTGCTGAAGCTCTGAAAGTACTTTGTAAGGCCAAAGATGTGCTCTAGGCCGTATTCCTGCAAGTGGGTAATCATGGCAGATAGACAGATGGTGATGGCCTCAGGGAGCTTTAGGACTTTGTCGAGCAGAGCACTCGCAGTCTCGTTATCTGACGCCTCCTTTACTTGGTCGGCGTAGAATTGCGTCACATGCGAGTAAGCCTCGGCCGCCATAGTTTTGCTCTTGGGTACGCGCTCAACGCGAGAACGATCACCAAACACGTTGGTGCTACTGCCTGATAAGTGCTGTATCAGCTTATCGGTCCCCTTGGTGAGGTCCCCCACGATGAGGAACTCGCAAGGTGATATGTGCAATAGACGCGTCTCGATCTCGCTCCGCATGAAGCCATCTTCAAAAGTGTCGTAGATGATATCACCGGTGGCGGGCTGGACCGCTAGAACTCCGACGTTGACGTTTTCATCAGTGCCGGAACCCTTAGTAGCAGTTTCTGTGATACAAAGGAGGTAGCCGCCGGACGGGGTGGAAGAGTCCTGACTATCAAGCTCTCCGTTCTCATCGATGTATGTGCCTTTTGTGTAGAGATTGGTGAGCTTGCGGACAAACGGGGCATTTCTGTTGTCACCAGCTTTCTTCAGTGCTGCCGTCTCGATTTGGCGTACGACTCCGACCTTGTGGCCGGCAGCAACGAGCCGCTTCGCGTGAACAGGTAACCTGTGAACGGGAATACTGGCCGACGCAAATCGATCTAGGTGGGCTTCTGAGGGATCTGATGCCAGTTAGTGAGGCTCGCAATGCAGAATTAGAAATGTGGGGATACGTACGCTCATCATATCGCATTTTGCCTGGTATGCAGACGATACCCAGCTCTTTGGCAGCCACGCGGGCGTCTTCACCGAAAAATCGAAACTTGTAGCCGACCTCGACGATGAGGATGGTATCCAAGTGCTTCCGCTTGATATCTAAGAATTGGAGTTCCATCGGGGTAAGCTTTCCCGTTTTTGAACCTTTCTTCTTTGCTTTTGTGGCAATTGGAGCTTCTTCCTCTTCGGGGTCTGCATCGGCATCCTCGTCATCGCCAGCAATGCCGCTGTCCTGTGCCTTTAGGGATCCCCAAGACATGGCATCGGGATGGCCCAATTTCTTGACGAACTTCCTGTGCAGCTCATCATTCCGCCTCCTAACTTGGGCATCATCACTCTCGTTACCAGCATCTTCTTGTGTGTTCGATTCGTCGTAGCGATAGCGCTGTGCTCGTGACGAAGTCGGGCTTCGGTTGCTGGCAGTGGTAGTCACGGTAGTATCATTGTGGAAAAAGGAACTTTCTCCATCACTTGGCCCATCGCTTTTGGCCCTCTTTGCCGCCTTTTCAACGGTACCGTTGGATTTCTCATTATCCTTTTCGAGCGGCCGTTTTCTGGAGGGTAAATCCGACTCCTTGACGGGGGTGGGTGATGATGGCAATGCGGGCCGAGCAGACGATGCAGTACCAGCTACGGCTTTGGGCGTGAAGAATGCAGTCAGGGACTTTTGCTTCTTCTCTGGTGCTTTTGAAACGGGTGCCATGGCGTGATTGATGGCGGTGACCAAAGACCGTCGCCTTTTGCCATGTATTGGTCCGTACTTTTGCAAGAAATGACAAGCTACAATTTGGCAGGCGAGATAGTTGAACCTCTCAACGCGTCCAGCTTGGGGTGCGCGTTGAGAAGCCCCATATTTTGCCTGTTTAGGAAACATCGACGTCAGGGGAGTTCTTATCTTATCAAACAGCACCACTAGATCCAGATGAAGTTCAGTACCTACCTACCTAGTATGTACAGGTTTCTAGAGTCTCAACCACCTAGTTTTGACGACGAAAATCTACCTATGGTAATGCCGAATCTCTAATTCATCCAAGCTCTGCACCTTCGCCTAGACGATCTCGCAAGGGTTACCATAGCGCGGGTCCAGCCAGTAACAAGTCTAACGTTGCACAGCTAACACTGCATTGCGTTGGCTCGGCACATGTTTCGGTTCATAACACGGCATCCAAAAGATCAGTCCCTGGTGCCCAATATACAGGTACAGTATGTACAGTATGCAATATCAAGCGGAAGCGAGATGCCGAGGATGACGACGCTCGATGTTGCCGCCAGCTTTTATATCTCCTATGTACATGGAATCCACAGGGCCCCAGTCCATAGCCTTGCATCCCCTTGGCCCAATGAGGGATAGAACCGCAACGACCAGAGCAAGACAAAGAGCAGCACAGCCCGGCCCCTCTTCATGACCACGCGATTTGATTTGGCTGTCGCAGCTGATGAGGCCTGCCGGCATGCGAGTCTTGGCCTCACGATGCCAGCGCTTCCAATCTCATGCCATAGGCCGTCCAGGTGGTTTTGCTCAGGCGGGCGCTTACAGGGCTACCGAGATGGAGAGACGCAGCCAATCAGGCCGCTCTGCCAGGGGCCTCCACGTTGCAGACAGGCCGCCACTAGCTCTAGCTCCAGAGTAGAACTCCAGTTGCTCCAGCCATGGCTCCAAAGAAGGCGTTCGTGTCTGTTGACATCTTGTGTGTTGCCGCCGGCCCCTGTTTTGGGGTGGTTTGGCTTGGTCTGGTCAGGGTGGTGCAGCGCCAAAGGACTCGTTCTCGTTCTTCTTGGTGTTGTGCTGCGGATACAGAGTACTAGCCGGTACAACTTGGTACCATTATTCGGTAGTAGATCAACCTATCTCAAAAAGTATTGCGCAGGTACTCTGGCTGCATCTGGCCATGTGAATCAGTCCAGTGGCATTTGACTTGGGCAGCAAACCAAATCTCACAATAAGCTCTCTGTAAGCCACTCATCCTGGAGCCGCTCCCTTCTCGCCTCGTTTCTTTCTTCTCCGTCGCGATTTCTCTTCCATCGTCACAAATAAGCCCTTTTCTTCGCTCCTTTGCCGGCCATTTTCGCGGCATCTCACTTACAGCCCAGCGTCGTTGCAGCGGGCCGTGCGGCCAGTTCTGCGACCCGTCCGTCATATTGGAGAAGCTAGAGGGGTTAGTACCAGGTACGCATCACGTCAACCCCGCCACCAGCTGCTGTGCCGCCACAACTAAGGAGATCCCGAGGAGTCAAAGTAGCAGTACGGAGTGCCCAAACGAGCATCTCGGGCATCTTGTTGTCGCAGTTATTGCTTCGCTCCCGAGTTCTACAGCGGTCGCCTCACTCTAGAGCGCACTAGCATTTGCTTCTGCTGCTGCTGCCTTTACATCAACAACGAGTGCGTGTGCCCTTCATGTATACCCAGCTTTCCACAGGCTCTTACTGACAGCTTTGGTGGTTGCTTATAGGAAGAATTTCTCTCCCCAAAATCAAGCAAGATGGAGCGCAGCCGTGGCATCCCCGACCAGGAGATGTTCCTGAGCAAGCCGGCGCCTGAAGACTGCGATAGTCCGACGGTAGAGCCATTGCGCATCTTCAAGCCTCAGAGCCCTGATCCTTATTCTCGCGTCTCCTCGACCTCCTCCAGCAGACCGACCTTCCCGCTGCCTCCTGGTGCGTCGAGCTCTGCCGCGCCTTTGCCATTCCCAGATGACGACGACATCCGAAAGCCAACTGCCCCAAAGCCCTACGGCTCTGCCTACAACGACACGAGTCCTCGGTTGGACACAAACGTCGCCGCCGAGAAGAAGCCAGGTCTTGCCGAGAGGCGGGGGGCCGCGCCCAAGCCCATACACTCTCCGTCGAGTCCCGATGCCGACTATGGCCTCTTTGCGAGACCGCTGCAAGATAAGCCTGCAGCTTCGACAACAAACTATCCAACTTATCAGAAGACGTACTACCCGCCCCCCGGAGGAGCTGCATCTGGTCCCTCAGGCAGTGCGCCAGCGCAGCCGCAGCAATATTCACAGCCTAAGCCGTATCAACAGCCTCAGGCGTACGAACAGCCTCAACCACAGGCGCCTCAACAGCCTCCGAAGATTCCCCAGACTGAGAACCTGAGCGCCAACGATTCAGGTGTCAATCGATTTGCCTCCACGGCCTCAAACTCAACTACCAGAGCCAGCCGGGGATCGCCTCCTCCCCCAGAGACCCCTATCGTAGAGCCCGGAAGCGTGCCCGGAGGGGGTATCGAGGCCCGGTATGCTGCTTCAGGCATTTCCGGCACAGCAACCCTCACCAGCCTTCAAGCCTCACAGGTACAGAGTGCTGCGGCCGCGCAGAGACTTGCACAATACAACAATCAGCAGCCACAACCCCAGCGCCCCTGGACGCCTACAGAGTCTCCCGACCAGGCTCCCTCGGGCCCCCCGACTGTGTACCAAGGCATGAATCCAGTTTCATCTCCTCAGCCGCAGCAGCCAGTTACCAGCCCTATTCCTCAACAACAGCCAGCACAGAATCAGAGCAACACTCCGGCTCAAGTAAGCGTTCTGGAGCAGGACTTCCAGCGCATGTCGACCAGCTCTCCTCCACCAGCCTACTCGAGTGTGAATCCCAGCGGACGAACCTCGTATCCGAATGAGAAGCAGCGACCACAGCAAGCCAACCAAACGCCTACCCCTGTCCCCGTTGCTGCTCCCGTTCCCTCTCAAGCCTCTGCATCCGCCAGCTCGGCACCGCCAGCCAAAGATTCTGTGGTGGCTGCGGCTACGGCTGCAGCTACGGCTGCCGCTGCTGCAGGCCTTAGTTCTACAGCTCCTCATAATCAAGGCCATCCTGCGTTTGCAAACGATCCTAGGCCAGAGCCGGCTGTTCAGCATGCTCAGGTTGTGACCATGCCCCCGAACCTCGCAGCGGCCGGCCCTGTCTCTCCGCCTCCTTTACCCGAAGGATGGATTGCCCATCTTGACCAGAACTCGGGCCAATACTATTACATTCACCTGGCCACGCAAGCGACGCAGTGGGAGTTTCCCAAAGGCCCAAATCCCATTCAGCACGATCAAGCCCCTCTCTCGCCCACAGCCTCTACATACGGAAATCCTTTGGCTTCCCCCATGTTTGGCAAAACACCTATGGCCTCCCCCATGTTTCCTCCGCACACGCCTGGATACGCTGAAAGCATCATGAGCGTTGCGGCCTCACAAGCTCCCACTGTCGGCTTCACAGGACCACCACCGAGCGCCGGTGTCGACATGTACAGGATCCAGCCTACCAACGGGGTCTACTTTGGCCCTTACCTGAAATACGTCAACATGAATATCGAGACGGGCAAATGGTTTGGCAGCATACTCATCGTCACAGATGCGCCCCAGCCGCCTACTATTCACCTGCACCTGAGCATGGATCTTTCTCCAAACCCCAAGCAGCTGGTCCCCCACGCCATCTTCGTCCACCAGCGTTGGACCTTTTACAAATACGAGATTGACATCGACATGGGGGAGACCACCGACCGATGGACTTATGCTGTCACGTCGCATCTCGGTTGTACCCGTTATGAGTTTGTCGTCGCAGGAAGGCATGAGACTGGATGGCGGTTCATAGCCCACTCGGGTAACGATTTCGCCGTCAGCACATCTCAGAACGAGCGCTCCAAATTGGGCGGCGTTGGTTTCATGTGGAAGGATGTTCTCCAGAAGAATGTAGAATGCGGCGGCTTCCACGTGCAACTCGGCTTGGGTGACCAGATCTATGGTGACCGACTGTGGAGAGAGGTGCCTCTGATGAAACAGTGGCTAGCGATGAGTGGAAGAGACAACAAGAGAAACACGCAATGGACAGCCCGCCACGAGGAAGATGTTAGCCATGCTTACTTCCACTACTATACAAGCCACTTTGACCAGCCTTATCTGCGGGAGGCTTTTGCTCAGATTCCTCACGTCCTACAGATTGACGACCATGACATGTAAGTACAGAAAAGGAGAAAGGGGGGAGAATCCCAATCTTTTATCTCCCCATGTTTTTATTCAAACATCTTTCTCTAACTTTTATAGCTTTGATGGATTCGGCTCCTATCCTGACTACATGCAATCTTCTGCCATATTCAAAAATACCGGGCGGGTCGCATCAGACATGTACCTGCTATTCCAGCATCATACCACAGTAGAGATGATGCGGAATGTTAGCACCGACCACGACATCTTTACCATTACAGGCACTGGTTGGCATTTCGTCAAATATCTTGGCCCGGCAGTGGCTGTTGTCGGGACAGACTGTCGGTCGGAACGAACCCAAGCCCGTGTCATGGCCGGGCCTACTTATCAGGGTATCTTCCCCAAGGTTGCGACTTTGCCACCAAGCGTGCAGCACGTTCTCTGGATGGTGTCGGTTCCTCTGATTTACCCCAGATTGGACACCGTGGAGAGCTTGGCCAATACTGTTGCGGCAGGAAAGAAGGCCGTGAATACGACATATAACATCCTTGGCAAAGTCACAAGCTCCGTGGCAGGTGTTGTGGGCGGTAAAGAGATGGTAGCACAGGGCTTCAGCCAAGTCAAGAAGGCAGTTGGCAAATCTGGACTTATGGGCAATGTCCTCAACCAGTTTGGTGAGCTAGATATCCAGGAGGTTCTCAAAGACATGTGGACACATGACTCCAAGGATCTGGAGAGAACATATTTCATCCGAACTCTTCAAGGCATCGCCCAGCAAAAGGGTGTCCGCATGACTTTCTTATCTGGAGGTAGGTCCTAAGCTAATCTTCCTCATCCTCACATTCTTTGTCCAACTACTAACTCATATTTTGCAGATGTCAACTGTGCAGGAGCCGGTCTCGTGCACGATCCCACTCACCCTGGGGACCACAAGACGATGTACCAGATCATCACTTCGCCGATTGTGTCTGCACCTCAGAGTACCTATGTGTTGAAACTGCTCCATAACCAGAAGACACTCTACGTGCCGCTCAATGGCCAGAAATCCACGCACGAAGTCTCTGATACCAAAGAAGACATGATGGAGATCTTCCACACCGATGCTAGCGGTGCTACGAGAGAGTTGAAGAAGCTCATGGGTCGCAGGAACTACGTGGCCTTTGTTGCATATGATCACGACGCCGTCATGGCCCAGAGTCAGGGGCCGTTTAGCCCGAACCCAAGCATCCATAGCCAGCAGCAGGGCTTGTCTAGGCTCAGCCTCGCTGTTGACTTTGTGGTGCAAGGTGATGGCGCATTTACGGCTACTACCAAGTATGGTCCTGTGATTATTCCTCACTTGGAGTATGGAAGGTAAAGAAGCTAGAGTGCTAGATGGATGCGACAAAGAGAGGGAAACTTAAAGAGAAGGAGGATGCTGGGCTGCGATGCATTAACGCGAAGAGGTGCATGAAATGTTGGGGGATATTTGACTGCCAGTTTTCTCCCTGAATTTTGTATATATAAAAGATTAACGAATTGTGCTTTTCTTTTTTTTGTATTTGTTTTGAGCATGTGCATGGCGCGCTGCTGGTAGTTTTGTCGCCTTTAGAGAGCGAGCAAGAGGTTTGATGTAAACTTTATATAAATGAGAAATTTTTTGAAATTTGGGTTATCTTGGTATTCTTGGTATTATCTAGATCTGATGCGACAGGGCCATCATTGTGGACTTGTCCTTTTGTAAAAGCATTTGGCTCTACTCTGTCTCCCCCACCTCTTGAAGCGCAATATACGAGCGTATCTCAATTATAAATAGGTTTAGATGTCAAACAGCTCCTTCAGGATGCGCATGGTGTCCTCGGGGCCCTTGACGGAGTGGCCAATGGTCCTGGAGTCGGTGAAGATCTCGAAGTCGTTGCCGCCCTCGAAAGTCTTGTCGCCGAAGAAGTGGATGTTCTTGTAGGTGATTCCGTTGGGCTTCTTGGCCTCGTTCTCGAGGTGCTGCAGGCAGTAGGTCTTGTCCCAGCCGGTGGGGAAGACATCGAAGGAGATCTGGCCACCAATGGAGAAGCTAGGTATAGTGTCAGTTGGATTCTCTACGGCTAAAGCGCATAGGCTGCATCAAAGAAGAGAGAACGCGACGTACGTAAGACCCAAGTGTCCAAATCGCTCCTTGAGGGCGGCAACAAACTTCTGTCGGACCTTGGCATCCTTGTCAAAGGCCTCGAAGTCGTTTCTCTCCTGGGTGCTGGCGTTTCTGCCGACGGGGCTGACGTTGATCATGCCATTGCGGAATTCGATAAAGGTTCCCCTCTTGACGGGGATGTCGAGGTCGGCGATGTAGTGCAGGCAGAAGTTGGCGAGCTCCTTGTACTGGGCCTCGCCGATCCAGCGGATGAAGCTGTTGGAAGGGAGGGGCTGGCCCAGCTTGTACGCCGTGAGGCCGTTCTCGGCGAAGCAGAAGTCGAAGAGGGTGGTGACGGGGACGCCGGCGGGCTTTCCGAGCTGCTCCTCCTGCTTGATGAGGTCGGAGCCGCCGACGAAGCCGATGGAGCACTTCTTGCGGAGGGCTTGGAGGAGCTCGAGGATCTCGGGGGAGGCATCCTGTGGTAGGGGGAGGGTCCATGTTAGCGAAGTGACCGAATTGGGATCGCGGGGTTGAGAATTGGAGTGGAAGAGTGGCGGTAGGTTGGGAATTGGAAGTCAAATAAGACGGTGCAGACGATGTCAATGTTTCTCAAGGGTGGAAATGCCAACTTACAAGACGGGCAGGAGTCAATGTGCCGTCAACATCGAAAAGGCAGATGGTGTCCTTGAGAGGACGCTCCTCAAGAGGGGTATAGGTGGGTGCAGACATGGCGGGCAATTAGAAGGAGAAGAAGATGGTATAAAATAAAAGGTAGAAAGATGAAAAAGATACAAGCAACAAGACGTTGAAGAGACACAGGAATCTATACGAATTCGGAGGCTTTGGAGAAGAGACAAGATTGTCAATGGCGGGATGTTCAGTTCAACGAGGGGTTGGGCAGTCAAATCGTAGGCGGTCAGCGAAAATAAATATTGACAGCCAGGAGCCCTCAGTGACGAAACTCCAATTGGCCTGAGCTTCGAGTTAGTGCTTCGGTCCCCTGTACCAGCTGCACTAGTGACTGTATTTGCAGGTGATCCTTCGTGCTACAGGGAGGCTAATGGATGGAGGGGCAGTGCTTAGCTGGGAATACGGCGAGAGAAATGAAATGGAGCCGCGAGCCACTAATTTCAGCATACGAGCCACGTTGGCTCTACTGGCGCTATGGGATACTGGGCGAGTGTTTATTGGCAAGACATGGATCAATTTGAACAAGACTTAGGACATGTCACAGCCCGGGAAAACAGATGAAGGGTGTGACGAACATACACAGCCTCTGGTTTTGTGTTTTACTTAGATGGAGAGGAGGTTTTGGACACGCGTACATTGTGATGTGACTGAGAGTGTGAGTGAATACGAAGAGCCTCGTAAAATCTTCAACGCCAAAGGCGTATCTTGAAAAATAACATGGTGGCGGGGTAAATACAGGGGCGCAATTCTGAGGCTGAGATTTCAACTGAGTTCGCTGAATCCTTTGGAGAGCCTCCAGAGAGTCAGCTTCTCATTAAGGCGTCCATCGATATCATACCACCTAAATGTTCAAGGTTGTTATACCCAGTATTAAGTTAATGCCTATACAAATATTCCATCCCTATGCCGTGTGCTATCTACCTCCAAAAGACAAACGATAAACATAAAGCGAATGTTGTACAAGTAAAAAATGATCCAAAAGCCCATGCTTCATACTCATGCTCATGCTCATGCTCTTAACGATGCACCATATCCATATCCTCATCGACGTCATTCCCCCATCAAACATCATATCCTACATAGGTATAGCAAACAGGTGAGCGCATACTGTACAATCCCCCTCCATCACAGTAGCTAAGAAATATCCCCAATTACGCCTGTAAGTTCGACGACCACGTTGGCCACCGTGCTGGCCACCCAGATGGCAATCAGTGCCCAGCCGATTCTGCGGCTCAGAATCCACTTGTTCAGAGGCACAGCGATAAGCAAGCCGACCAGAATCACAAGCAGCGTAATGGACGAAATCATCAAGGTTCCCCCTATCTGAATCCGATATGGTTTGTATGCGTAATCGTCTCCCGGGTGCTTGCTCTGATGGTGGTTTGCGTCCTGGACCATCATAAGGACACCGCCCACGCCTATTCCAAGCAGGATATTAAGCATTGGACCACCGAAGCAGGCAGACCTGTAGGGGAGACTCAGTTAGCGATTATTCATAAAAAACATGAAAATAATAATAGATGGTCGGTTTGTACTCACAATGCCATGACGGGATATCCAAGTCGAGCCACTGTAATGTCAGCCACCAAATCGCCCACGCTGTTGCCAGCTGCGAAAATGGTGAGTCCAAGTAAAGCCTCGGAGATGCCGAGGACTACGCCAAAAGTCTTCAAAACACCAACAACTTCACCCGCCACAGTTGAAATCCATGCTATGCTAATGATGAACCCCAAGAAGCAAAACAAAAAGTGGTACTCGGGTCGCTTCTCTTCCGAAGTAAGTAGAAGCAAAGCTCCCAGCAGAATGAACGATCCTAATAGCGTCCACAAAATCATGCGCACCAACATGGCCCCTGGTCTCTCCCAGTCTTCAGAGATGTTTGCCCAAAGAATAACGACGGCAAACAGCGGCCCCATAAAGAGCTGGAGGCAGACGAGCCATCGGTTCCATCCCAACTTTTCCTCACTCCCTCGGCTGATGGACCGAACTTCGGACAAAGGTTTGGGCATGCCAGGCTCCTGGGTGCGGGGAGATATAACCAGCGTGTCTTCGTTTGGTAATGCCAAGAGCGGAGTCTGAACGCTTCCAGTCATAGCATCGCTGTTTCTGCGATGTAGAGAATATCTCCGAAACCGTTCCCACTCATTCTCAGGTTCAATCTCTCCCTCTTGGATCGAAATGGACGGAGCCACATGACTAGAACGATAGGTAATGGCATCGTCCAAGGATTCAACTTCTCCCGCCATCTCCGATTCAACAACTGGTAGCGTTATTACCAATAGAAAGATGCTCGGTACAGATATGATGCTGATAGCCTTGTCCCATAGTGCTTTTTCTTTCCATCCTTGCAATGTCGGAAACAGGGTAGCAAGGAGAACATGCGGCGCAGGAAGAACTGAGTATGGCCACCATCTCACTGGTCGTAACATAGCCTCGGCGCTGCCCAGCGCAGCAAATGGGCTCTCGCGAACGGTGGTCGAGGCTGGAAGCATGCTAAACCCAGCCTGCTCAGGTTGCGTATTTGGTGAGATCGGCATGGGAGAGTCTGTATATTGAGGGAAAGGTATTATAGGTGAGGTTGGGATACTCAGGCTGCTGCGTCGACTTGGTATCTGCAGCTGAAGCCGAGGCGTGACAGTTGATGTTCGTGGTTGCCGATGATGACTACCAGCCACTGTCCCTGGCAGGTCGACCGGAGGGGGAGCCAGTTTGCCGCCAATTTGATACGATGGTGCAGGGCTCGCCGTCCTTTGGCTGGCAGCAGGGGACAACAAGCTGGAATCTGATCTCTCTCGCACAACGTCTAGTAGATCATGAGGCACGGCTGCTGAAGTTGGTGCGGTTCCGTGCGACCTGGCCCTCTCCCTCCCATCGGCGGCAGCGGCATCATAGGGTGAGACATCGCCTTGGGCGGCGGGAGGTAGCATGTCAGAGACAGCGCTCGTGCTCCCTCTCCGCCGCCCTCTGGAAATGTGGTGCTCAGAATAGCTCCGGGCTGGGATTGGCGAGAGCTGAAGGTTGCTCTCCCGCTGCAAGTGTGCCAAAGCAGATCTAAACTCCAATGCGCCAATCAAACTGGGTCGAATCGGCGTAAGTGTGTTCCTCCGCCCGCCCTGGGGACGCAAGACTCGCATGCTTCTTGTCACCTCGGCCACAACCATTCTTTCATGGTCCTCGTCTGTTTCTTCGCTGTCAAAGCTACCAGGCGTCTCAGCACTCTGGCCGTCAACCTCTATGACGGGGCCGCGTTCCAAAGCGGAGAGGACACTCTCCCCAACAGTACTCGGCGCCCGTCGGCTTAGTTCTTCGCTCGCGTCGTCGGGTTCGTCTCGGTAAGGCTCACCAGCCAGCTCATCCCCGCTGTGGCCAGTCAGCCCATAGAAGTGACTACGGGCCTCCCCTTCTCTGCGCAGCCTGCGCTTTCGCCTCGTAGTGTACCAGTGGCATCCGACAACAGTTACGACATAGAGGACGTAGTATCCAATCATGGCGCAGCACTCCCAAAAGCGCAGTTCTCCATCAGCCAAAAACCCCATGGTGAAGGAGATTGCAACAATGAAGAAGCAGATGTCCCTAACATATGTGCGACGATCCACCCTGAACTCTCTAACCAATGCCATGGACCCAGCCACTACACCCGTGATGAAGCTGGCAGCGCCAATGAGTTCGCCGACAGCCATGCTCGCACTGTTGGAGCCCATGGCTGCAAAGGTGCTAAATACATCTGGGGAGCCATTTCCAAAGGCGAGGAACGTGACGCCTGCAAGGCTCTCGCTCAGGCCCAGGATAGTTGCGATGGTGCTGAGATTGACGCTGAAGAAGTCGCTCGCCGCGATACCGATGGTGGTGAACAAAAGCCCCAGCCAGGTCACCAGAAGGACAAAGGCAACAGGTTGTGCTTTGCCCAGCCTGCAATAGTAGAGCTCGAGGTAGGGAAGGAGGCCGGCATCTTCATCGATGCAGTATTCCCTGACAAAGGCGCACTGGTCTTTGGCGGTGTGCACTTGACGGCACTCGGGCTCTTCGTCGGAGCGTCTGAACAGTCCCAGTTCGCCGTGAGCGTCGCCGTGAGCATCGCCGTAATGATGCTGGGTGTGTGCCAAGAAAGAGTACGCGGCCAGTAGAGACAACAGCAGGACCGTGGTGTAAAAGGGCCGGAAGCTCAAACGGCCCCGTCTGGCGTTGGTTGTCCGCATGCTGGTCGCATCGACATATCGCAAGATTACGTCGGGCGAGTTGCGGGAAGCAGTCGTGAAATTTGGCCGTGCAATGCGACAGTCATGAACGTATCATCAACTGTGGGTGCGCGACATGATAGTTCAATGACGACGTTGGTCTAGAGTGCCAAGAGTGCCTTACGTTAGCCGCGGTGGCACTTTTTCTGTGCTCCGACCGCGCAACAAAGCGGGAAGGATCCCCATTGCCAGTTTTAAGGTTTTCCAGAGGGGCTCGTTACCTTGGTACCGGCACTGAAAGTACAATACGGGGTACATGTACCAACACCTATCAAGTACTTCCACGTCTGTACCTATTTGGTGGTAGTGCTGGACGTTGGCTTTGCTACAGGTATCTAGTTGCCTTGCTGACCTTTAAATGCCTTGTTTCATTTAAATCAGTACATGGGAGAGAACCAGCCAAGAACAGAGCCAGACTGTTCAAAGCAAGCTAGAGGTGCCTTATCCGTGAGATCCTTATGGAAATAAACTGGGCTGTGCATGCCATTCCCCTCTAACGCAGAGTGCGGCAACTTTGCCCATTGAGTTCTGACCGTTTGCCCAGGCACAAAAGGTACTGGGTGTCGACAAAAGAGTACGGAGTATCCGTACCTGCACCTGCTTACTGTTGTCGCGTAACTTCAAATTTCAGCCATGTGTGGCGCGTGGCGCAGGCGGCCTTCCAATCGCACCAATTGGTTGGCCACTAAGCCAAGGTGGGGTTTGCGCCGCAGACACCTTGTAGTTCGTGTTGCTTCACGAAAGTCAACAGTAAACAAAAAATACTGGCACCAAGACGACACGCGGCAGAGGCTTTGCCTCGCATCTCTTAGAACAAATCCAACGCAGAATCAGCGACACCTCCGTTCCCGACAATGCCTCGGATTGCTCAGATGCCACGCGCTGGTGGCGCAAAGGCGTCAGCTGCCTCGAACTCGTCGCCATTCAAATCTCCCATCAAGTAAGCATCTCATGAATCCCAACCAGCCTGCCAGAGGGCTTTAATATCAATAATGCGTCATAGAATCCCCCTCAACGACGATGCGCAAGAAAAGGGCCAGCGAATGAACAATCGAAAAGCTCTTCAGGAAAAGCAGATAAAGGAGATCAAGAGGGCGGCCACCCCGCGCAACAGCCTGAGAATCGAGGACTTTGAGAATGCTTCACAAACCCCCTATCCCGGCACGCCCCGGGGGACAAGAGTGCTGGACGACGATGACCCCATCATGGTTGGAGGTGTTTCCGTGACGCCGATGAAGCGCGTCCCAATCCTGGCCAACTTCGAAGAGTGGATGAAGATGGCCACCGACAACAAGATCAATGCCACCAACTCATGGAACTTTGCCCTCATCGACTACTTTCACGACATGTCCTTGCTCAAGGAGGGCGATGGCGTCAACTTCCAGAAGGCTAGCTGCACGCTTGATGGCTGTGTCAAGATTTACACCAATCGAATCGATAGTGTCGCAACCGAGACCGGCAAGCTGCTGAGTGGTCTAGCAGATAGCAATAGTAAAAAGAAGGACCGCGACGCCGAAGACGGCGCCGGCGAAGGCGAAGAGAGCGAGGAAGAGGTTGATGAGGATGGCAATATTAAGAAAAAGACGAGGAAGAAGGTAAGGAGCAGGAACAACAGAGGATTGGAGAATATCCCCTTCATAGGCTAACCGGCTTGCGCCACCTTACAGGTACAGAGGTCATCCGAAGCAACACTAGCCCCATCGTTCGCCTCACTGCAACTCAAGAAATTTGAGCTTGAATTCGCCGTCGATCCCCTTTTCAAGAAAGCCTCGGCCGATTTCGACGAGGGAGGCGCCAAAGGTCTACTGCTTAATCACCTAATGATTGACTCGCAAGGCCGCATTGTCTTCGACAGTAGCGATGATGCCGGTGATGCAGATGAAAAGAAGAAAGAGCGCCAGGAGGACGAGGACGAGGTTGAGGATGACGATAGGGACAAGGACGAGGAGAGGGAGAAGGAGAGGGAGAGGGACGAAGAGGGGGATATAACTATGGACGGCGGCGACGAACACGACGAACGCAGCCATCTAGAGAAAAAACAGGATAAGACCCAAGAGGATGATGATACCAACGTGGAGATTGACGTTGCGGCCCTCGGCCAGCGGTTCTTTCCCGACCTCGGCCTTCTAGATGAGCTTGATATTTGCCCATCTCTGAAGAGCTTTGAGCTAGGAGACCCCTCCGGCTCCATGGACATTCCCTTCCTCAAGGCCCCAGAAGACTGGAGACAAGACCAGGAGCATAAGAGCTCCGGCGCCCATGGCGATAAATCCGGCATTTTCATTGATGACGATGCACCAGCCGGGTTTGACGACGATGACCTGGGCCTTGGCAACTTTGATACCCTTGGAGATGTTGCTTTCGGTGAGGGTGGTGAGGCCTGGGCCAAGGAGGCTGCTCTCGAACCTCAAATGCGTGTATACGACGCTGGTCTAGATGGCGGAGAGGGTGGAGAGGGTGGAGATGGTGAGGGCTTTGATGAAAACGGCGAGTATATCGTATCCATGGCCAAACCGGAGAATGCCGACAAGATGCATCAAGATATATTGAGCTTCTTCGACCAAGCGCTACAGAAGAACTGGACCAGTGCCGAGCATTGGAGGATTCGCAAGATCAAAGATGTCAACAAGCCAGCAGGAGAGACAAAGAAGCGCAAGGAGAAGGAGCCATTCGAAATCGACTTTTTGTCGTCTCTCAACCCCAGCCAGTCCGACGTCATCTACACACAAGCCTCAAGCAACTCGGCTGTCTGCTTGCCCAAAAAGGACTGGAAATCAAAATCCCGAAACCTGCTTCCTGACGACAAGCATTTTAGCTCAAAGGTCTTACTGAATCTCTTCCTCAAACCCAAGTCTCGCCTAGCTTCTAAGCGGACAGGATTTGGTGCACGCAGAGGTGGCCAAGGCCACGGCTCTCAGGACAACAACAATCAGCCAGCAGGAGAGCTTGATGAGGCCTTTTGGGCACAGCAAAATGCACCAGAGGATGCTGCCCTACCAGAAAGCGATTACGATGCCAACTTCTTCCAGGACGACGGTCTGCCATTCCCTGGTGGCGATGACGCAGAAGACGATGACCTTGAGTTTTCAGACGCCCGAGAACATCTATCGCCAGGAGCTGAGGGAGATGGGGGCATGACGGAAGGCGTCGGAATGACCGCTATGCTCAACGGGGAGACTATGAACACGATGGGCGCCTTCGGCACGACACTCATAACTCAAACGCGCCGTCTACGTCCTGAATATGTTCAGTATGCCAGGGTTGCAAAGAAGGTCGATGTACGGCGACTCAAGGAGGAAATCTGGAAGGGCATGGGCCTGGAAGAGCTGGAGGTATGTGCAATGTCATTTGATTTGATGTCCATCATTTCAAGGCTCTTTGTTTATCCATTTATTGTGTTGCTAACCATGATTGATAGAAGCCTGCTGAGCCACTGGCAACTCCAAATGAGCCAAGGCAATCACCGCCCAGTTCGGAGGATAATACTACTCTCAAGTTTACCGAGGTGATGAACTCTCTGCAATCGGTATATCCAAAGCCCGCCATGGCCGACATCTCCACATCGTTCTGTTTCATTTGTCTGCTTCATTTAGCAAACGAAAAGGGCCTTGTGATTGAAAATACGGAGGGACTAAATGAATTGGACATTCGAAAGGACTGGACCGCCGATCTTACAGAAGGCGCTGTGTAGATTTCGCTATAATGCAGAACAAGAACAAATTTAGAAATGGGGGCCGGTGGCCATTTGAACTATAAGACGTTTTGGAAGAAGGCATGATGACGATGGGTTTGCAGCTTCTAATGAATTGCATGATGATTTCTCATGACTGTTTTTGGTATTAAATATCTGATACAATGGTTTGCCAAAAGTTCCATTATACACTGCTCATGGCCATACTCTATGTGCTTCTGTAAGATTTAATTTCATCGCTTGTTGCCGATTGCACAGAACTAAGGATTAATTAGAGCCTTTTTGATTAAACCAGCTGTTACAGCTTCATTGACTCTCTCATCCTGATCATAACTTTAACTTCTCTCAAATTCCTAGCCATCTTAAGAGTACTACTATCTACTTACCTAGTAATCCTAAGATAAGATAGGTAGGTAGTTTACCTACTCGCAAGTACCTCTACAGGTGAATCAGGAGGTGCTTGGGTGCTACCTGAGTGCTCCTGCCACAAACTCTAAACCCTCGCCATGGCAACTTCCAGTATAAACAAGCGGGCACATGACTTTTCTTGGTGACTTGAAGATTTATTCTTCCTCTTTGCCAATTCACATACTGAACCATTCACCATTTCAGATTTGCAACTACACGATTGGTTACACATCAATCCAATTGTCAATTTAATACTCAACGCATATATATATCCCTCGAATTCCCTACCATTGGCTCTCTTACGGCAAACATATCAAAACCGAGCACGGTAAACTCTCTCCACGACAACTCTTTCCGGGCTCCCACCAAGTCTTTAGTACCAGTACCAGAAAATCCAATAAACAAGAACAAAATCCGTCACTGTCCCCGATAGCTTTTCCCATAAAGCTTGGGTCCTATGAAAACGACCAGAATCGACCTTTCCATCAACGCCGGCTTCCCGTCATCTCCCGAATTTCCCAACCAAGTTCATTCACAGTTCTCTGCCACAAATATGAACAGACGTAGGAAAGAAAGAAGGGAAGAAAAAGGAAAAAAGAAAAAAGAAAAAGGGGGGGCAAAACCATATCCTCAACACAACAAATATCTCCAACGCAACGAATTGAATCACATCAAAAGGAACAGGCGCAAGAAAGAAAGGAAAAGTAAAACCATACAAACCATATCTCCAATACAACGAATTGAATCGGAAGAAAACGGTTATGGGTATCTGAACAGAACTTCGAAGATGCGCAAGACATCTGCGAACCAGGCAGAAAACAGAACCAGGCAGAATGAACTGAATCAAGCGGCTTTCCAAACATTGCCTCTTAGTGGAAGCTCCACGCCATCGCCATGGCCACCTAAGTCAAGGTGATTCAACCAAATCACTTGGTCAAAAGCCTACCAATTTAACCATGGCCCTGATGGCCGAACATCTCACCGGCCTTTAATAAAGCGTTCACCCCATCGAGCCCACTTACGGCAATGGTGTTGGAGCTGGCAGGCGGTGCGTCTGCTGAAGTCATCAGCACATCGCCATCGCTTGTCTCCTCGACCTTCATGTGCTGAAAAGCTGAGGAAGCAGTCTGAAAACCTTTTAACAACTCATATTAGTTGCGTCTCTACAAAGGCTTGTCAGTTCGAAAGGGCTCGGTACCGTATCCCTTAGGACCCTGGAATTGTCCAAAGGTTGGCCTCCCTCGCTCAATTGGACTAGCAACGTAGCTAGTCGTATACGACGGGCTCTCATCGATGTGCTGGGGATGTTGGTCGTGGTCTGACAAGAGCGCATGGATTGGCAGATGGCCATCGCTCAATTTACGACTAACTCTGCCCGACGATGTCGTCGGCACACTACTGCCACTGGACGATGTCTCATGATAGAGGGGCGGTACTGGAGCGAGTGGCAGCACGTGTGTTCCGTGTGAGATGGGTATTCTGGGATTAGTTGCAAAACCATGCATAAATACAGCATTCTCAGCCACCGGGACGCCTATTTTCCCTTGTCCGGGGGCCAGCATATCGGAAAGTGATGGAAGGTATGGCTGTGGTACATCGGCTTGGTGCGTCAATCCTCTTAATGACGAGGAGCCTCGCCGCAAGTGTTGTGATTTGTTTCTCGTGGAAATGTCAACGTCAAATTGTGCCGTCGCTGGGGATGGCACCGAGCCTGCTGAGGAATGCTGCGATTCCGCAGCAGACAAGATCGAGTTTGCGCTGTTGTGCCGAAGGCTCGGACGCTCCCGAGATTCACTTTTACGCATTCTCTCACTGCTACTGCCACTAGCAGTTGAGGTTGAGCCACCCAGAGCCGTGCTGCTGCCCACGGTACTGCTTCCAGCACTGCTACTCCCGTGCGAAAGCTCGTGTTTCTCCAATCTTGCTCGTTTCGCATCATCTTGGCCTGATGTCGAATGAATTAGCTCCAATTCTGCAGTATATCAAGGAAGCTCAAAAAAAAAAAAAGAAAGAAAGAAAGGAAAGGAAGAAAAAAAAACCACTGCTCATTCTTCAGCGCGGCATGTACACACCTTGATTGAGTTTGGCCTGCTTCTCATTGAATTCATCGAGGTAAAGATTATACCTGCGGAATTCCTCTGTCTGCTTGTAGATTGTTATCTCTCGGTAGTATCGGTCTTTGCTCGCCCTTGCTTGGGCTTCATATACCTCCCTCTCGGATAATGGAAGGCTCTGCCAATGTTCCCCGACCAGCTTCGCTATTTCGGTGAATGAGAGACTGCGATCACCTTTCAAGGTTTCTCTCAACTCTACAATGGTGGTTAGCAGATTGCCTAAAAGAAAGCAGCGGCCACAGTATATAAGACTCACTATTTGAGAAGAGTACATACGCGGACATGGGTCGTTCAGGCGCATTCTCATCTGGCTAATCACCGAGGTTAGCATGCCCATTGTCACGAAAAGAGGCTGCTTGGGTCAGTTTCACCTTCGGATGTCGGCGGTATTTGCGCTTCGTCACGACACTATCGCCACTTTGATTAGGAGGATCTCTCTTTTTATTAACCCCATCATGTTTTGATTCTTCTGGGTTAGATTTTATTGATAAGAGTGCGATGTTGGGATCGATGCCCCTTGCGTTGGCAATTCGCCGCTGAAGTCTCTGAGGATGCCTCCAATTAGCAATCTGCTATCGATTTCGGATATCCGTTGTTATACATACTCTTCGATGTCCTAATTTGACACCTAAAGCATCACTAGGGTTACAGTTAGCCCTGAGCAGGCGCATACAAGCAAACTGGTTTACCCACAGATCAGACTCTTGAATGTCGAGAATGGTTTCCCAAGTATCAAAGCCTTGCTCCACAAACGTGTCGAGATACTGAGAAATGCCAAGCTCCCTGAAGATATCCTCCAGCTCTTGGTTGGTTTGGGCGGGCTGCATTCTCGCAATGAGAACTATGCGTTTTCTTGACAAAGTTATGATCCCGGTGATCTAACATTTAATTCTAGTTGTGGGGACCCAAAACTCAATATCCGCGATTGATCAGACTCGGCGGGTATGTGGGCGCAGCCGGTGGAGGCGGACGGGCAATAGAGATCGAAATACGACGGCAGACTGATGGCCCAGGATCCAGCACGGGCACAGACTTGCTCGCGCAACAAAATCGCTTTTCGACAAAAATTCGCGTTCGTGCTTAATAGCTATTATCGCCGTGAGCGTCGTCGACTAGCTGGTGGTTTCCAGTAAAAAAGCCTCGGTGTGATGGCGTGTTGAGAATTTGTAAAAAGTGGCAAACGGCTCTCCTGCAGATTTACCAGGGACTGTGGTATCGAAAATAGATAAGAGTACCCAAAACATCAAATGATTTCTTCATTTATCAGGCTAAAATGTCAAGTTCTAGCCAGCGAGTGGAATAAAAGATGAGCGGTTAAGAGGTATAACCCTTGTCAATGTTGCCAAGTCCAAAAAAGACTGTGGCTAGGTGGCCGGCGACACAAACCTGCCGGAAGGAACAACTCGAGGCCAGCACGCCCGTGAGCAAGTACGAACGCACGATTTGGAAGGCTTGATATCAGGAGCAAAGGCGAATGTTAAGCGAGCTATATCCAGCAAGCTTCGCCACCCTAAGTGGCAGAATCGATCATCTCGATCTGCAACAGCAGGGCTATCAAAGGGATGGGACACTCGAGATGTCGGTCCAAAGGATACTTGAGCGGGTGAGAAAACAACGACCACGGGCTCCTCGGCTACTCTCAGATGTCAAGACTGGGAATAATCACGGCCTTTCTGCTTTAGACGATACAATCAAGGCGACGGTAGATGACCAATGGCCTTCCAGAAGCGCGTAAGCGGAGATCGCAATGAGGAGAAGAGTCGAGATTGGTCGTTAAGGATGAAAAAGTACAACCATGCCGGACACTCTCACAGCATTACAGACATGGGACTGGTTAAGCTTCGGTATGTATGGCGGTGATATGATGGCTGTTCTGCTTGTCAGCACCTCTCCTTGGATGTAATGGCAAGGTTTTCAACAGGCTCCACGGCACTGTATGAGTGAATGTACCCTTTCTTCTTCTTCTCCTTCTTCTTCTTCTTCTTCCACCGTGGGCCCAGAAACAACAAAAGGTTATCCAACTTGGCTAGGGTTAAGGAAATGGGGGGGGTAGGCAGAGAGAATTGGGGGGGAGAAATTGTTATGGGGAAAAGAAACCGAGAAGAAAAGGTACGGGCCCCCCCATGCAAAAGATAGGACTGGCACGGGATTTGGGATGGAAGAAAGAAAGGGAGGGACGACTTGCTGGGGGCCTTTCACGGCGCCTTTGCACAGGATGCGTTAACAAGTGCAGGGCACGCCGAGGGTAGGCGTGCCGCTATCAGAGAACCTGGTCCGTCCTTCAGGGCCGTCTCGACACCGACGACACGGTGATGAAGGAAAGCGTTATTCGATCCAGGACCACTAAACGACGGCTAGGGGAAATCGGCAGCGAAGTGAGGGATCGGACTGGGAGCTGTACTCCACGAGCTAATACTGCAGGCAGACCAACAAGACGGGACCACAGCGTTCCGACTAGCAGCCCTAGCTGGGCGGACACCGAAAGCTGGCGTAACGAAATTTGGGAAGAGGAGCCATAATAATCTGGTCTCACAGGCTGCTACAAGTACAAGGTGAGGAGACATGACGAGGGTGATGTAACCCAAAATGGAGGCGTTGGAGGGTGTTACAGCTAACAACTTAATTAACCCGAGCATCGAATTCCAAGGCCAGCAGCAGCCAGGTCCGAGGGGCCTCGTCTCTATCGAGATCGTGGAAAGGTCAACGCATCACCACTTTTGCATATTCTGCCCGTCGATAGCTGTGCAAGTGGAACACACAAGGGCAGGGTTTGAGCTTCTTTGACACCTGGTACTACGGTACGCTATTGAGCAACGCTGCTAAAAAGAGCCGTCATCAATTTAAAGGACGGGACATCTGACACCTTGGTCAAGAACAGAGCTCCAGCTCCCATGAGAATTCGCTCACGGCTACTCCCCGTTTCTTGCGGCCAGGTGGCTATAACAGCAGATGCAACGACGCACCACGCACCCACGATTGAGTACAAGTACAGGTATGTATGCTTGCAAAACCATGGCAGTGTTCTCATCCAGGTGGTTTTATTGTACCATCAGCCCAGTACCAGACGCTCCTAACCGGATTTACGAGCACAAGTATACTCGTATGCCATCGACAGTACTAATAGTGAAGAAAGTGATGAGACGAGCTGAAAAAAGAGCTAACGAAGGGGCTGCAAACAGGGGGATTAGAGGCTTACAATTAGGCCTCTTTGTCTCCTTTGGGACTCGGTTTCATGCCTATTGGCGCTGCGAGCCGCTGAAGGTTCCAATTCTACTCCATGCGGCAGACGGAATACCACCTCCATGTATGAGTACTATGGTATTGCACCTCCTCCTTCCTCCAACTGCGCCGCTTAGCTGAGACCGAAATGGTACTTGTGCTTACGCTGAGAAAAAAGGGGGCGAGAAGAAAACAACATGGTTCATCAGTTGAGAAGCTAGACTAGCTTCGCTACAAGGTTAGGGCCCCTTCGCTGTTGCAAGCCAATCCGCAACAGACAAAGGTAGGGTTGGTGCGCGCGGGCTGCCATTCGGGCGACTGGCTGTCGTCGGATCATCGCATTGGCCTGAGAGGTCAGCGATCTCGATCCCTCAAACCTTTGGGCTCGTGGCTCAAGACCAGTGGATAGCTAGGCAAGGGAAAAGGGTGGAGGGCGACCGCGGATTGGGTCAGGCACCGGGTGAGTCGATGGAGGCAACAAGTGGCCTATCACAGCCGCAGTCTAGTGCTACGTCACAAACGCCGGGGCGTCGCGTTTGGAACTTGGCCCATGCCGGCACTACCAGGGACTAATCAGGACGACAAGCCCTTGTGCGGAGCGCTGTGAATCGGGCTCAAACCTGGGAATCGGATTGGGGTCACGCCACTATGGGTGTCGTGAGGTCAGACGCTTCTCCTTACTTTGGAGTGTGTATTACTTGAAGGCCTGCAAGGACATTCAAGACCCTGCAGAGCGGATGGCAAAGAAGCAAGGGGGAGGAAGAGGTGAGATGGAAGGAGGCAAATTTGGACTTGCGGAGAAAGCAAAGAAAAAGACTCGCCAGCAGTGTCTCAAACGAGCACATACGAGTACTCTGACACAAAATAGCTTTTGCATTTAATGGAAAGACGGGCCTTGCCAGATGGGTTTGCGGTACGTACGTTCCCGCCACAAATAACGGCCTGGGGCCACGTTGCCGAGTTGGAAAAGAACACGAACCTCTTGGGAATAAAGAAGCCGCGGGAAAGTACTCGGTAACGGAAGCCAATGTTCCCACCTGACCGAAGGGAGAGCGACGGGGGCTCAACCAGTTGCGATAACAAGTCAGACAAACTGCACAAATCGGTGAGGAGTCGCTTCACCGCAGCAGAAATAACCATCCACCACCTAAACCAGGGCCATGCAAGCCCACACCTCCAAAAGGGACACATTTTCCAAGGCCGGCACCCGCAGGTATGGGAAATTCCATTAAATGGGACAAGAAAAGATGGAGATCTCGATCCCGTCGAACTGGTCCCCCTCCCGCGAAATAGGGCCGTCCATCTCTGCTTCGATTCTACATGTCTAGCACCCGGGGGGCACGCACCAATGAGTAATGGCGGAGGTTCGGGCCAGTGCGTGGATTCATTAGATTCACTGATCCCACCTGTCCTCGAACTTGTGCTCAACCGTCTCTCACCATGCAGCGGGCACAGGGCGTTTCGGACCAGCACTGGATGATAAATGGGCACATCTCACGGGACAGCCTAGAGCAGTCGATCAGCAAGCCATGCTAGTACGGTGCTTTGCCGGTCTATACGATACTTGGATACCCACAGTACGAAGTACCAAAATGGACTCTGACATATCTTAAAGAGCTCTACCCGTCACTTTGTTCTACTCTAACTTGGTAGATCGGTCGATTGAACAAGCCTGATGATCCACTTTGAAGAGAATTCCACACCAACCGAAATACATGATGTCAGAAATACTACGAGTCCAAGGCGGCTCACATCTCGATTCACATGTAGTTATCAAGACGATCAGCGTCCCTTTGTGAGGGAGGGGGTTGCCCCTCATGTTGCAAAGTTTTGTCCAGCGAGGCCAATTTCCGGTGATGGCGCATTATGGGTACCTCAACTGCATCATATCCAATCCCCCTCATGCGGACGCGGTTGGTTTTCCAACGCCTCCCTCCGAAGTGTCCCGTACCTGTTTATGTCCATCTTCTGCACTCTGGTCAGAGTGCCTCGTACCGTAACTGTCATGCCAGCAGCCAATGGCAACCGACTGCGGGTTTTTAGAATCTAGACCCGTCGAACCTGCATGGGAGGGGGCGTGTTTGAAGTTTAACAGGGTGCTAACAGTTTTAGCCCTCTGACTAGTAATCTCTAGACACGGAGCACCAAAAGCTGGCACCTCCTCACCCAAGCCACCCGCACGAGAGGATAGAAGGCTTCAACGCGCTTTCATCGTACGAGCGGTATCTCGATGTCAAGAGTTGGCCTGCGTCTATGTGTATACAGCGTAGGAGCTTCAGGCGACGGCTCGAGGGCTGTTTGAGGACGGTTGAACTAAGCTCATTGAGGCTCCCGCAAAGGAGACAACTGCCAAGCTCGCTTCTGACCCAAGCCCCAAGAAGGGTAACTGCGACAGCTGTACATGTCTTTGCATCCCAGCCAGTGACAGGAATAACGCTCAGGTGTCTGACCAGTCGCGATGGCGGGGAGATGAGATGGCCCGACAGATGGCTAAATTCAAGAGAGCGGGCCATCCAAAATGGAGGAAGTTGATATACTATGTATAACTTTTGATGTACAAGTAGGGAGACGCCCTCTGGATTTCCCATCCGGACGGCACATTGGTACCAGCAGGAGCATTATGGAGTCTCGGAAGCAGAGCCAAATGGCCTGCTAGCCGGACGCCTTACAAAAGGGCAGAAGCGCCCGTAGGGAGCAGCAAGCAGTGACAATTTACTATTCCCACACGGGCAGCACTTGGCCATCCATGCTGACGGAACGGCATCCGTCTGCAACCCCTTGGAGCGTCAATTGGTCGTGGCGTAAAGCTGAACAGGCCGATGTGTGTGCTCGGCACCAAGGATCCTTGCTGGTATTGGCAATACCAATGCCACCTCATGTCTGAGACGCAAGTGACGAGGAGTTGTCGCGTTTGATATGTGAGCTGCCAGCTGCTAAGGAGTTGTGATGCATCTGCTGTGAATCCAGCCGCAGCAAACTATACAGATATAGTAAGACATGGCGAACACGAACCGTAAGCTCGCCAACAGACGGACTAGTTTTAATTACTGGTCATTAATGATGGATGCTGCCGTGGCCACGTACTGCATGATAGATGGAGCAAATGGCCGAGAATATTGATTCCAGTGGTGTGTTTCATTTTCTCTTCTCTTCCGTCGTCAATGGAGTTGTATTGTGAGAATACTTGTACAAGCTGGAGCGAAAGAGTCCCCTCCCTGGTACCTTAGTAGGTACCTGTAATATGGAGTAATACTTGTATGGAGGAACTAACCGACATACTGCCAACCCTTGCTCTAGCAGGTACTCGTAGCATGTTGGCAGCGTACCTTTTGCTGGGATCCTACCACTAAGTACAACTACAAGGTCCTGAGGCACCTACACATGCTGCCCAAGAGGTACTAGGCAGTACCAGCAAGTACAAGTACGCAAGGCGCGCATCACGTGAGCCTGCCCGGTACAACGGCAGCCACCCAGCAAGTGCCTGTTACGGAGCATTATTTTGTACTCCGTCCATTGGTAGAGGCGCAATAACTGCTCAGCCTTGCAGCTTCGTGGCGCGGAACACAGACTCAACAAAATCACATCGGCCGTCTTCGACTCCATACGCGATTCCACGCGCATCAAATCCCCCCTGTCCAAGTAATCTCTCTTATCCACGTAATAAGCCCGTCCCTTGAGATCCAAAGACGGCTTCAAAATACCATGGCGACGCCATCCGAGACAAACTCGAGTAAACCAGATCAGTCCGAGGACATTTCCGAGGTTGATATCGCTCAGGCATGTTCATCACGATATACTGCTCCTTTTTTTTTTTTTTTTTAGCTTCTTTCTTTCTTTGTATCTAACTGGGAAGTGTCGTGTTGTTTAGACGCTTAGAGATATCGCTAGGTAAAGAAAATCTCAACTCTCCCTGCACCATATATCCCTTTACTTTCTCCTTGAATTCCCTAGGTACCATTCAGTTCATTAAACAACCCTGTCTTCTCCTCTCCACATCTCAAATCTCGCTTCTCTTCTACAACACACAAAATCACATCTCTTGTATATCAATAATAACAAAAATCCCACCGATTCTTACCAAACAGAGGCGAGGCAACCGCTACCTACATGGAAGCCGCCCTGACCAAGCTCGAAGCCAAGCTCGACTCCATCCTTGCTGATTTCGAAGAGATGGAGCGGGAAAGGAAGGCAAACGGCACGGACAAGGCCAACGAAGAAGAGAAAGAGGCTGACAAGTGAGGCATGGGGTATCTTTCATGTAAATTTGTTTTTGTTTTTGTTCTGTCGAGGGTTCGTTTCTAGCGGGATTCAGACGTTGGTTTTATAACAGTGACACTACGTTCTCGTGTACACGAGATAAACCTGTATAGTAGTCATCACAACTAGACGCCAAAAAGAGCTACACATCCAACGCCATCATTCAATATTCATTCACATCAAGAGCAAGTAATCAAGCATGTGGAAGAACCCATCGTCTCCAAGGACAAAGAGATGGAAAGTCTTTTGATGTCGCTAACAAGGCAAGAAAACTAGGCAACTCGATTCCACACACATAAAAAGAAGAAAGCAAAATAACTTAAAAGCAAAAATAAAGGTAAGCATCTCTTCTCTTTCTCTTATCCACGTTTGCGTCCTATTTCTCCAATTTCAAGAGGCCACTCCACCATCCCGCCTCCGTGTCCATTTACCCTCATCCTTTGAAGGGAACCATCTTCAGTTTCATTCACATCGTTGCCATCAACGATTGTTGTGGAAAGAGTCCAAACCCGCAGCTTGCATTTTCAAGAAAATGGAAGAAGGGGAGTAAAAAAAACCTAAAGAAAATCCACATCCGTCCCTCCACACGAAACGATAAGAAAGACCGATTCTTTCGCTATGCCATTTCATCCACGTAATTCCATAAAAAAGAAAAAAAAAAGTCCTGCCTACTATTGCCATTGCAATATGCCAGCGAACCTCCCTATCCGTTACTGCGAAAAGAAAAAAAAAAAAGTCCATGCGATATAAAGCAAAGGGAAGCAAATATAAGTTAAAGGGAACAAAGGACGAACAAATACCATGAGGGTAGAAAATACACCAAAAAAAACAGAGAGCCAAAGGAAAATTAGAGAAGTTAATACTGAACCAAATAAACAGGACAAGACCGTTGCGTCTTTTTTTCTCGTCCAAGATGATATCAACACCGTATTCGCCAGGTTGAGGATTGAAGAGGGGGAGAGCATATCGACAAGATCCCAAAACAGCAGTCATGCTCTGAAAGAAAGAACACAATGCCCAAACAAGAAAAAGAGTACTGGAAATCAGACATGATCAATACAGAGACTTGCACCAGCTCCTGTGTAATTGCAGTGATAGGACCGCCCCTGCCAGCAGCATCATGCAAGCTGCAGTGACGTGATGCAGATTCGTGGCCCCCAGAGCTCGTTTACATAGAGAGGGTGCAAGGTATTGTAAACGTAGCTTTCAAACGTAGCCAAGGAAAGTTGTAAAAACTAGCATGGGTCCTCATAAGCTCATGTCGAGCGGCAGACTCGTAAACTCGATAAGACGCTCTCGGACCAATCCGAGTGCAGCGTCCATCTTTGATGATGCCGTCCCAATCAATGTCGTATACTCTTTAACTCGAGAGGCTTCGTTTATCAGCAAGTTCTTCGCGTGCTTTTGAAAACGTATCCTCTTCCTCTAGATCATCTTCATCTAACAACTCAGCACCAAATCCAGAGAGCTCACTGAATCTTAGGCCGGCATTTGCTGCTGCTGCGTTTCGCGCCTCTTCCAGAGCTTTACTGGTCGCCTTGGTGAGTGATGGCCTGTTCTTGGTCATGGGCTCTCTAGTGGTGAACGATCTGCCCTCGAGGCTGGGACGCAGCATGCCCCTTTCGCCTTCTAGGCGTCCAGATGCCTTGGCTTCTGCTTGTAATGCCAGTTCCCGCTCGCGATTCTTCTCGAGCAATGCACCTCCAAGGGTGGCACACTTGAGAATGGTCTGGATGAGCTGGTTCTGCTGCAGGGGCTTGGACAGATACTCGTCCATCTGGGCTTGGATACACTTTTCGCGGTCACCCATCATGGCGTGGGCTGTAAGAGCAATGATGGGAGTTCTATGTGTTCCCATGCCGCGTTCATATTCACGGATCTTGCCGGTGGCCTCGAATCCTCCCTGTTTGAAAAGAGTTAGCTCATGAACAGCAATTTGATGGACCTCTGCGCCAAGGTTTACTACTTACCATGATGGGCATCTGAACATCCATTAGAATCACATCAAACTTCTTCTGTTTTACGGCTTCGACAGCCTCCCAACCGTTGCCCACAACAGTGACAACATGGTGGTATTTTTCGAGAATCTTCACAGCCAGTTTCTGGTTGACCGTGTTATCCTCAGCAAGGAGAATCTCAAACGACTTGGTTACATCTGCGAGAGATGGTGTGGCTCTGTTCTCCAAGGCGGGGATCATGCCGTTGCTCAGGTCGATCAACTTGCATGGCATCGTCATGTAAGACGTGATACCCAGGTCCAGACAGGATTTCAAGCTGACGTGAACCACGGGAGCTAGCAGGACAATAGGGAGGTACTTAAAGTCATCTACCGCTCTCAATCTCCTAGCAGTATCAATTGAGTCAACGATGATGGCATCATAGGGCAAAGCGCCGCCCTCCTTAAGGCGAGTGAGAGCCGAGCTCTTCTCGGAATTAACGACAACGGGGTGAAGCCCGATCTCTTCCAGCATTTCTCCAATGTGTGTGGCCGCGTTTGACTGCGACTTGTCGACGAAGAGAACCTGGTGACCGCGGTAGGGCTTCAGTTGCTGCTGAACGCTTTCCGCGTGCACGTCGGCCAGCTTCACGCGGCAAGTAAAGTGGAATTCGCTGCCCTTGCCAACCTCGCTGTTAACCCACAGGTCTCCGCCCATGAGGTTGACAAATCGCTTGGAAATGGACAAGCCGAGACCTGTTCCACCAAACTTGCGCGTCATTGAACCATCGGCCTGCTGGAAAGTGTCGAAGATGAGGTTGAGCTTGTCCTTAGCAATGCCAATTCCAGTGTCCTCCACGATGAATTCAATGGCGTATTCTCCGGGTGCCACATGCCTCTTATCCTCTTGCTCTTGAATGGTTAAGCTGACCTCACCGTGCTCGGTGAACTTGATGGCATTGCCCACGAGGTTCAGGATAATCTGTCTCAGACGGAACGAATCTCCGATGACGTAGTCAGGCACGGAGCTGTCTACCTTATAGGTAAGATCAAGGAACTTCTCGTTCGCCTTGACTGCGAGAGTCTTCAGAGCATTGAAGACTGTGCCTCGCAGCGTATACGGGATCTCTTCAATAACCATTCTCCTAGCTTCAATCTTTGACAGATCCAAGATGTCGTCAATGATCGTCAAGAGGCTATTGGCAAGATCATTGACTATGTTTAGCATTTCTCGCTGGTACTGGGTCAAGTCGGTATCCAAAGTGAGCTGCGTCATTCCAATGATACCGTTCATCGGAGTTCGGATTTCGTGGGACATGTTTGCTAGGAATTCTGACTTGGTCTTGTTGGCCAATTCGGCAGCCTCTCGGGCCTGTGTGTTTCTCTGGATACTGTCTCTCAGATTTGATATCATTTGGTTAATCTTCTTTTTGAGCTCGTCCATCTCGCCGGAAGCCTCCACGTCGACAAGCTTGGTGAAGTCGCCGTCCGTGGCCAAGTTTGTAATATCAGAGAAAGCGCGCACTTGAGTGGTCTATAACATGCGTTAGTAAATTGGGCCTTTTCGAAACAAAGCAAGTTTGCACAGAGGCGGCGGCTTACCAAGTTGCTGGCCATGGTGTTGACATCAGTGGTAATTTCTTTCCATCGTCCATTCAATCCAGCTACATCGGCTTGGGCTCCCATCTTGCCATCGACACCGACATCCTTGGCAACTCGTTGAACTTCGTAACAGAAGCTTGACAAGCGCGAAACCATGTTATTGATGGTCTCCTTCAGCACCTGTATCTCACCATTTGCCTCTACATCAATTGTCTGACTCATGTCTCCGTTTGCAATGGCCTGCGTGACAGCCGAAATACTTCGCACCTAGATTATTGTCAGCATGCGAAAAAGTAGTTTGCCGTCGCCGTCCCAAGAAAACAGGCCGTATTGTGGTAATTTTGAATGGGGAGAGTGGCATGACATACCTGTACAGTGAGGTTCGACGCCATGGTGTTGACATTCTCAGTTAGATCTTTCCACTTGCCCTCAACATTAGCCACCTGGGCCTGGCCACCAAGCGTACCATCTGTACCGACTTCTCGGGCCACTTTGCTCACTTCGACGGCGAATGTGCCCAGGCGGTCAACCATCTGGTTGATGGTGTTCTTCAGTTCCAAAATCTCTCCCTTGACTTCGACTCCAATCTTCTTGGTAAGATCACCTCTGGCGACAGCCGTGGTAACCTTGGCAATCTCTCGCACTTGTGTCGTCAGATTCATGGCCATGCCGTTGACGTTTTCGGTGAGGTCTCTCCATGTGCCTTCAACGTCATGAACCGTGGCTTGGCCACCAAGGCGACCCTCAGTTCCGACTTCTCTGGCAATCTTTGTGACTTCGCGGGCAAACTGCTGCAGCTGATCAACCATGGAGTTGATGGTAGACTTGAGCTTGAACATTTCTCCTCTGCATTCGGCTTGGACTTTCTGTGTGAGGTCTCCCTTGGCGACGGCTGTAGTGACCTTAATAATGTCGCGCACCTGCGTCGTCAAGTTGTTGGCCATGGCGTTGACGTTTACAGTAAGATCATTCCACATGCCCTTGACTCCGCCGACATCAGCCTGACCACCCAAGATACCTTCGGTTCCGACATCTCTTGCTACGCGCGTGACTTCAGATGCAAATGTTCGAAGTTGATCCACCATGGTATTAATGGTCTGCTGCAGCTGCAAGATTTCTCCTCTTGCTGGTCGCTCAATCTTCTTCGTCAAGTCGCCGTGAGCGACGGCCGTTGTGACAGAGGCAATTTCTCGCACTAGATGGCATTATGTTAGATAAACCTCACGCACAGCACTTCAACTGCCTATTCTACTCGACCGTAAAAAGCCGGTTGGAGAGCAAATAAAATGAGGGGAAAGGAGGGGGAAAGAAGCGAGGGAAAGGTAGGAAGAGAAGGATCTCGCCATACATACCTTGGTCTGTGAGATTCTGTGCCATTACGTTGACTGTGAAAACAATGTCAGCTGTTGTTAACGACTACCATTACCGACTACTGGCCAGAGATTGACCGAAGTAGAGGGAATAGGATGTGAACAGAAAAGTAAAATGGGCCATACCATTGTCTGTCAACTCTTTCCATACACCGTCTACACCACCGATGCGGGCTTGGCCGCCCAGCAAACCCTCAGTTCCGACCTCGCGGGCGACACGAGACACTTCACTGGCAAAGGTCTGCAGCTGGTCCATCATGGCGTTGATGGTGCGCTTGAAGGTAGTGATTTCGGGGTCCATTTCGACGGAGTTCATGCGGACCTTCATGGTCAGGTCACCGCGAGCTACGGCAGTGACAATCTCACCAATCTCTCGGAGGGCCTTTTGGAAGGCCTCGTTGGCTTTCTGGTGCTTCCACAGCTCTCGCTCGAGCGTTGCTACCCGCTCCTGCTCGAGCATGGCCAGGGCACGTTCCTGGAGCTGTTTCTGTTCTAATAACTGCGCGTTGACGCCAGCGAGTTCCTGGCGTTGACTGTCTAGGAGCTTGGACTGGTCGTCAACATGATCGCGCAGTCCTTGCAGCGCTTCCTTGGTCAGCTGGCGGGATACAAAAATCGGACTGTCCAAGCTACCTTGATGAGCCTGGGACAACCTTGGCTGAGGGGCCACAGGGGGGGCGCCGTTTTCAACCTCATCGTTGAATAGTGTGTCGTTGACTTCATTGGGCGTCTCTGGGAAGATGGCCGTGGCCGAGACAGACGCTCTGCTCTCTAGCTGGGAAATGCGTAGGGCGAGCTTCTCAAGCTCAATCTCCAGGTTCCGTTTTGCAGGGTTCTCACGGCCTGGTAGCTTGATGCTGGAGCCTGGCCCTACTGATATTGGCGTGGAAGTAGAGGCAGGGTCGCAGGCGAGAGAGGCGATGAGCTCTGCGGCCGCAGCGAGTGCCGCCGTATCTTCGATCATGCCGGGCGCCGGGGGGTTCCCCAGAGAGGGAAGAAAGAGGAAATATCGCGGAGGAGGCTGCGAAGCGACGGGCGGGGAGGAGCAAGGATGGTAAAGATGGGGAGAGTAAAAGAGAAATTCGTCGAAATAAAATAAAGAGTAGGAAATAAAACTCGAGGAGGAAGAGGCCCTGCTTTTTTCTGGTCTTCGACGGCGGGGAACAGCGGCGGCTCGGCGGGCAAGGTCGAGATCAAGGCGCCGGGACCTGGAGACTCGGTCGAGTAAGCGATGAATCAAGGGCGTGCCAGAGTCATTCGAAGCAGTGAGGGCGAGGAAGAGGATTGCAGAAGCTGGGATGACTCGGATCCGACAAGAGAGCGAGAAGACAAGAACAAGAAGAGCAGGGGACGGAGCAGGGACAGGGACAAGAACAAGCGCATGAGGGACACTCTGCCTGTCTGATTGATTGTGTCGCGGGGGATCACGCAGAGGCGCGGGGAACACAACACAGACAGGCGTCAAAGGGGTGCGGGAGTTGAGTTTTGGAAGAAATACTAACGTAGGAATTCCAGAGGTATTCGGACTGCACCACCGCCCGGTGCAAACTGGTTGAAGAGAGGAAGAGATGGAGGAGAAGACGAGATCTTGGGCGACAGGGGAGTGGAAAGAGGAGTATTCCCAGGGCCTAGAGAGCAGGTACCCAGAAGGTACAAGTACGGTAGCCGCTGAACTGAATCGCCTAGGACTTTTGCTGTAGTGCTAGTAGGGCGCTGTGCTAGCCAGAAGCCAGCTCTGGAGTGCAAAAGCTGGGAAAAGAGTTGAAGATGGCGGAACATGCAGTGTACATGTACCTATAGCACCGCATGAGCCCTTCCAAGTCCCTGCACTGGATCAAGCAATCAAGCAGCACTGACCAGCCGCCTGCTAAGAAGGGCACAGACAGCACAGGTTATTGGAAATCATCAACACGATCGACCCGTCTGTGCAGCTCCCTTGGTCCTCTAAGAATGCGACGACTGCGGCTTCAGTCTGTTGCTTCGTTGTACCGGTACCTTGTCAGTACCTTGGGGCGCCACCACTCGCGGCACAAGATTGGGTGGCTGCCCAGGCGGCTACTTGGGGGGCGCTTTTTTCCCTTGCATGCTAAGGTACGGAGTCCAGGTATCAGATGGCCCGCTACCAGGTACGAGTACAGTACAATGCGCCTCGTACAAAATGTTGTTGCGCGGACGTTGAAATCGACCAGGTACCGCTACTTGTGTAAGTCCGGCTTTGGAGGCTCTGTGTCAAGGATATGCCTGCAACCAGAGATTCATGTACGGATTGACTACGACAAGGTACCATGTCGGCACTGGTACAGTAGGCATTTAGACGCTGAGCAGACAGCAAGCAGGCCGTGCTCCAAGGCTGGGGTTTCTATCTTAGCTCTGGCCACTTCGGCACGTGGATTGTTCTTTTTTTTTTTTTTTTTTTAATTTTGGAATTTCATTATTATTCCCTCTCTCTTCCTCGCCTTGCCTTCTCTTGGGCCACAAAAAAAGCAAAGGAAGAAAGAAATAGCAGATGCAGGTCAGGAGGATGCGATGGGGTGCAGGCGTTGCAGCCAGATCGCACGCTGCAGCGCCTCCTCCAGTGACCGGTCTAGATGTGCAGAGATGAGACAAGAGAGCATGGTCTGATCTGGGCAGAAATGCAAGGCCATGATCGGCCAAAAGAGGAGAAAACACTCCCAACCGTTCTGGAGCGGTCATGTCAAGAGAGCACTACGAAATCGAACTAGCCAGACAGGGAGAAAAGCCCTTTGCTAGTGAGGATTCATGCCCTCTCACCGTGAGAATACCGAGCTGGCTAGTATCCATCCATAAAGCCGCTCTGGCGTTAATCTTGAATGTGGCGGCAGCAAGCCCAAGAACTGCTAAAAGGGCCAGCATCCGTGGGATTGGCAGCGGGTTATCATTCTCTTCTTGCTATTGATGGATGGATTACACTGTTCTCGTCCCCTCTCTCCGTCCGTTTTCCCTCTCCTTTCTCTCTTCCTTTCTTTTTCTAGTCCTATCAAATTTGCCACCCGGACTATTATGCCGGGGAGATGCAAGCGGCATGACGGCTCACATCCCACTACCCGCTGGGGGGTGAGAAAAAAAAATTGAAAAAAGAAAGGAAAGCCGGGAAACGCAGCAACCAAGAGCTGTCGGATAAGATCCTATTAGCTGCCGCCCAGTGCCAGGTTGGAACGGTGTGTGTCATTGGCGCCGTGGTCTCAGATTTGCACTGAGCTTCCCATCTCTCCCTTGCTTCAGCCCACCATCGACTTGGCCTGCTAATCAGGTGCCACGAGACGCCATGGCACGGCTCTAAAGCCCGCGAGCTTTCCTTTTTCCGCTCCTTCGACGTCGGAGGCACGAGGCTCGTATTGGGCTTGGGCCTTGTCAGCCGTTGCAAGCGTTGGCTTCCAACAGCGTCTCGACCCTATTCTGACGTGAGGAGGTCGCCGAGCTGAGGTAGCTGGACTCCGGGGGGGCCATCGAGATCCGATGTCTTTCAATAAGGCCGAGAAGGGTGTTGCAGCTGCCTAAACATGCCATGGGCCGCGTTGCAAAGCACCACCAGAGCACTTTGCACATCCGTACTAATAATCTCGACATGTTTGTGCAAAGCTGCCGTGGCTGCCATCCAGGACAAGTCCTAGCTAGGGAGTTAGTGCCCAACAGTTCCGATCTTCAGGGAAGAAGCTGCTTTGAATCAGGCATGTGGAACAACTGCTAGGTATTCCAGCTACCCGAAGGCCTGTTCGTACTGCTAATTTGAACCTGATGTTCCCCCCAAGTGCACTTGATGTTGCATCCATGTACTTTGAGAGGCAGCCATGGCCGATCTTCTGCCACAACAACCGTTGGCCGAAGTATGTACATGCAGCCAACTGCCTGCTTCTTCTTTTTCTTCTTTTTGTTTTTCTTTAATTCGTAGGCATCTTCATTCAATCTATTTGATTTTCTTTTTCCCTTTTCTTTCCTTTTTCTTTTTCCCTTCTTCTTCATCTTCTTCCATTGTATCTTGTCAAATCACGATTTCACGTATTCACACACTGGTACATACGCCGTCGATGTCATGAGCCCCAGAATCGAATAGCCCACCAACCAGGATACAATAGAAGGCCAAGAAATAAAATACTAAACAATGCAGCAAAGCAACAATACAGCGCTCATTCACTAAGCAAACTGTACAAGTACTCGCACTCGTACAATGTAGACTACAATGTACGGAATACGGATTACGGAGCACAGCGTCGCGCTTTCTCCGTAATTCGTGTGGAGATGCCCGCCACAGACGTCATACAGCGGCCAGGTCTAAGGAAGGTGCAACAAGCGGCTCGGGCGGAGCAGAAAAAAGACCCTTTTCAACGTCAATACACAGGGACTCGCTGACAAGTCTGGAATAGCGCTCCTTTTTGTATGGCGGGCTTGCTCTGCTTTTTCTTTTTCTTTTTTTGCGCCTTTTTTGGGGAGGTCCTGCAGGGTAGAAATTCCAGACCAAATGGCCCAGAGCAGCTGTCCTTTACAAGACAAGAACATCGTGTAGAATGACGGTAAGTACAAGATGTCAAAATGTCAAAATGTCAAAATTACAGGGCAATTAGCACGTGCCATGGACCCTTTTCGTGCTAAGGTTAGGCCGTGATGAAATCTGGGGCGCATTGATGGAGATGTTCGCTGGTCGACGCAAAGGGACACAGACTCTGGCGCTCCCTGTGTGCGAGTGTCGATCACCACCAAACAAACACTGAACCCGTGTTTCATTAACCCGCAGCCCAGATTATCAGACTTCCAGCCCCCAGACGGCCAGTGCTGATCATGCGGGTTCCCGAAGATGACGGATTTGTTCTGTTTGCTCGACAACCCTTGAATTACCCTTGAATTACCTTACTCGGAGTAGCAGGAGTCCGGAGAAGTTGTCCCGCCGTTTTACAGAATTTAAGTGCAAAGGGCCTGTACTACAGCATCCCAGGCCTTTGAATCCCCCGCTTGACAGGGGGTCTCTTCTTTTTCCTCTTCGCTGGGCTCCAGCCAAAATGTCGGGCTGGTCCTCTCTTCTCTCTTCGCCATCCCTGCCTTCATTCCATGCACATACATACGGGCATCCAGGCAAAAGCTGAGCATGCAGCTCATTGGCCCTCGATCCGTCCTTGGCTCTTGGCATCAGGCAGGCCGCATCTTCGGGCCCGATGCCGAAATCGCCGGTACTCGTACATGCAAAAATGTGTGTCTGATGTCGGGCATTTGGGCGGGAAAAAAAAAAAGAAAGGGCTGACGAAAACTAAGACACTACCCTCGCAACGGTTGCGCATGACCACGGCATAAATGCCTGTACACTTACAAAAAAGGAAAAGATGAATGAGGGGGAAAATGGATAGGCAAGTTAAAAAAAAAAAGAAAAAAGAAAAGAAAATAATACGGAGTGACCATCGTGAAACCGCCACTCGCCAAGCATTTTGCCTCTCCTCACATGGCCCCCTTGTCTGAGACTCGATGTCGTTCTGCTACTTGACATTCAGGCTTTCACATACCTGTACGAGCACTACCGGCAGCTGTACAACTACCTGTACGGTAGCACTCACAAAACGGGGTGTGGTGGCCCAAACCGCTCTCTGCGTGCAACCCAAGCTCGCACAAGTAACAACTGACAGGTCTCTTGAGGCGACGAGGCCAGAACAAAAAGCCCAAGGCAGCCCGCCAGTAAGGCGTCGGCAATCCACCGACTCGGTGAGATACCCTGGTCGAAATGGAACGCCACTTGATGTGCGCTTGCCGAGCGAAGAGCCCAGAGCCAGAGCCGGAGCAGCCCAATGGGCATCCATAGAGGGCGTCGAATCCCATCAGTCTTTTAGCCATTCTGCAGTTTCGGATATAGGATAGGCAGCAACAGTTGTATGTATGTATTGCGTATGTACCTTGATCCTTGTGCCGATTTGCTCTGCTTTGCCTTGTTTGCTATGTTGCCCAGGCACAGGGTCTAGATCATCAAGTGCCTATGTTGGAGATCTGCTCTGTATAGAAAGAACCCAGTAACGATGAACATGTCGACCTCAGCGCTGCTCTGAGATGTGTACCCCTAAATCCGTGTAACACAATAGCCGCGTTCACGCCTAAATAGCATGGTCATGCCCATCTCCCGACTTAAGGAGCTGCAGCGGTGACTTTCCAACCACCCACTACAATTAAGCCTCCTTTGGGCTTAACGGCTTCGATAGTTCCATGTACAAGTATGGCCTTGGGCGAGTAGGATAGCTTCCTACCCCTTGCGCCAACGGTATAAACTTTACCAGGATTGCGAGGCTACACTGGCGGCAGTTAGAAATGGGGGGTTTTGATGAAGAAGGGGTTTGGAAGAAGATAACGATTCAGTCGCGCTCTTATACTCCGTACTCGTATTTAATAATAATGCTTAATGCCGACGGCTCTTATTATATACCTCCGGCAAGCTTGCACTCCAGATATCAGATGACGTTGTGAAGGAGTATACTCCCAAATCTTAAAAGGCCTTATGCCGTTATAAGGAAACGAAGTTAGGGACACTCTTAAATTCGAAGCACCAGGTACAAGGGAGACACTGCCTTCCATTCCAAAGCATATAAAAGTAGTCCTTGTTCAAATCCAACGCTTGCTATCGTGTTAATATCTGACATGACATGGTATCGTGATTATTTGACATGAATCCCAAGAGCACACCAAAAACTCCAGAAAGTCCAAAGAAACCAGAAGATCAACATCAGTTGTCCTCATACATCTTCATCAAGTTAGCCTTGATCTGTGTTATCTGGCCATTCAAAGCCTGCTCCTTATTCTCAAGCGCTGCAATGCGCTCCTGCAACCTCGCAATCTTAATCTTCTTTTCGTTGAGGGCTACACGAGCAGAGTCTCTGCCCATGGCGATGCCCTTGGTGCGGCGGGCAGACGTAGCGAGGATACTGCGAACGGATTGTAGAACAGAGGGTTCGATGGACTGCGATTGAAGAAGATCCATGACTTGCTCAGTAATCTCGTGGCCGTCATCTTTGTCCTCGTCGTCATTCAGCTGAGTAGCCGTCATTGCTGACGAAGGGATAGTGGGAGGAGGAGCATCCATGCTGCTAGGAGGAGAAGTTTGCTGAGTGCTAGTTGGCGAAGATTGAGAGCCTTTGTTCTTGCTCGGCGTAGGAGGAAACGGCTCTGGCTCCTCAAAGGACACAGATTTGGAGCGCTTGGCGCTCTGCGCCTGGGGGAAGAGAGTGCGGGCGACCGGCCGTGATGAGGAGGCGAGAATATCGTCTTCGCCATCTGCTGTGTTGAGGTCGCCGTAGCCCTGCTCGCGGATAAACTTCTCGACGCTCTTGTCCGTCATGTCGGCAAGCTGCCGCTCTTCATCCGAGCCCATGTCGTCAAAGTCGTCCTCCGCAAAAGCGTCATACTTGCGTTTCACACCAGTGCTAGGACCTGGAGTAGGAGGCTCATAGCCACCAGAGCCAGTGTCAGCGGCTTTGCCCTTGCCCTTGTCCTTGTCTGATGATTCCGCTTCTGGCTGTGACGAGCTCACGCGCTGAGGAGGCTTCGCAGCCTCTTCATCACCATCCATCTCTTGAGCTCGCAAATTCCCAGGGTCACTCCGCCGCCTGTCTCCCAGAATCTCAAATCCAATATCTGTGAGGCGTGTCTGCGTAAAAGACGGCAGCTTCGACGGGGTAGCGGCCGAGCTGCCTTCGCCACAAAGGCTAATCTCTCGTAGTCTCGCGTCTTCGAACCAGAGGAAGAAACCGCACCCGTCGGGGCCACGAAGAGGACACGCCCAGAATGACCTGCCGATATTACGAGTTTCTGATGAGACGATGCGCGGGACGGCCTTTGCGCGTGGAGAACAATTGCCTGGATGGATAGAGCCATGTGTGAGCTTTCTTGGGCGCTTTCAAGGTTCGTTCTCAATTCTCGAGCGGGACGGAATGTACGAGATGGGAATGATTGAGGGATTTAGGTGATGGTAGAAGTAGAGAAAGACGACGTACACCACCACTCCTTCCGTTGCCAAAGTCCCTTAAGCCTCCGCTTCTCGGAAGATGGTGTCGCAGGATAGACGTTCTGGTGGCGGTTGCTGGTAGGTGTTGTCGTCGCCATACCGCAAGTAAATCGCCCACAAAAAAGCCAGAAAATTGATAAACTCACAAAAAAGGAAGGCCAAAAAAACAGTCGCTAAATCAAAATACGAAGCCGTGCCACAATCTGCACGGAAACTTCTCTCATAATCTCATCAAGTTGCTTCCATGTAGGAAATGTCAAGGTGAGAGTACGGAGTAGTGTTAACCTAAACTCGAATATGGAGAAGTGGGCAGTTTTGACAGCGGCTGAGGGGCGGGAGGCGCCCCAGGTCTGAGAGTCTAGTGGTGCTATCCCTGCTAACTCCCCCGAACAGCATTTACAGCGCTGCCTTGATATTCTGCCTATTATCTAACGTATAGTATGGATGGCTAAGGTGCACATCAAATGCTTCGAGTTGCCTAGCATACACTATCGTCCATCTATATTATTGTTGGCTGATCATCAGGTGTTTTGTGTGTGCGCCTCTCTCGAAAGAGCGAGGCTGGGAGCGCTTCGCACACCGTTTTGATTCGACCGCATGCCGAAGCTGAACATCCTTTATGAGCTCGCGCCGACCTAACCGTGCATTGATCGCAGGGGTGCCGGTTTCAATGCGTGATTCTGCCTTGCCAGGGCTTTGCCTTGCCGTCTGCTGTACGAAATACAGGTAGATCACATGCAGACATAATACAAAACTTTCTTCTTTGTATGACTCGGAACACAAGAGGAAAATACCTACTCTCCCTACATACTGTACATCTAGACATGATGATAACAAATGCTATTATACTCTACATAACAATATTTGACGAGGTGGATATCAGCTCCAAGTCTATAGCCAGCCATAATGGTAATAATAATGATAATGAAATGCCGTCGATCGGCTGTAGTACAAGAATCCCAATCATTTTCTACCTTGCTCCCCTTCCATTCCGCAGTCTATCACAGATGTGCGCTGTCTTTAATGCCTCTCCCAACCAAAAAAACACCATTTCTAAAATCCCATCATCCCTGCAACCGCCCCTCCCCCCCCCCCCTCCCCCTCATTACACATCTTGTACCCCTGGTCAAGAATTATGGCCCCCTAGGAAAAGCCAGCTTCTCCGTAAGAAGCTTGTTCGTCGTCTTAAACACGTCCTCGGGAGTAGGCGTGGCATCAACCTTGATGACCTTGCCCTCGCCCTCGTAGAAGTTGACAACGGGCATGCTCGTCTCGACAAACGTGCGGAAGCGCTTGCGGATACTCTCAGCATTGTCGTCAGTTCGACCGCTCGTCTTGCCCCGCTCCAGCAGGCGCTCCTCCATCACCTTCTCGGGGCAGTCGAAGAACAGGACGAGCTTGGCGGGGCAGACAGCCTCCTCAAACTTGTGCGCCTGGTCCATCTTGCGGGGGAAGCCGTCGATGAGGAAGCGGCCCTTGGTGGTGCCCTTCTGGCGGAGGGCCTCGGTCATGGCGTTCTCGAGCAGCTTGATGGTCACCTCCATGGGGACAATAAGGCCGTCCTTGATGTAGTCCTTGATCAATTGGCCAAACTGGGAGCCGGGTCGGTTCTGCTCTTCGCGCAACAGGTCGCCGGCGGAGAGATGGGTGAAGCCCTGCTCGGCAACAAGTCTGGCGCATTGCGTGCCCTTTCCAGCACCGGGGCCGCCGAGCACGAAGACGACAGTCACATCAGAGGGGCTAAAGACCGGCGTGGTCTGAGAAAGCTGCGCAGCAGGCGCGGCAATTTCGGTCGCGGGAGGCATGTCTTCACGTAGCAAAGTGCAATTGTCAGCAAACCAAGAGAACAATGTCCGGATCCGTGGCCATGGAACTACCATCACTCACTTTTAACACGAGTGTTTGCCAGTTGAATATATCCCGCCGTACCCAATCCAATAAGCGCAAGAAAAGGCCAGAACTTGATGCGATCGCCTCCGCTGGTGCGAGGTTCCTGAGAGGAATAAAAGCGCTGTTGACGGAAGACACGAGGGCCGCAGAGCGGTGACGAGCAAGATGTTGCGCGTGTGGAGACGGATTTGCCTAAAGTGCGGTTGGCGAGGCGCAACGAGGTCGACATGCGGGAGGCCATTGGTTCGTTTTGGGGTCCTTTGATCGATGTGGTGTTAGATCCGTAGGTAGTCCAGAGGGTTCGTCTTGGTGGGCTGATGCCAGCAGCTGCTGCGTTGTCCAAAGGTTGAAGCCTGCAAAGTCAAGGTGATCAACGAAAAGTAAAGTGCGTCTCTCGTGAGAAACAAAGGGGAGCTGTAAAGAGAGAAAGAAGGGAATAAAGAAAGGAGAAGCAGAAAAGCCAATTGACTTTTGAAAAGTAAAGACACCTTGTATATGTACCTTATTATAATACCCAACAGGATTCAATTACAAGTCTATGCAATGCGCAGATTGGAGGCATGGCAAATTACCCCCCCAAAACCGCAGGACGCGACGTCACGTGATGCGTTCAGGGGGAAATGGGCATTTCATCAACTCCTTATTATCGATATAATAGCTTTGCCTTGTTTGTTTATTAAAGCTATCCGTACTTACTCCATGAACACCACTAAAGTAATCTTCATATGCGGTATATCATATATCATCAGCAGGAGTCATGTACATGGTATTGTCAAACTACTATTTCGAGGGCTCGATGTGGCGCTTTCTCCAATCCGCTCCGGCAACTTATATTCATCTTAAGTCCTGTTATCAGTAAACTCTACTCCGTCTGCTATATTGCTTCATATAACGGCGTTAAGCTCTACCTTGTCAAGGAGTAGATATTGCAAAGGATATATCCAGCAGCACATCAGTTTGGTCCCCATCAAACTCCAAAATCAACCCGCGTCTCTTCATCTTTTTAAGATTTTTTTTCTCTTTCGGAATTCTATTGTACCGATAGCTTTTTTCCCCTCCTAGGCTCGTAAAACTAGGAAAGTCTAACAAAAACATCATATGCTAAACCGGCTACGCCATTCGCAATATCCTCCGGCTCGTGATATCGGATTCCCAGCGATGTACTATTAACACAAACGATCAAATATCTCCCTCCCATGCCAGAAAACCCCCCAAATCCTTTGATTTTTCTTTGTTGTAGCTCTCTCCTTTAAATTCCTGGCTGTCTCATGTTCGATTCAGTTTCACCAACGTTTAGTCGTCGTTATCTGTCCTCTCGCGCTGGGGCTGTCTTCGTCGTCCACCCTCCTGGCCTCCAGTGCTGGCGTTGGCCAGCTTTCGCTCCATCTCCTGAATCTCGCGCACCTTGGCGGCCTTTGCGTTGGCCTGCTCCTGCTGCAAAACGACGAGGACGTTCTGCAGGGTTGATCGCCAGTGGTCGACACGGGTGGCCAGCTCCTGGTACTGCTTCTGTCCGAAGACGCGGTAGGTGACCTTGTGGACAAGGAACATTTGGCGCTGCTGTGACAGCTTGCCCTCGACGAGGCCGGCTCGGATAACATCAATGGCCCATGTCTCAATCTCCTCTGAGGGAATCTGGAGCGCCTTGGTGATCTTGGCATACTCAACCTCGCGGCTGGGGGTGGCGGCAGCCAAGCTGGCAAAGGTAAGCAGCCTCATCTTGCGGTATAGCTTCTCAGCATCCAGCTTCTGCTCCTCAACCCAGCCCTTGTGCTCGTCGTTGAAGTCGTTGTAATCCTCAAGGTCCTGCTCGGCAAAGATATCGAGAAGCTGGGAGTAGATGGGTTGAGAGTCGCTGAGCGCCTGCACGCTGGGGATAGCGCGAAGGTCCTGGAAGAGGTAGTGGGTGTTGGAAGCAATGGCCATCTTGAGGGCGCGGAGGGACAGCTTCTGGGCTTCCTCAGAGGCAACACCTTCGCCATCGAAGGTCCGGAGAGCCTTGAGGATGAATTCGTAGGCAGTGCTGGAAGAGAGAGCTCGACGTCAGTATACCATATCTACAACAGGACTAATTCGAGGGCTCGGGGTTGTTTCCTTACTTTTCCTCTCCAGATTCGAGGGCAACCTCTGCAACATCCTCATAAATCTTCCTCTCCATGGCGGCGTCGGTTCCCCATGACTCAATCCATTCCGGCAGCTTCTCCAGGTAGGTCCGCAGACCATCAAACATGCTGTGTGCCTTGAGGAACTTGAGGATTTCCATAAAGACTCGCGCTCGGATAGGGTCATTAGGCTCGAGGAGGTTGAAAATGGTAACGAGCGCATTCAGCGCGAGGCCGGCGCCGTGAACGGGCGAGCTGATCACGGGCTTGGAGACGTTGGCGCAGAGAGTGGGCAGCAGCTTCTTGGGGTCGGAAGACTGCATGGCGAGGTGGATCATCAAGTTCGAGGCGGCAGTGAACTCCTTCTCCGGCACGGTGCTGAGGGCGCTGGAAGCCGCGACCAGCTTTGACAAAACCTCCTCCTTGGGAACCTCCTTGTCGCCGCTCAGGAGCTGCTTGGCATCCTCAGACTTGAGATACTCGGCCATCTCACGGGCAAGATCCTCGAATGATCCATCGACAAATAGCAGCTGGGGCTGCGGCCCGTTGATCGTGGCGCCCGGCATTTTGCCTCTTTTTTTTCTCTGTCCAAACGCCGGATACACTGTCGGTTCGCTCGCGTGCGGTTCTCGTTTCGTCTCGTCCCGTCTCGGCTTGGTGATGGCGAGGCGATGACTTGGCCTTGGATCCTACGATCGAATGAGGTCGAGGGCGAGCGGGGGCGTGGACGTAGGCGTGGGCGTGGCACTGGACAACCGCAAAATGTGAAGTTGAGCGTCTTGACAGGGTCGGCGCCTGAATAGCCCTGTGGTGGGGTCGGCCGTTTTCTCCCTCCTTTCTCTGTGGTCAATCTCAATCCAACAATGCCCACCCCGCCGATTTTTCTGCCGCTCTCAAAGTGTGGGAGCTAAGCGAGGGCGGTGACGCTGCAGAGGCGGCGACCATGTGATATATCACGTGCACTTTGGATTTTGACGATGTCAAGGCAAGATTATCAATGGACAGACATATAAGCGGGACTGCAATCTGCCAAGCAAGATGGCTATAATGCGACATCCTAGGTAGGAAAGAATCTCTAATTTTTTCTCCATCTATATCTCGTAGATCTATTTATATCTCCGAGATTTATTTATATAATAAAGTTATATAATAAAGCAAATATGTTCACCACGTTTACGTACGGCTACCTTTGATCCTCATTCATATATTGCCGTGAATACTCAAGGTTCCCGTCCAAAGGCCAAATGAAGCAAGATGCTGTTATTTGTTATCGCTATTATGGATACTTGTTGCCCTAAACGCAAATCTTTTTTTCTAGCCCGCGAGGCCAGAGAGGACCCTTCCCAGGGCCCAAAGGAGACAGCTGGTCTCCGTTAAAGCCCCCCAAACATGTCATGTAGTCCCCAGATATCCCAACGAAAGAAAGACAAGCGCAACATTAAAACGGAAAAAAGCAAATGCAGAAAAGCAAAGAAAATCAAATGGAGAGAGAAAAAAGATCCGGACCAAATCTCCCATACCAAATACCACACCGACTTGCCAATTCTATATATACACGCAAAGACTCCGATGATTGACTGAAACAGCCAAGGCGCGTTGTTGCCAACTGAAAGATCGTCACTTCGTTTATTTGCCGTTTGGTTTGCCCGCCGCCTTCTTTTTCGCAGCGATGTCGCCGGTAGGGTAGGTGCTCCCGGTGTCATCACCAAACAGCTGCTGGTCTCCTTTGCCACCCATTGCGATGAATTCTTCGGGCGCTCGTTGATGTGCGGGGCCTGCCTCAAGGGGCGCATTAGCCATGCGATGTTTGTTCTTAGAAAACACCTTGATGGGAGTTCCCTTGCTTCCGCCGTCCAGTTCAGCAGCAATCGACACGGAATTGAGCGTTGCCAGCAATGTTCTTTCTCTAACAGGAGCTCGACGGTTGACTTCCAAACCCTCGATGCCACCCACGAGCCCTCCGGTGCTGTCATTCACAGCCGGTGCGGCGGACGTGAGCCATGGGTGCTTGAGGCACTGGTCGATAGTATAACGACGCTCCGGATCCACGATCAGCATGCAATCGATCAGGTCGACTAAACATATTCAAGTTAGTATATGAAGGGGATTCTCGGGCATATTTTACAAAAGAGAATGGTTGAAACTTACGGGCTGGGTCACCGACTGAGTCCCAGTAAGGCGACGGATAGTCAAATCGACCACTCTTGATTTGCTGAGAGAGCGTGAAAGGGAAGTCTCTCGAGAAGAGCTCATCAGAGAAAGGTGGGAAGCCGCAGAGGCAAATATACAGCACAACACCGAGCGACCAGATATCGACGGCTTTGGTGTATTTTCGATTCTTAGTATCGGCCAGGATTTCGGGTGCGACATAGCTGGGAGTGCCGCAGAGCGTTGTTGTGAATGATTCTTCTCCGATAATCTTGGCCAATCCGAAATCGGCCAGCTTCACATGCAAATTTTGGTCTACAACCAGGATATTCTCTGGCTTAATATCTCGATGTACAATGTTACGATCATGCTACGAAAGGAAAGGCGTTAGAAACACGGTTTGATGGCAGGGAAGGTATGTTGCGAAAGGGTAGGGACCTTACCAAATATTTGATGCCCTGGAAAAGCTGAAGGAACAGCTTTCTCGTCTCATCTTCGCTCAGCTTCTGCTTCCTAACAATGTAGTTGAACAGCTCGCCTTCAGGGGCAAGCTCTAGGACCAAGTAAACGTGTTCGCGCTCAGTAAAGGTATCTTTGAGGCAAAGGACGTTGGGGTGGCTGACGCCCATCAGAACGCCAATCTCTTGCTGCAGGCCTTCGGTCTTGGATTTATCCTCCTTGCCAGGATGCTTGGTGAAGATCTTGACGGCATATCGCTTGCCAGTCGACTTCTCTACGCACAGATAGACCTCTGCGAAATGGCCCTTTCCGAGCTTCTCCATAAGCGTGTACTGTTGTGAAAACGCGCTTGTTTGCCGGCTCTGAGGGTATCTGAAGACAAATCTTGCTTTGCCGTGCACGGCGATTTCATCCTGGTCTTCCAGTTCGCGACGCTGGTTCCGCCCGACGAGAGCCTCGTTGACGTACGTTCCATTGCTTGACACGTCTTCAACGACTGCTACAGTATCTGTCCCGACGTTTTCCGCGAAAATAAGGCAGTGTCGGTTGGAAACGACTCCCTCGCTAACAACCACGTCTTCGGCTAATGTTAGCATTCACTGGTCTCCACATCAAAACTAGGCACCAGAGTTATCAGGAATATCTTACCGCACTCGGGGTGACGTCCAATCAGGTATCCTCCAGCTGCAACGCCCTTTACTTTGGTCTTTTCAAATGCCTCCTCTTCCTTGGCAGCCGATGACTCCTTGTCCTGCACTGCGCCGTCCACGGTAGGCTCAACAGCATCGGAAACGGGGCATGCGACGCGTTTTTTGAGCACCAAAGGCTTGTCGCCATATTTGGGGTCCAAGGGGACTAGATAGCCCCAGACACCTTCCTTGAGCTCATCCACAACATCATCAGAGAGCGCTGGGTGGCGATCGATGAACTGGCTGAGCGGCTGCGTGTCTTGCGGAGGAGACGACAGCGCCTGGCTCTGTCCCAGGCTATCGGGAGCCTTCCTGGGGGTAAGCTCGTCGGCCATGGCTACGGGAGGCGTCGCCGTGTGCTCTTTGGGAAGCTCGGTCGAAGCTTCAGCGGCATTGTTTGTGACGGGCGACGGCAGATGATGCTCGCGCGACACGGGAGTCTTGTCCGGGTCGGCCTGGGCCAAGCGGTCGGACCTGCGGGGCTTCTTCGAGTCTGTACCGTCTTCTGGCAGCGTGCCCTGCGAGAGAGAGGTTAGCAACGATGCCAATGGACCACGAACAGGTCGGTGCAGAGATGGGATTCCCAGGCCAGAGGACGTACGCGAGGCCGTTTCAATTGGCTCTTTTCGGTTCGGTGCGCCATGGTCCTCCGAAGCGCAGATCGGAGGCGCCGAATAAGGGCTTGGATAATCCTCAGGCGAGCGCTTACGGGGGATTCACAGATATTGAAGGCTGGTTGCGATGATGTGCCACTCGAATACCATACCGTGAATAATAAATCTGGGCGAGGGCGGAAGCCTACGAAGAGCTGGGTCACTGGACCCGCTCTGCAACCTTGAACTTTAGCACCTCTGGAGACGCTCGAGGTACCTAGTACTACTTTTGGGGTACTTGATGTCGCTGGGAAGAGACGGAGTGTCTCACACATTTTTGCACGTTCCATCCGTTGCAGCGCATGTACCTCGGACACCTGTCTGGTGGGGAAGCGGCACGGCAGATGACATACAGGTACCTGTGAGTCACTACGAGGTAGCACCTAGCAGATCGTCCCTTGCGTCTGCTCTCGCGGTGCGCGGACCAGCTGACTTATTGCACTGTCATGGGAGGATTAAAAATTCATGGTGCTAATGGAAATGGAAAGGCCTAGATAGGACAGTCCGGCGTTTTATCTGTTGTTACCACTACTACGGAGTACCACAGCCAGGTTTGGTCGAGGTTGAGCAGCACCTCGTCTTTACCTGGAGTAGAGACCAGTACTGTACATCGCCTGAGGATATACGACCGGAGTACAGGGGCCTTACCGTACAGGTACTTAGTAGGTTCAAGGTAAGTTTCACATTCCAATTTACTCCGTTTTAACCTTTTATTCGACATCGACAGATAAAGTCTCTCGTTCATATTCATGGCCCCATCTATGTCTCGCACCCGAATGACATCCATGCTTCCCCGTCTTGCCATCCAATTCCCTGCAAGTACTTACACAAGGCTGCCTTGCCTACCTACCCTACCTACCTACCTATCAATCCCCGCCCACTTCAAGTCAGTCACCTGCACAGCCACCACTTCCTTCACTTGAGAGATACACGAGGCCCCATTTCGTGCCCTCTTCAGCCTCACAGCGGACTCTGTCACGATAACGCATCATCCACAAACTGCTTAGGTCACGCCCTCCCCCAGCGTGGACATCAACCCATCTCTGTCACGCCCAGACTGTGGCGACGTGGTGCCTGTGAACATCAGTTGAGTCCTACGGGCAAGTAGTATTTCGCCGATAAATCTCTATGGTACCTTATCTAGAAGGCATCCAGAGCCTCAGGTATCCAAGGCAGGAAGGACGACCTACCTGTCAGCACATTCACATGTGATGAGAGCCCGTGCGGTTTGCAGTAGCCGAACCAACTCTTTCACCCCAATAATCAGATAGTCAAGATGCCGATGCAGCGTAAAATATAGCTAACTTGAGTGCTCTCTATCTCTGATACCGCCTTGTCCAGCCGTACTATTGGAGCCTTTCTCCCATCCCATGTGTCCATTAATCATTAATCACTAGTTTTCCTACTACCCAGCACTATTATACCTTTCCAATATTACTCTCCCGTGGCCCTCTAACCGTGTTTCTCCAAAAAAAACGCTTGGGCACCCATTATCGAGCCTTTTCCATCGTAATCATGTCGGCTCGTGCAATTCTTCATAAGGTTCTCTTTCCAGTCGTCAAGACACTGCTCCAAGAACGCCAGGCCACCCCAATTCACCGCATCACTTGGCACCGCACCTGCCCATCTCCCTTTGAAAAGAAAAGCCTGATAATAATAATAATACTGTCCGTCATCAAAACAAATGTACACGCGCATAGCCGACGCCACTAGCTCATCTAAAGCTGCGGAGCCAATGCGCCTCGTACATTTGGTAACATAGCGTGAGCCCCGCCAATCGATCCCAGAGTTTGGGCTCCTATTTTTCCGGGATGGGCGACCTTGCCAGCCTCCCCCCTGCGCTCACTCGCTTCTGAAGGCGAACTTCCTTGTCTTTCAGAAGCCTGTCAGCTGAACTGCTGCCGCTGCTGGGCAGCGAGGGCACCGTATCGTTGCCAATGGTGAACCCTTTGCCCTTTTTCTGCTCAAAATACTGCTGTGCATATCTTCCGAGAGGGAATGCCGGGAGAGACGATGGGATTTCCGCGCCATTTTGAATCAGTAGCTCTGCGACAGGGAAAGGCACTGGCTTATTGTCAGAGTCCGTTGAGCTTTGCCCCGGAATGGGGGATGGTGAAGCTGGGTCGGCCGCCGCAAGCGCAAGCCACACAGCGTGTGTCCCTCTCATCTTATCCACGACATTTGGGTTTGCCCCCAGCGCCAAAGCGTAGAGCACCTGTTGGATCTCGTTCTTTTTAATCGCAGCAAGCAAGGTTTCGTCTGCTGAAGCGTAACGTGAAAGGGTTGGCGAAATCGGATCGACAAAGGCACGTTCCACATATTTTGCTGTGATATATCTTAGACGCCGCTCGCGGTTTGCTAGCGCCGTTAATTTTTGAGACTGATCGAGTTTGGCTTCCCAAATCATGTTGGACACTCGGTTACCGATGAGGAGGAGCATTTCGACAATATCGAGAGTGAATGACTTGATATCCAGAGTGAGGGAGCGTATCTTGCTGACGTGCGTTCCTAAGGAACGGTGGATGCCACCGCATTCGATGCAAAGAATAATGCCCAAATTGATCGACACCCACTCAACCTTGATATCTGAGCCACAGTCGGCACAGTAGCAATTTCCTTGGTCGTTGTCTCGCAACATCTGTAACAGTCTGTCCGGGTGCTCATCGTAACTTGAGCTAGGCATCCGCACTGGACTGGGCCGCGCGCCAACTGTTGTTCTTCGGAATGGAACTCCACTGTTGGCGTTGGAGTGATGGGAGTGGTGCGAGCCATGGACAGATTGGATCTTGCCAGTGAGAACGGACCCAATGTCCCTCTTAAGAGAAGAGTCAGATCCCCTTGATGTTGCCTGTCGCTCCCGGTAAGCTCGGCCCTCCACGGCACTCTGTAAAGCATTGTTGATGGACAAAATCCAGCTGTTCATATCTTCCTCGGACGTTGCTTGATACACACGCTTGAAATTGGGCGTGATAACCTCGAAACAAAATCGCCGCTCGGCATTTCTAGCTTCACGGACCGAAGCCATGCGGAGATCAATTGGGTCCATGTGGAGATCCAACTTCTGCTTCCAATTACTGTATTCAGACAGTTTACCCTGATCCAGAACGATCCAAAATCTGGTTACTCTGTTAGTGTGCGTGCCAAAAAGTCAGTCAACCAAGAGAAGTGGGTTACATACTTGTGCCATCCCTGCTTGTTTAGATTGCGAGGGTCAACATGCCCGCCTGGCCGGTTCAATGCCCAGAGAAGACCTTCTTTCCTCTGTGATAAGTTTGATTGCAGGCTACTCTGGTCTTCGAGATCACGGATGCCTTTGAACTTTGAACTTTGGCTGGGGCTGCCGATGCTTGAGGCAGGCCCAATATCCACAGGTGCGGGAATAGTCGCCGTTGTTTGCACGGCACCACTCGAGGTTGAAGGTTTAAGTTGAGAGCCTGTGCTTTCAGCTCTCCCAAGCTCCGTGTCTGAGGTATGAGCGGTGCTACTGTTCGAGTTGGCAACTATGGTTGCGGCACTGCCGAGGCTGGCTTGTTCCGGCTCCGTGTACGGCTTGTTGCTCTTTTCCAGCTGGCGTCGCTTTTCCTCACGCTCTCTTCGCTGGTATTGGTATTCTTTATCAGCCTCCTGGACTTCGTTTGCCAAAGCTACAAGCTGAGGGCGAAGGTTTTCAATCTTTTGCGCAGTTGCCAAAAATGCACCCGTCTGTGCGTCAGCGAACTTTGTTAGATGTGACAACACCTCTTGGTCTTTGCGACCGCCATGGAGATCTTGCACGAAGCTCGAGTAATCGAAGCGCTTGAGCTCGAAATTCCGCCGTTTGTTTTGATACTTGGAGTCGCTTTCAGCAAGCTTCTTAGCTTTGACCGAATCTTGACGCTGGCCAAGGTATCGTGAAACATAAGCATAATAGTCCTTGCTTTCTTCCTCAAAATCTCGCTTTTTGTTTTCCGCTTGCTTAATATCAAACTGATATAATTTGGTGATGGGTTCGATAATCGTTTTCTGAAGATTCGCAGTATTTTGACGCTCGTAGGCCAGGATTTCCCGAGCAATCTTGTCGAAATAGTGCTCTAACGCAGGCTGGACGGCATTTGCATTCGTAGACGAGGCTTCGCGCAACGCATCCATAAAGGCGACAAATGCTTCGTTGGCTTCGGTCTGAGATGCATGGACTTGCTCTGCTCTCTTTAACACCTTCTTCATCTGCGCGCGCATGTTTCCGGTCTTTTGCTCGAGTGCTTTCAGTGTGGCGCGGAAAACAGGACCATCGTCAGCCACGGTGACGTCTTCGGCTGGCCTAGGAACGCATTGTACGTCCACTTTTGTGGATTCTTTAGTCTGCGGAATAGGGGGGATGTTGGTCTCTCCGAGGGCGAGCATGGGGGAGAGCGGCTGCTCCTCAATGTCTGCGGCGAGACGGGAGTCTACCGATTGAGCTGAAGCAATTCGGATCTTGGGCGGAGACGCCAAAAGGAAGGGTGCCGAGGGCGAGTTGGGCTGAGTTGGTGTTGTGTATGAACCTGAAAAGGGTTTGTCAGCAACGAGAACATTTCGAAACCATTAATCGGCCGAGCATACTTGAAACCCAATACGAAAAGGCAGCAAGAGTGTGCAATCGGTGGGCACGCGAATCGTACTCGACAAACTTGAGATGGTCAGTTTCAGAACTAGCAGGAAATAGGATGCATGCGACAAACGCTGCAAGAGTTCCTCCATCCACCGCCTTTATCTTCCTGGCTCCTAGGAGCTTTCCATTTCCACGTCCATTCGAAGGACACAGCAGCGGTCCCACTTGTTGAGTAGTCTCCTACAAGAGCCACATTGTCGTTTTTGTGCAAGTTGGGGTTGGCGTGGAATTCTCGGGTGACTAGATTCTCGACTTCCTTTGAAGTGGAAGCGTAGACAAAGGTGAGGCCAGATATGTTGGTATCGCTCGGCGCGAGCTGCCCATCGGGGTTTGGCGAGTTCGACGGCGCGGGCTGTGCCGTCTGGCGAATAACAAATGCGAAGGTAAATATAAGCTCATCATCGCCACTCAGCTTGAGTAGAAAGTTGGGCGGTCCAGCGCCGTTGGAGGACTCCGGGTCCTAGCCCCCAGGATGTTAGCTTCAGGAGCGGGATAAACAAAGAGGCTGCGCTGGTCTAACCTGGACAAACTCTATGGGATTGCTGTCGCCCGGAGGTCGCGCGGCGTTCACTCTGGTGGCCGGAAAGGCATTGGGAGTGATGTGAATCGAAGTGCGCTTCCGCGGGTTCGTAACAACAATCGAGGTGATGCTCACTATAGGCTCAGGTCAGCACTCCAGTCTGTCGCAGATCTGGCCAAGGATGGCACGCACGACGATTCTGGTCTCTGAGATACAGAGTCGACCCATCGTCGGGTCTACTGCTGACATTGCCCATGGCGACGAAAGCTCAGCGGAGGCCAGCAGCGGGAGCTGGGGAATGGCGATACTGAGATGCAAGCGAACTGGCAAAGGGAAGATGGCGCGGGGCTCGGGGCGGGAAGCGGATCGTCATCTGGAGGCCAGAACCGATCAGACAGGCCGCAAGAAATGCTTGGATAAGTGATGAGAGCAAATGTATGCGGTGGTTGAAGGCTGCAAGACTGCGATGCGGGAGAGGAGAGGAGCTCGGACGGCGACAAGGCGAGCCGCACGCAGAAGTTGGGGAGGTGAATAATAAGAGTTGAGACGCAGCAGAGGGTACCGCGGCCTCAGACGCGCCTATAATTATCAGGTGGAACTGGGTTTAGCCACTGAAGGTGACCTGGAGGCAGGGCTGTGGAGATGTGGCTTCAGCTACCAGGTACCGCTACGAGTAGCCTAAACGCCTTTGAGGAGGCGCCTACTGATCAACATTGAGCTTGCTAGGTTCTCTTTGTCGGCGCTTCTTTGCTAAAACCGACTGAGCCACAAAGCGCTTGCGTTGGATCTGTTTGGGATATAGACTATTAGTCTACAGTAGATACGAGAAGTAGATGCAATGCTATCGATAATGGGACCAAGCCGCCTTTGCTGCCAAGAAAGTAGATCGTCTTACTCGTTGCATTTCCGCGTAAGAGGAGCTCCTCCAAGAGGCACTTGGCGGTTCATGGGGGGAGCATATCTGCAGTAACACGGAGCACGCCGTACAGCGTCTAGCAGTAGGTTGCTTTAGTAGTGCTTGTACTAAGGTGATGGAGAACTTCCATAGGTAGTATCTCATTACTGGAAGATTACTTTGCACCTGGGTATCCTAGAATATCGCTACATGTATCGTCGAATGGCTGGACGCCACTAATCTTCTCCGTTCCAAGTACATTGGGCGCTGACAGCAGCGTGAGCTCTACACGAGGCGGCACTCAGGTGGTATAATGTGGCGAGAGCTCTCACGTGCCATGGGAGCATGTGAATCAGATGTGTGCGTGATGTAAAAATAACCTTGAAGTTGCAACATCCGGCCATGACGGGGGCTAATGGCATTATCCTAACTCAAGGTAGTACCTATTCTTGGGATGCAACTACTCTCGCGATTCACGACTGTCATCTTGAAGGAGTCTGAAATTAAAACACCCCCTCCAACGCAAAGCGGGGTTTCCAAGCGGCTTGTGCCAGTTGGTTCGTAAAGATGCCCTTTTGCTAATTGAGCGTCAACCATGCGGGAACCCGGAATTTCCATGTTAAAGCCTTTGGCACACATTAAGCATCCAGAGCAAAGGCTCCTCGCATCAGTAAATGTCGCATTGGCTCTGGCCATTCGTGGCTCTGGCCATTCGTATTGATCCATATTGATCCCTGCATGTTCTGATGCTTTAGCGCTTGCAACAGCCCAAAAAAAGGTCCGCTGTGTTCCTGATGTGATTGTGCATGCGTCAACGGTGGCGCTGTTTGGACTTCCCTTTCTCCAGGGGCTCAAAGCGGATGACGCTCCCCTCCCCACAGCCACTATCGATCTGTTCATTACACCACGACCTCAGGATCGACCTCTTCCCAACCACGTATACGAATCTTGCCGCGACACCATCCAGCCTCCTGCTCTCTCTTCTTCCTTTTCAGCGTTGCCCACTAGACGCCTCTAGCCTCGGCTGCCTGCCTGCTCGATCCTCCCCCTAGTGTCAGTCCGGCTATGAGGCTTAGCATCCGTCGTGGGCTTGGGCATCATTCTGCCTGCTGAGCGTCGCAATGTCGTCAGCGTCGCACCGCCAGTCGTACCAGCCTCAACACGGGCACAGCAATAGCAGCAAGGACATGGGAAGATCGCGACCGCAGTCTACAGCGCAGCAATCTGTCGACCACGAGGAAGCTCGAAGCTTTGCGCTGCGAACCGCCTACCTCCACTACCTGCTGCAACCCAAAGCCAAACGAAAGCAATATGTCCCGGCTCCCAAGGTGCCCACTCGAACGCACACCAGCGTGGGACAGCTCGTGCAAGATTTTGTCTCGGGAAACTCTACGAGCATCAAGCTCCCGCACAACTTTGCTGCCGCTCTGCTTGACCGTGTTGGTGGTGTGTTGAGGGGTAGCGAGGCTCTGCCTGGTTACAGCGATGCTGCTGTAAAGAGAAGCTTTGCCGAGGCGTATACGGCCTTCTCCGAGAAGACGTTTCGAAAGACAATTGAGAAAGAAAGGAAGTTCGAGCCCTTGGTCTTGATCTTCTACTCCGCGGCGACGAAAGCAGCCCAGAAGGGAAAGGGGCCTGACGATGAATCCGACTCGTGGAAGCTACTTCCAGACCGCCACCTGGCCATGTTTGTGAGGCTTGCCGCAAATGTCATGAAAGACCTGGGCCACGACCGAGATCGACCCGAGCTTATGTCTAGACTCAAAGATCTAGAGAGCAAGCTTCTCAGAAACGACCAGGATCTGGTCAGCAATAGCACCGCTGGCACGGGCACAACAATTGAAGTGATTGTGCCTCTGAGCTATGAGGTCAAGGATATGCCCATGGTGCAGGTGGTTGCAAGCATTTTTGGCCTGGGCCTCTCAGATGTTCAGGCGGAACTCAACGCAAACCGGCAGGTATGGACAGAAGAGGCTGCCCTCAAAGATCTCAAATCATACCAAACTAGACTTAATGCCAATCTGCATGGCACACTGAGCAGCCACGATTTTGATGTCGAAGATGGCTTTACCGAGTGGAAGAAATTCGAGGCTACACATCTCTCCCAGATGATGATGGATATTTTGACTGCCAAGCCAGAGTTGGCAAAAACCAAAACGGGGCCCATCGACAAATCTTTGCCGAGTCGGCCGGGTTCACTGTACGCAGATGACCAGGCATATGCTGATCTGAGCCGTGTGATATCTGACACAGATTCATCCTCCTTCGCCTTTGATCCATCCATTAGCCTGAGCTCTTTAGCGATTGGCGAATCAAGCAGCATCAGAACCGTAGATGAAACGATATATACCTTTACACCCCCTAATCCAAGGGCGTTTTACAAATACATTCTCCAGCAGGCAATGATGTTTGATCAGATCCATGCTGACCCCAACATGGACTACCAGCCGCTGTCACACAAGTCCATGGAGTTGCTGAACGAGCTCTCGGTACGATGGCGCATCCCGCAGTTCTCGCGACTCGTCGTTCTTCTGGAAGCAGCAGCCAATCAGTTTATTGATAAGGAGATAGCCCCTGAAGATCTTGATGCTGTTTTTGACATGATCAAGTCTCCGTCGCAGGAGCTCAAGAAACCACCTCACATACATCAGTACAACGCACCCCTGACCGATTTCGACCCTAGCCGCTGGACGATGCATGACTTTGCCGCTTACCAGCACACTCTTCACATTCTTCACGATGCACTGTTGCAAGAACTTTACGATCTCCTGGAAGGTTGCTACGAGGTCAAGCCTCCAAACATTGGGCCTGTCATGTACCTTTTAGAAAACCATATTGGCCAAGACTCGACCTTTTCTCCCCGACCCGAGGTGATGGATGAGTTTAGGAAGCTTCTGGCTGAGCGTTTGGCTCAAAAGGCTACGGCAATCTACCACCAAAATATGCAGAAGCAGATACCAGAGCGAAAGGAAGAGTGGGACTTTGCACACGTCGTCCAACTTGGCAAGGCAGTGACCAAGGTGTGCGACCGAATTCGAAAGCGATATAAAAAGACTGCTAATATCATGGGGGTCGACCCATTGAGTATTTTGGTCTATGAGGTGTTTCCGAAGTTTGAGCAAGATGCAAGCGCCATCATCCAAATCATTGTGCAAGGGGCCAGCGAGGGAGGTCAGGAAATCGAGATCCAGGACGGCTTTGAGCTGTACAAGGAGCTGAAGGAAATCCGCGGAATTCATGAAGAGTTCCTCCCCAAGGAGCCTTTTGCCTTCAACATTGAAGATTTACTTGTCGACTTCGTGTGGCGTTGGCTAGGGTCCGCCGAGACTCGAATGACGGAGTTTGTGGATCAGGCAATCAAGCAAGATCAGTTTCAAGTTAGAGCAGACGGTCCAGACCAGATCCCCGGGGATGCGCAACGGCACAGTGTGTCCATTATAGACATGTTTATGCTGTTCAACCAAACAGTAGACCAGGTTTTCAAGCTAGAATGGGGCAATCCAGAACATCATGCCAGATTCATGACCGCATTGGCTAGGAATTTTTCTGCAGGTGTTGGTCGTTATTGCGAAACTGTTGACCAGCAGTTTGCAAAGGAAATGGACCGTCCTTCTGCTCAGGAGCTCGCTGCGCAAACCCAAACTACCCAAGAGAAGTGGATGCAATATGCCAAAGATGCATGGAACAATAAGGAAAAGGCTGAACCATTTCAGTTCTTCCCAGAGGTAAGCGGCGATTTTTTTCTAATGCAATGACTCGTCTCTTACATCGTATGCTAACTTGAAATGTCTCAGTCTTTTGTTAAGCTCAACAATATCGAGTATGCGATGCAAGAGCTTGACAAGTTAGAAAAGACCATGAATGTTGAGGCATGTGCGGCTTTACTAGAATCGAAAGATGGTCCTAAGAAGAAGACGCGAAAGCCAAACAAGTATACGTTCACCATCAAGGTGGTAGAGGCCGAGGATCTCAAAGCTTGCGATCCGTCAGGCTACAGTGATCCTTATGCGGTCTTTGGCGATGAGTATCAGAAGCGACTTCACAAGACACGTATCATTCACCGGAATCTGAACCCTCGCTGGGATGAGTCGTTTGATATTACAGTCCAGGGTCCAGTTAACGTCATTGCGACCATATGGGACTATGATACTTTCGGCGACCACGACTACGTGGGACGAACTTCTCTCAAGCTGGACCCTAACCACTTTGGAGACTATCTCCCCAGAGAATTCTGGCTCGACCTGGATTCACAAGGTCGTCTGCTGATTAGAGTCAGCATGGAGGGAGAGCGCGATGATATTGTGTTCCACTTTGGAAAAGCTTTCCGTCACCTAAAGCGAACAGAAAGAGACATGGTTCGAAAAATTACGGACAAGGTATGTTGTGTTTCTATGCATAGTTTATATAAGGATCTAGGCTTGCTAATACACCTTCAGCTTACCGTTCAAATCAACGAAACCCTGTCACTGGAAACTCTTAGGAGTCTCCTGGGGTCTGGAGGTGTAGGCGCATCAATCACCAGTCTGTGGAAGAAGCGAACGTCTACCAATACCCCTTCGACTGGCCCTTCCCAAGCGCAGATTGAAAGCGCTCTCACCAATCTGTTTTCCTACTTTGACGACAACTTTGCCATTATGAAGATGACTCTAACAGACGCTACAATGATAGCCGTCATGACTCGTCTGTGGAAAGATGTTCTCATGACGATTGAGAATCTCCTGGTGCCACCATTGTCAGAGAAGCCGTCGACCCAAAAGCCACTCTCGCGAAGAGAGCTCGATATTGTGTATCATTGGCTGGAGATGCTGTTCGTCTTCTTCAATGCCAAGGATGAGCACTCAGGCGAGCAACTCGGAGTTCCCGCTGAGGTACTCAAGTCGCCTAAGTGGCACGAATTGGCCTCGCTCAACTTTTTCTACTTTGAAGAGACTAACAACCTCATTCGGGAATCGGAGCGCATGGCTGCGGCCTCAGCACAACGAGCTCAGCAAGCTCTGCAGCAACAGAACCAGCCGCAAAGTCAGTCGAGTAATAGGCTCGCGGTACCATCAAGCTTGGGGGCATCTCTGGGCGGTGCCGGCTCGTTTGCCAGCATGGGCACCATCAGGCGCGGTAAGAGCATCATGATGAGCCGCAATCTGGGTACGATGCGTAAAGCCAAGGAGGCGAAGCGCCGCGAGATGCAGGCCGATGCCAGTGACGATATGATCTTACGAATCTTGCGCATGCGTCCCGAAGCGGCGAACTATCTCAAGGAGAGACAGCGTCAAAAGGAACGACAGGCCGCAACGGCCGCTGCGGCGCTGATTGTCAAGAACAGCGTAAGCCAGGGCTGGAACTCTGGACCAGCCTTTTCTGGTGCGCCGTTTGGACGCAACAGCCTTTTGCCAAACAGGAGGTAAAGCCGGGATAGATGAAAGACGAAAAGAAGAGACGGTAGAGGGAGTACGGGCAACGTATTGAATGATTTGGCTGGGAAAGAGAGGTGTGGTTTACCAAGGGGTTTTGTGATGAAAGCAGCTCCATCTTTGCTTCTGTACCTTGTCTTTAGTGATTTATTGACTGGCCCGGCGGGATAGGCCTCATCAGATACCCTTATGAGTGTAGGTATATACCGAGGTCATAGATTGAGATGGTTTGATTTTGCGATTTGTTGAGCATTTTGAGATGGACGGGCATTGCGAGCCGAGCGAGATACTACTTAATTTCAGCATGTTATGAGGATGGTCGTTCTTCAGTGTGATGTAGATGACGATATCAACTGTTGTATTTACGCAGGCATCGGTTTGTACACGATATTTCACTCCTCAGTAGCTAACAGTAGCCTAATTGTGATACCAGACAACTTCTTCCTAGTATATTTGGCTATTACTTGTGGTATGTCCTCTTCAGTCTTTGTGAAATGTTTCTCTCAAGTTGTGTCGCATTAACGGATTTGCTATCCCGCACGCCAAGTTGGCTATACAGCATCCCATGTCATAAATTTAGCAGGTCTATCTATCTGAAGATAGTAGCGATGGTAGAAGAGAGTGATAATAGTACCGGACGGTTAAAAGACTAGGTAAGTAACAGTCACTGGGATGTTGGATAGCCAACTTGAAGTGCTGAATAGCCGTTTCCTATTTGTGGCATGCCCCCTGCATTCTCAATAAACTGTTTCCCCCTACATTGCATCGCATTGATCAACTCTCTTCTGTGGTTTGTTTGTTTAACAAACCTTTCCCACTAGACATGTATCTATTCAGCATTGTACGGATCACACATCAATATAATAGCGCAATGATAATGTATTCTTTGTCAAATCATACTGCTAAAGCATCCCAATCTCTTGTCTAACAAAATAAAAGCAAGCTCGTCAACATTTACCCCCTCTTTCATCGATATTAGAACATCTGTATCCATAATTATTGGTGCCAACACAACCCGAATGCCAGTAATGGGAGCTCCGTAAAGAAATGATTCACCTCAACAAATTTCCTTCCACAGAATCAGTCTTCTCCAGAGTCTTCATCCGAACCCGAGGCTCCTAGTGCTTGGTTCACGGTCGAGCCGCAGCGGCCATAGTCAATGCCGATTTTCTTGGACGCCATGACCTGGTTGTTGTATATAATCTCAAAGTCTAGAGTTACTCCGTTTGACGTCATCTTAACATCATAGTTAACCCGTCTAATGACATCGCCTATAGGGTTGATCCAAGTAGGCAAGCTGTCAAAATCAGGAACACTTGACCAGCGTACGTCACAAAGCTCCTTGACTGTCTCATCGCATCTATTGGATGGAGCATTCTCTGTTGAGTAGATGAATGTTGTCTCAATTGTAGTAGCCGGTATCACGAGATCCCTGTGAAACCCTTTCTCAACGGATTCGCCTACAGGAATAGTTGTACCCTTGACAGTCTGTTAGCTTAAACTGGACGTGATCAATATGGCGTGGGCGCCTTACAATGCGTAAAAACCAAGATGTCTGATTTGTTGCTTTGTATGCCTGCCTGATATCACACCATCTTCTATCCCGTAGGTCATGTTCGCCCGCTCTCCAAGGTGTATGATAGCAACGTACGCCGTAGCTCATTCTTGAAATCCTGGAACTTACTGTAGACTCGGTGGTATCCTCAGACAGCTCAAGCCCCCGTATTACTGCCCCTCGGCAAACTGCTGTCCAACTGTTTCGCCGCATTAAATCATCTAAGTCAGCCACCAGTTCGTAATTAAAGCTCTGGGATATGTAAACTCTTACGGTTCTGCACCAGAGCCTTGTAGAAGCTCAGTCTTTTCTTCTTGGCTCTTCTTTCGGTTCAGTTGGTCTTGAAGCCGAGTGTACAGAAATGGCTGTCTGCCAAATCCACCAACTAGGACGAGAAACTGAATAAAATATCAGTGCTTTGTAACTGATGACGAAATAATACCAATCATACCTTGGGCTCCTTTTTGTACTTTCTCTTGACAGTTTTTGCTTGATCAATCACTAGGGTTTCAATCTCACCCACTGTTGGCTTGAATATATTTTGCGCATCTTTACTGTTCATTTGGAGAAGAAAAGTTAGTTCGCATCCAAATACTCTCCCTTATCACAACCCCTGAATTGCTTCCCTAGTAACACTTACGCACTGATCTTAATGTCTGTAAAGCGGAACTGGTCGTGGGTTCTTTTTTTGCTTGACCCACTGCTCGGCATCTGAAGCAACCAGTGTTGATCAGTGTTGCGAAACTGAGGTTTGATGCCATTCTCCCAATCGTTGTGTATAATGCGGCTCAATACTCCTTTTTCTTCAAGTATTTTCCAAGCATCGAGAGAGACCTTGTCAAGTTTTCTTCGAAGGGTTGTTAGAAACATCTCATCCAAGAACGTAGCGCCGCAAAGCTTTCCTATATACCGCATCAGTTGCTGTAGGGTATCACGGGATAGACACAACTGTACCATCTCCCTTGACGCTTTCTTTGACTCGGATTGGGTCAGTTTTGATGACGGTGTAAGTGATCACATCCTGAGCTTGATGTGAGCCATAATATGAGCCCAAGAATTTCCTCTGGAACTTACCACAGTGCCTCCGCCAGCGTCGCAAACAACAAAGTGGTCTCCAACCTTGAGAGGGTCGTTAGTGCATGAAAATAAATTTGCTACAGCCCGTGCTCTCACCTCCATATTCACCATGCTATACGTGCACATGTCTTTTATTGTGGCCAGAGCGGCTGCCTCTGGCTCCGAAAGGAATTCCAAGATTGTATCGCCAGCAGCTCGAGTCTCCAGAATCCCCGCCTTTTCAATGGCTTCAAGCATGCGAAGTTGAGCATAGGCTGGCCAAATAGCAGGAAGCGTGACAATAACCTTGAACCTGGAAATGTCTACTAACTGTCCACCTATAGCTCTCCTAATGTTGACAATGCTATGTTTCCATAACTCCCGTAGATAGTCGCTGATGACATCCACGACGCGTCTGTTCGACTCCTTCAAGGACTTCTGAGCAGCTTGAATCTGTGCTGCATTGCGGATATTTTTAGGAATGTCGCGCTCCTCCAAGAGGCAAAGCTTGAACCATTCGATCTTGGGCGAAGATATTTTCTCGGGAATAGAGTAACCCCAGAAAACTTCCCCCTTGTTGTCGTAGTAGATGGCGCTCGGAACCTTTTCTTTATCACTACAATGACTTTTGACTGCATTCCAGTTCGTTATTATGTTTATATGGCCTGGTCGGCTTGAAGTAGTCCAAGCCACGCCTGAGTAACTACATAAGGTCAGTTCTGAGAAGGGCTCATTGGGGTATTATAAGCATACGTGGTGCCGAAATCTATCCCTATGACAATCGTAGGTTCTTGGCGCTTTCCACTGTCATCACTTGCTTGGGTTTGGTAGGACTGAGGCATGGTTGGTGGCGAATGAGCATGAGCTCTTGTTTGAGAATGGTCTAATAGATAATAGTGAGTGTTCTGAGTATGGAGATGTTGGGAAAGCAAAATGCCATTCGGCGGAATCCCTGCCCTTAAGTAGAACATTTGGCACAAGTGAATCAAATGGGGAAAATGGTGATAACATGCAACGGAAACCCGGTAGAATGCGTCCGCCGGCCACGCTTCACGGTGTAAGAGGGATCTAATTAGTTGTTAAGTTGTGGTGATTGCTACAGTTAACTAACTAAAGAACGATTAAGCTAACTAGGGAGGAACGACACAATATTATCCTCAAGAGAGGCAACAGTGATTCTCCTCAGCGGTGAATGAACCTTGTGTGAATATCTCAATGAGAGTGATTCACAGATTGCCAGGCGGGAGCCTGTGTAAGTCACCTGATTCCAGTCACCCATGACGGATGCCAATACAATTCAATACAAGATGGCAGAACACATAAGGAGCCGTTGAAGCCATAGTTCTACATCAAAATACTTCCTTAAATAAATCACATCCAAGAGAACCTCGACCAACTTTGAGCCACGCCTGATAAATCGATCAGCAATGCCAGCCAATATTCCCATAGCGGCTAAAGAAGATGGTAAGATTCTTCACTTCAAAATACATTTTTACTGTTAAAAACTGGCATCTAATAATGGTATCATAAAGGAGAAGCACACGAAAGTGGTAATCATGAGGCTTCACGGGCTACGACATAACGAACAAATGCATCTCAGGGCTCCCTCCCACGCAACCATAATCAAGAGCTGGTTAGCTCAGGACGAATGGCAATCAGCAAGCGTCCGAATACAAATGGCAGGAAACGAATTCGCAGCGAGGATGAAGAAGATGAGCTTGCATGGTCCGTGAGACAAACCAGAACGCGCACATCTGCTATGCCAGGGTTGGAGAATTGGGAGGCTTTTGCTATGAGACAACTAGCCGAACGTGATCCTGAGGTTATATGCGCCATGCTTGATGCTACGAGGGCCGAAATCAGGCAACGTTGCAACAAAATTAAGTTTCTGGAAGCGAAGATCGAGCACGTAAAGAAAACTGAGGAAGAAAAGCGTTGCAAACTCGATGACGAGATTGGGGCACTTAGAAATGAGATGCATAACCTTCTCCTTGAAAAGACGGAAGATTTCGGCACAACAAAGACATCGGATGACACCATCAAGAGTATGTGGTGGAAACTGTCTTACAAGATCAAGAATATCGTCAGTAACTACTTTACTGAATGGCCTCAAGGCGAGACAATCGCCATCAATGACATCGAGGACGATCAGCATGAGCAAATCACACCAGCTGACCATATTGCTGGTTTGAAAGAGAGTACCAGTCGACGTCAGATATGGAATCTTTTATTTCACAATATCTTCTCGGGAAATGGGGGTTGTTTACATGGAGAGGTTGGCGGGACATTAGCGCGTCTTATTGCAAATCAAGGTACATCTGAACGAGCCAGCTTCTCTTCTTGTCTCTTATTTTTAAGATAAACGGCTGACCTCTCTATACAATAGATCCTCACAATCTTCCCAGTCCTCAATATCTGCAGATGATCAGCAAAATGAAGTCAGCTCTTGACCTTGACCTCGAAAAAGAGGGTGTCCTCAGCAACCGTGTCAATCTAGAGAAGTTGATTGAGCGCACAGTTGTTCATTTCGGAAATCTCGTAGCAGACAAGAAGACACATGAGTTTGAAGAGGAGATGAGGAAAATATTCTCAGACGCGTGGAAAATTCATACCGCTACGATAACATCGAAAGCTATCTTTATCATGCAGTGGTCTAAGGATGACGGTAGCAATGATGATTGCCCTTATAACCCGGAGACAATGGAGTTTTTTGATGGTGATGTTACCACTAGCGCATCGGCACGCACTATCCAAGTGGTCGAATCCCCGATATTGTGGAAGATTGGAAACGGGGATGGCGAAAATTTTGATTCTTACATGATACTGTGCAAACACTGCGTCTTTCTGGGGGAGAATAAGGATGAGCCCAGTACATGTACTTTGGACGAATCATCATCATCGTAAGGATATGGACTTGAGAGAATGGCCGGACACATGATTAACGAATTGGGGACCAGAATGACTCTTTGTTTTACTACTACCTTACAGAGCATGTTTTATTTATGGAGTGGCCGACAATGGCTCAATAATGATACCAGAGAATGAAAAAAAATCAGGAGGAATCATCAGCCAATATGAAGTATCTTCAAAGAAGTCATACTTTACGAATGGTAATCCAGGCACTGTTACCGAATCTGCAATTTCACATAGTGGCAGCTAATAGTCAAGGCGTGATACTAAGCAATTTAATTTGGGTGTTCATCTAGCTCGTAGCGCCTATCTGTAATCCGAAGAATTTTGTTTCCATATAATTGTATCCTAGTCCCCCATGCTTACCCTGGCTGGACCTTGCTCACCGATATGGCATTTGACGTTTACTCTTATGGCAGAGTAGAATATGACCGTAATCGAGCCAAAAGCTTGTTCATATCAAGCAACTTTCACCAATGTGTGTTTAGAAACAAACTCTTCTCGCCATTTCCTGTCCAAGAACTGAGCTCCATTCACAAGTCTGGGATCCGGGAGGAGATATGACTCTCCCAATTATAGTTTGCCCGGTTTTGCACTTCAGATCTTCCAGATCCAGGTGGAACATAGGTGCCACTGTCATCGTTACCATCGCCGCCACAATCATTACCATCATCATTGCCAGGGTGGCCAGCAGAGCGACGAGCCGCAGCGCCGCTCTCGCTATAGTCAACCGCAACGTTTTTGGAGGCTACAATTTTGTCGCCATAAGAAATCTCAAAGTCCAGAGACACGCCATTCGAAGTCATCTTGATGACGTAGTCGAGCTGTTTAACAAGCTCGCCCCTGGAGTTTTTCCACGAAGGTAGATCGTCGTAGTTGGGGATACTGGACCAGTGCACTTGGCAGAGTTCCTTGACTGTATCGTCACATCTGTCTGATGGAGTGAGGGCATTGGAGTATATGAGATAAGTGGAAATTTGGTTCACTGGCGCGTCGAGAGTTTGACGAAACCCGTGCTCAATGGATTTGCCCACTTTAATAGTATCACCCTTGATAACGATCAGCATTTCCTACCATCAATCTATAGGTGGTGACTCACAATGCGTAGAAACCAGGAAGCCTGGTCAGCAGCGATGAATACTCGGGTAATGGGGCACCATTCTTTGTCTCGTAAGTCGTGCTCTCCTTCACGCCACGGCGTCACATTGCACATTGTGCCATAGCTCGCTCTCGCAATTCTCGAGCAGATCGCCGACTCTGCTGTGTTGTCAGATCCCTCGAGGCCCCGGAGAGCTGCGCCGCGACAGACTGCCGTCCAACTGTATCACGAACAAATATTAGTTCCAATTAAGGTTAGATATAGCACGTTGTACTTACGGTCGTGCTCCGGAGCTTTGCAGAATCTCAACCTTTTCCTTTAAACCCTGTTTCAGGCAGTTATACAGGTGGTCGCAGCGCCCAAAGCCACCAACCAAGATCACAAACTGATAATCTGCATTAATATTTTATAGATCATGATAAATAGAATGGGGCTTATACCTTAGGCAGCTTTCTGTACCGTTTCTTGACTTCTTGGACTTGGGCGGTCACAAGCTCCACGACCTGGCTCATTACAGGCCGAAAAACATCAACAATCTCTTGGCTTTTTGTTTGGTAAGCAATCATTTTCTTAGGCCATCATATCAATGCAAACAACTTACTTGGTGATATCGATCTCTGGACAGATGAATTGGTCGTGCTCTCTTTTCCGCGACGTGACGGGGATCTGGATGGTCCATTTTCGGCCATCGCTGCGAAACTGAGGCTTTATGCCGTTTTCCCACTCGTTGTTCATAAGGCGCGCTACTCCATCTTCCCCGAGTCTTTCCCAAGTAGCCAGGGGAATTTTGCTCTCGAGAAGGTGTCGAAAACGCTCGTCCACAAAGGTAGCGCCGCAAAGCTTTCCTATATATGGCGTTAGTTGGATAGATGAATAACAGGATAGACTCCTTACCGTCTCCCCTAACACTTTCTTTGACCTTCATTGGGTCTTTTTGGATGACTGAGTAGGTGATCACATCCTGTACATCGTATAAGCTATCTCGGAATTCAGAGGTTGACTTAGGAACAACTGACCACAGTGCCTCCGCCAGCATCACAAACAACAAAGTGATCGCCAGTCTAGGGAGACGGATTCGTCAGTAATGAAAAGACAACTTTTACGGAACCTGAAGGCCCTTACTTTGATATCTGCCCTGTCGGACATATCTTGCAAGCTAGCCAGAGCTGCAGCCTCAGGCTCCGTGATGAATTCCATAGTGGTGTCAGCAGCACTTCTGAAGCTCATAATCCCAGCCTTTTCAATTGCCTCCTTCATTCTGAATTGAGCATATATAGGCCAAATTGCTGGGAGAGTAACGATAACCTTGAATGAAGAAAGATTCATCATGGAGGATCCTTCAGCTCGCTCGATGCAAGCAAGAGTATGCTTCCATAGCTCTCGTAGATAATCACTGATGACATCCACAGCGTGCTTGCCTAACCTTTCCAAGGAAGCCCTGGTATTTTGGAGATGCGTTGAACCTTGTAAGTACTGCGGTATGTCTTCTCTATCGAGAAGACATAGCTTGAACCATTTCAAGGTAGATTCGCCAATGGGAGCGGCATAACCCCAGACAGGTACGTCATCTTTGTTCTTATAGGAGATGGAAGTGGGAACTTTTTCCTTGTCGCTGTTGAAACTGAAGCAAGACTTCCAGTTCGTTAGTATGCTGATTTGATCTGGCCGAGTCGACCTAGCCCATGCCACGCCAGAAAAGCTGCGTGTAGGTAGTCAGCAACCAGGATCGTCATAGTGATCCAATGAACTTACGTGGTTCCAAAATCTATGCCTATGACAAATGAAGGATCGCCTTCAGCAAGTCGCCGTGTTCCCCTTCCAGCGCCTCTCCGGGTACGCGTAGGCCGAGGCATGGTGGACGCTCATCAGCCTGAGTTTGGTGGTTCGAGGGAGTATATACCAGCGCTCTTAAGAAATGATAGATGCGCGAGGTATAGGTTGGTCAAAGAAATGACAAATGATCGCAGTTCTCTCACTTTGAAGAGGAAAAAAAAGATGAAGCAAAAGTGAAGTTGCAGTGAGTTGGAGTGGAGAAAAGGTGAGGGAGTGGTCCGCTCACAATGCCAGCTGGCAGATATCTGGCAAAGCAAAGGCGGTGGCACATAATTCTGTACATCTCTTTTAACTTTCTTTATTTATTCTTCTCTACATCCGGTTTCCTCTTCTCCTTTCTCTTTTGTTCTTTACCCTTGCGAGTTTTTGATCTCGAGGCAATTCCAAATCAACTATTCTCCTCTGTTGATGGCACAATGTCGCCAGATGTCATCCATATTCATGACGAGGGAGGAGGTATTAAACCCCAGTTCTATTACTAGCCCTCTATAATTTGGATGCCTCTTAAAAAGTTTGGACTCATGCTAATCTTTTAGCAGATAATCGGGGACGCTCACAAATGGAGAAAGTAGCCCAACTGGCCGAGACTCCATCCCTTCGACGTGGCAAATACAAGCGCCCTAACTATAAAGAATGCGGCGATAGCGACTCTGAAGACTCATATAACACTGACGAAACAAATGATGGAGATATTCCTGCAAAGAAGTCAAGCATCATAAAGGGGGGGGCTCCCCGGGCGTTGCGATCCCAAGGTGACAAGCAGGAGCCAATGAGCTCAGAACAGCAGACGCCAGTTTCCCGAGTGGTTATAAAAATCGGAAAAAGAAACCATGGTGATCACGAATGTGAGCCTGCGAGGCCCGCAAAGCGTGGCCGGAAGCCCACAACCAATACCGAGATAAAAAGATTTGAGAAGGACATGCTTGGATTATTGGAGAGATATGCCTCCAAGGCGAATGATCTCGAAGCTTCTAGATCCGAAAACCAAGACCTTCAAGCTCAAATCAAAATTTTAGAGTCAAAGCTCGAACAATCACGACAAGCTCATAAGCAGAGCGAAATATCGTGCAACCAAAAGATAGCTCAGCTTAAAGAAGATGCCCGGGACTGGAGATGTCAGCTTGCGTCTGCCCTTGATAAGCTCAAGAAGGACTCCGGCAAATATGCCAAAGTATCAGATTCAGAGATTAAGGAGAAATGGATGGTATTGTCTTATAATATTCGCGGTCTGGTCTCTCAATACCTTACTGCGAAACCCAGTGATCAAGATGTACATCTCAAATCGCTGGTGATGGGGCACCGGCTCCACTCCACTCAAGATATTTCAACTTTACGCGCCAGCATTCTTCGACGAAAGATATGGACATATTTGATTTTCGCTGTATTTTCAGGAAGAGAGTCTATCTGGCAGGGGAATATTGGTGCTACTTTGACATACTTTCTGTCTACGAATAGTAATATCCGCCACTTAATACGCCCCTCCTCATGCCGATATATCTTCTTTGACTAACAAAATTGCTTTTGTACAGATTATCATCACACTAAAGATGTTTACTACCTCCAGGTCATCAGTCAGATTAAGGCCAGAGCGGTCTCAGACCTCAGTGAAGAGTTCCATCTCAACATGCAAGTTATGGAAGCGTCCATTGACAAAATGACGGATGGAGTTTCTCATTTTATACCAAAATCGAAGGTGAAATTATTCAGGAAAGAGATGCAAAAACTGATTATAACGGCGGTAGATCTCCATTCCATCATGATGAAGTCAAAGGCAATCTTCTTCACGGAGTGGATTGGAGACGATGGTACCAAAAAAATCGTTCCTTATGACCAGACGAAAATGACATCTAATCAATGCGGCAAAGACTTTGATATATCCAGTTCATTTGTTAAGTATGTCGAGGCGCCTGGCCTGGTGAAGATTGGGAATGCGGACGGAGAGGATTTTGACACCAGCATGGTGCTTTGCGAAGCTTCGGTGATACTTCAAGAAGATGACGCTGATATCGACAAGAAAGATGAAGGAGATAAAAAGTGAATCTCGAGAGTTGAATTTGTTTCATGAGAAAGTATCACCGAGGGTCGGCTATTTTAAAAGTGCGGACAGTCCATAGATGGTAGAACACGCAAATGGACTTAGGGATAGCCGCAAAAAATTGATACAGTAAGAGATTATCTTTCTCTCTCTACCATTAAACTGAAAATAAGTGGCTCTCCAGCATCTTGTATCCTAAGTTTCATATAATTAACTTGCTAAATTACTAATATGATATCGTGGAGGAAGAGAGAGACAGTAGCAGATATCAATACACTAAGATAGCATGCAAGGGAGTACCTCTGAGATTCTAGATAGCCTCCCATCCCTTTCATCTATTAATCGTGGTCTTCCTCTGTTACGCCGGGACACCCGTCCATTTCTGCATCCGGGTACGCCATTTTACACCAGAAGCAATACTGATGTGTTTCCCGCAGGTACATGACTAGACGACTCAGTCTAGTGCTGAGTTCAAGTGCATTAAACTCGTCTAGCTCCTCGTCTTCCTCGTCCAAGTCATCCGCAGTAGAGTATGTAACGTGTTTCTTGCCCAGTGCCTTCTTGTCGTCCTCGTCCTCTTCATCATTCTCATAGGTCGGTAACCGTGAGAGAGATTGCTCTAGGTCATATCTCATTCGCCGATCACGCTCTTTTTCTTCACGATGACGAACTAAGCCTCGATAAAGCACAGGTATGGACTTGAGCGGTCGTGATGATATTGGCTTAGGCTTTGGAGTTGAGGTTTCTTCCTCTGACGAGTGCTCATCCGCATCTATTCCTGCTTTCTCGTCATCCAACCTCTCTGCCGTGCGTTGTGCGGCACGCAGTTGCGTTTCCAGCCTTGCATCTTCTCTTTCCATCCGCATCCTCTCGCGGTATTCCAAGGGGTCAATCTTGACGCTCTTAATCTCCCTCTCTTCAATGGCTTCTTGAAGCTTCCTCTTCTTCTCACTCTCCAAGCCAATGCCGCCGCGATCCTCCTTCATGCTGATTTTGATGGGTTCTGCTTTACCCGAGGGCTGTCCATCTTCTGCCTTTTTTCCCAGGCTGCCGCCCTTGAAGCCCATTTTGGCCATCATGGCGAGACCTTTGCTCTTCTTTGAGCGTGGATCATCGAGCATGGAGGTTGAGAGGGCCTTTTCTCTTGCGGCAACTTCTTCTTGGGCGATCTGTGCTTTGGATTTTATGATGCCACGAGCGCGTGATTCTTTTTTGAGGCGTTGAGCTCGTTGAACGGATGATTCTGTGGTGGGGGTGGGATCTTGGAACGTCATGTTCATGTAGTCGTCTTCATCGTCTTCACCGGACATTTTGGCTGTAGCTTCTGGATGCTGTTCTTTTTGATGCAAAGTCTTTACTTGTTCCTTTGATGGTCGTGTAAGTGTTATATAGATAGCCCGATAAGCGATTGAGAGAGAAATCACGCAGCAAAGTCTTGAGGATGGAATGTTCTATGAAGTCACAAATTCTCACGTATCAAGCACCATTGCTTTGGAGGTTGAAATCTGGGGTGTGGCGTAGCAAGTGTGGCGCGAAAAGACCATAGCTGTCACTCTTCTCAGAAAGGCAAGCGGTCTAGCATACCTGCTCAAGGCATCTCGCGTGTAGCAGTACGCACCGCTCTGTACAAGTATATTGTACAAATTATGTGCCGTATAATAATCCGCATCTCGTATTAGGATCTGCATACAAGGCAATGTGCTATATGGAGGTGCGTGCTTAGGCTATTTCTTGCTACCAAGTCTCGGTCCTTGGCCACTTTTCGGCTCGCTAGCACCTTTTGACAGAACAGCTAAAAAGGCCCCCCAAGGATGCTGCGCCACCTTTTCTTCTTATGTACTCCGTACCTTGGGTATGTTTCAGGGACATCAACGTTTCAGGGTCGAGATCCAGCTCGTGTTAATTGATCCGCCCAAGTCCCTCAGTACTCCGTACGAATCCCGCGACACCTCCCACTGTGGGCGGCTAAGAGACATTTGATTGATTCCCCCAGCCACCGAATTATGGCGGTCAGGGCGCTTCTCTCCACTTGCTGACTAGAGCATCTTCGTCCTGAAGCTTCTCAGCTGCACCTCATTGCTGCATCCTGCATCCCGCCTTGCTGCGCGCATATCGCAAAGGAGAAGCTCCAGGAAAACAAGGTACCAAGTACGGAGTACCTGGACCGGGGCGGGACAAAGTACCGGCATTACTGCTTCAGGTACCTGTAGTAAGCAGAGCTGCCCTCTTTTTGGTGCTTTCTTACTGCTTGTAGTAAAGGCCCTCTTTCTCGCTCTGTTTTCATCTACCTTGCGCTTTTGTACTGCTGCTTTTCTTTTCAGCGTCTTTTCAGCGTACCTAAAGATCTGCTTTCACTGCATTCTTTAAACCGCGCTCTATTTCTGGCGGTACCTTAGAGTCAGTTAGTACTCCATACCCAGGTAGTACAGTACCGCGTCGTCCAGGGACAGGGCGTCTCTCATCTAAAACAACAACCATCTCGTTTCTCAAAACACAAATGCGCCTGTCTCTCAGCTGAGCCTCGCCCGCCCGCCGCCTGAAAACAGCGTCAAGTCAATTTATGCTTCGCGTCATTTAACACAGCATACACACGAAACCAAAGCAAGACCCCTCCTGATCGCCATCATGGGCTCCTCAAGCCTGATCGACCAGTTTGGCGAGGCCATTAGCCAAAGTGGCCGCTCGTCTCGTCACCACGCGAGCAGCCGCCGTCACAAGAAGCGCCGCTCGCACTCGCACTCACCGTCGCGATCACGATCTCGAGATCGGTCCCGAGAGCGGGAGCGGGAGCGGGATCGTGATCGTGATAGGTCGCGCTCCCGGAACCGTGGCAGCGGCATCTTTGGCGGCGACAGCGGCCACCGCAGGAACAACGGCTCGAGGGGGTCGTTCTTTGGCCTGGGCGGCAATAACAGCCGCTCCAGCCTGTTTGGAAACAGTACGTGCTACTAACATGACTTCTACGTGATAACAAGACAGGTGCTAACTCAGTAAACTTTGTTCAGGCCGCCCCTCGTACTACAAACGCTCTCCCCGTGAGGGCTTCGTCCAGCGCTGCGTCAAGCAACTCAAGCGGCTCCTCCGCGACTTACAGCACTACGCCAAGCGCCATCCCTGGAAGGTCTTCTTCCTCGTCATTGTGCCCCTCGTTACTGGAGGCGCTCTGACTGCTCTATTGGCCCGCTTCGGCCTCCGCATCCCGCCCTCCATCGAGCGCATGTTGGGCGTGGCCAAGCGCGCTGCCACTGGCGATCCCTTCAGTGCCGTCGGTGATGCCGTGCGCATGGCCGGTGAGTACGGCAACGGTAACGGCACTGGCAACGTTATCGCTAATGCTGCAGGACAATCGTATGCCCGCGGCGCTCGTGTCGAGCGCGGCCGCAGCGGCGACTTGCAGTGGGAGCGCAGTGCCAGCTACTACGATGATCGCAGCCAGGAGGGCGGTATCGTAGACGGTATTCGCAAGGGCGTGTCCAAGTTCTTTTCATAGCACTAAAGCTTTGATTGTGATGAAGTGACGAGGCGGGGATGGCGTTGGAAGGCTGACGTTTGTGTTTGGCATACGATTGGATACGACCTTTTCTTCTTTTTCTTTACCATTTTTTATCATTCTATCTCACCATTTTATGACGCGTTACGGCTTATGACTCTTTTTGTATCAAAGACAGAGCAAACTGTTTGCAACATTATATCCAACTTGGTAGGTACTTTGGTATTGACCTTGGTATCTACAATTAAATACATTTTTTACCACTACTGCGTATGCGATTTAACGTGAATTAAGAGAGTGAATGGCCATCATCCCAAATTACATAGTGTATGAGCGCTATTGAAGACCTTTAGGTACCTAATACTCTCTCAATATCAGAGTAGCCAGAGCAGCAGTTACGTGGAGAACTACCTGGAGAACTACCTGGAGAACTACCTGTACTACATGTGATTCCATTGCACATTGCCATGATGCGTTACTTAGTACTGCAGTTGCTGGGCTACTAGCTAGATACTCCAACAATCAATCACAAAGAAGCCATCACAAGTGAATCTCGAATACTTTTAGTTTAGCCTTCTTTTCAAACTTCGCTCAGTTCAGCACTCAATTCCACTAGCTAAATCTGCTATGAATATGTCTTTAAAAAAAGCAACTCTATCAGCAGCCAAATCGGCAACTCATTCGTCAAAGCAAATGGCCCTCCATTTGACCTTGACGTTTGCATACCACCCAGTGATCTCCAGATGGATTGCCCGAGGTCCAGAGTACCACGAATATAAAAACACAATCGACATAATGCTTCGTCGAAACCCCTCCCCATACCTTCCAACTTCCCCTCCTATCCGCCAACCATCCAAAACAAAAAGGCCAAAAAGAACAATAGATTGGTTTAAAAAAAAAATCAAAAAGAGCACAAAATGTACTCATCATGCAAAATAGCAATGTTCATGCTTGTCGTCAAACGCCAAATCCCTGTTCGCACCCGCTATGTGCGGTGACAACTCTCTTGTAGAGCTCACTGTGAGAAATCGCAAACATGAGGCAAAATCTTCCCAAATCTCTGCTTTAAAAAAAAATCTCGGCTCTTTTCGCTCTTTTCACTAACTGGCTTCGGCATATTTTCAATCAATAAATGACTCGCAAACACACGGCGATGAAAAGGCTTCAGATAGATCCAGTGTCCATAAGGCGTAGGCGAAAAAAGGATTTTTTTGGTTTGAAAGCATGCGCTACATAGAATACATATAAGTTCGTCAAAGCAGAGTTTCAATCATCGGTGAAACTCTGCTTCATAATTCTTCGTGCCTTTCTCCTCTCCGCAGCGAAGTTTAAGCGGTTGTATCATCTTTGCTGGGTTTATCATCTTTGCTCGGTTTCCAAAACTGCATCATCCGTCCTAGTCGCTTGGTCTTGCTCTTTGACTTCTTCGATTCCGGCTCATTATCTAGGGTGACTTCCATGGAGAGCTTGCTTCTCTCGCCATGAGAGCTGCTAATGAGCCGGCTGAGGCTTGCCAAGCTCGATCGTCTACGCCCGAATGGGGCTGACATGGACACGGGACGTTGATCACGAGAAAGAGGCTGGCGAGGTCGTGGGACGGGAATGTAAGAGCTGTCACGGGTGATGGCGGAGTTGCTTGACGCAAGGGACGGGATGTCGTAATCCATCGAGATCCTGACTTCGGGCCCCGGTTCTCCCATGAGGAGAGAATGGAAGCTGTCGTCAGTGACGGATGAAGGCGCGGTGGAAATGCGCTGGGCGTCAATTGACATTGGCGACCGTGGAGAGGGATGGGAGGAAGAAGCATAGCTAGCCGAATAAGGGCTGAGAGGTGTAGTGCTGGCACTGGGAAGAACGAGAGGCTCATCTACTAATAATTCAGCAGTGGCAGGGCGCTGTCTCGGAGATGGGGCTGAGGGCGCTCCTGAGTCGACGGATTCCCTGCGGCCTTGGAATGTCGGGGCCCGGAAAATGGGAATCGAAAACTCCTCTGCGATGGTGTCATCTTGGAGTGAGGCATTGGAGACCTCACCCTGCACCGCGTGCAAGCTGAAAGATTCTCTCTCAATCATTCCCGCGCTTCCACGGCGCATCTTGCCCAACACCTTGTCGCTTGGGCCGACGAAGGGCTCTTTCAGGACAGGCATGACCGCAGGGGGCGTGGTCTCGCCATCAGATTCCTCGCTGGTTTCTTCGCTAGTTTCCAGTCTAGGTCTGTTGCCCTTTCCGTCGTCATCCTCCTCATCCTCTTCAAACACATCAGCCATAGTGGAGCTGCTGCCGAATCGGTGGATAGAGGAGCGGAAGTCAAAAGGAGGAAGATCAGGAGCCGATTCGGCACGTCTGTGATAGTGCATGCCTGGGCCGCTGAAGCCCTTCAAACCTTGAGCACTGTGAAGGCGCCTTCTGCTACCCGGAGTTCCTGCAGCACGTTGTGCAGCCTCCCACTCAGGATTATAAGACAGTGGAGTGTTGAAGGGGCCAAGAGCAGCGTCGAGATCAATCATGGGGTAAGACACATCCTCTGACAGACGTTTCGGCGGCTCTGGTAGAGGTGGCGATTCGGTGATGCTTATTGTGGGTGGTTCGACTGAAGGTTCTTGAATGACTCCTTCAGGTTCATCCCTTCCTCATCATCCGGGTGGAAGACAGAGGCTGGTGGTGTGGGTGGCCGGACTGCGCTTGATTTACCACGCTTCTTGTGGCTCTTCAAAGGTAAGATTGTGCCCGCCCAGCCTTTGGCCTTCTTATCATCCTTCTTCTCCTCTTTGGTCTCCTCCTTCTTCTTGTCTTTCTCCTCCTTCTTCTCCCTCTTCTCTTCCTCCTTCTTTTCCTTCTTCTCCTTTTTCTCCTTCTTGCTCTTCTTCTTCTTCTTTTTCTCGCCCTTTTTGCCTCCCTTCTTGTGCTTGGAAGGGGGTGCTTCTGCAGCTTCTATTGAAGATTCCGACCCACGATCAGAGCAGGAAATTCCATCAATAGGGCGAGGAGTAGAATCTGAAGAACTGGAGGTGCTTGACCGCCTCTTCATGGGGGACCCGGAGGCGAAGGCGTCCAAGCCAAAGAACGACCACCGTTTGGCAGGTTTGGTGGGAGTTGACATGTTTGACTCTGTAGGATCAGCATCGGCGATGTTGATAAGGGCAGGAATTGAGTTTCGGCGGCGAGGAGAAGTAGGTGGCTCATCCACAATCTGCAGCTCTGCGGTGCGTTCCAAAATAGCACCCGCGGTGCTTGGTCTCGACTCTTGAGGTTCACCTGTTGGTGTCCGTGATAGCGGGGAAGAGCCGTCTCGGCCGTTGAGTTCAGAAATCGAGACGATTGAGGAGAGGCTCCCAGAGACCGAATGGCCGGGTCGTGCAGTCACAGTGCTGGACGTGTCATTTGAAACAAGTGAGAGCGGCCGAGGAATGAATTCGAGTGTATCCGAAAATCCAACTCTCGCACGCATCGCCGGCTTGCCCATCTTCCAGGGTTCTTCAGGGGCAAGATGAGGCGTTTTGAAGTTGCCTGCACTCTTATCTTTTCCTGGCTGCATTGGCTCCGGCAATGGGAACTCGGAGCCAATAAGAGGCAAATCTTCTTTGCGTCCGAATATTGTAGGGCTGTTGGGAGCGCTGTTGCCCTGGGGTAGAGTGCCGATGGCTGGTGGAGCGAAAAGTATCGGGAGATCAGTTGCGGGAATAGTGGCAGACATGCCTCGGCGATGTCCTCTGCGTGGTGGTGGCTGCAGAGAGGATGTGTTCATGTCGAATTCATTCTTTGGTGGACTGGTGCTCATGACAGCAATTGTGCTTCCTTCACGAAGACGACCGCCAACAAATTCGCTGCCGCCCCTTCGATGGCCATGGCCCATAGGACGGTTGGCCGCAGACCCAGGGATGGGTTTAGCAGAACTTGGAGAATGCGGCGGGCTGAGGAAAGCGCGAGAATCTGGAGGAAGAGAGGCACCCGGGTTGAAACTGAATGCTGGTAGCGCAGCGTGTCGAGAACCGTCGACGGCTATGCTGAGGGATCTTGAGTGCATTTCCACCGCAGAAAGAGGTCGCCTCCGTTTGGCAATCGTATCGTGTGACGGGGAGGGTGGTGCTGCGGGAAATGCGAATTGAGGGTTGGGAGGAGGCAGGGAGCCATGATGAGACGCGGATCCACGAGCAAGAGAGGCTGTAGTCGCGTCGTCCAAGGAAGCAAGATAGTCCACAGCCCCCTCCATGTTGTGGACAGGCGGAGCAACGGCTGCTCGTTCGGGGCTGTAGAGTGCGGTTGCCATCATTGCTTCTGGCCGTAGTGTGGCAATAACATCGATGGGCAACTAGATTGAATGTTGGACCATAGAGAGGACGTAAAGGCGGTATGATGACGATGCCTTGTTGGAGTCGGTTGTGGCGTTGGTTTTATCCGGTTTCTTCCCGTTTCTTCGTCTGAAAAATACAATGGCGATATAGAACAAGCCGAAGCAAATGAGATTTGATTAAAATCCGAGTCTATAGATACTCATGAGCGGTCGATTCACAGTCAAGGGCTGCGTCGTAGATGGAGGTTTGGCGATGCGTACCAGCGTATCAACGGCGGCTCGAACAATGCGGCAAAGATGTGAAGAGAATAGAAAAGAAGAAAAAAAGGTAAAATGCAATGCTGAAGAAGATCAAGTTCAAAAATCGGGGCAAATGAGTGGACGGCCAAAACCAGCAACAACTTCAAAGAGCGTAGCTGGAATTGCACCAAATGGTTAAAGTTTTGGATGGCGTGGATAGGATTAGAAAGGAAGATTTTTGGGAAGAAGAGAAAGATGGAAAATATGGGGGGGGCCAGAAACTGGAGGAAGACAAGCAGGAGCAATGGATCCCTGCCTGTGTGCCTGGTACCTACTGCTCGGGGTACGAGCGCGCTAAAGGGCCCGGTCCCCACAGCGAAATGCGGATTATTGTCTGTCCCCAGACATCTCAGCAAGCCCTTGCGACAAGTACTGGGTACATGCACGCTGGCCGGCGCTAACCCTGTGCGGCCTTTGTTGTGTGCAGTGCACAAATTGGGGGGCAGGTACAATGGTACATTGGTACAATGATACAACAGTACAACGGTACAACGGTACGAGCGAAGAGGCCGCGATTAAGTGGGAAGTGGGAAGTGGAACTGGGCGTCTTAGCACAGCCATTTCAATCGAGTACTTGCGTCTGTACCTCCGAGATTCCTTTGGGGACGGACATCCACAAAAAACTACCGCCATCAAAAAATCGCCACCGTTAAATGCCTCCTCCTTCTTTGTACGTACTCGTACTCTACTCGTACTTTTAGCGACGAACTCAGCGCGCGCCCACACAGTGCCGCCTTGCGGGCCCGGCTAAGGCACGTCTACACTACAACAAGTACATTAGCACGAGTACAAGTCAGAATGATCCATGGATCTCCTGCTAGGCCATCTGCATCCCCAGCCGCCGCCTGCCGCTGCCATTGGCAGAATCTCGAAATGTCCCTGTCAGCCCTTTTGCGTGTCCGCCGTGGTGGTGGTGTCCCCTTACATGTACTAAGGTACAGGGCCGATAAGTGCACGTACCTGGTACGTATTTCTTCTAGCCCTGAGGGCCGTCTGTTTTGCTCACGGGACTCAGTCGAAGACACAACCGTTCACTTGCGGGCAACCAAAAACAGCCTTGCATGCGAAGTGCGCTGTTTACTGCAAAGCAGGCCTCTTTCTCGCCCTCCCTTTTTATCAATTGCATCAATGTACAAATGGGTGCTATCTTAGCACTCATACTACGAGTACTAAGATACTAGTAATACTCCCGCACCACCCCGGGACTGGAGCTATTGACCTGTCTGCCTACCTAGTCAGTCTTGCAGCTGGACAACGGCCTCAAGAGAGATCAGATAGCAGCTGGGTGGAGGTACAATCACCCCCCGTCCAGCTTGGCTCTCGAGGTGGTATTGTCGGACAACTCAGGCAGGTCCCTTGCGTATCGAGATCACAAGGAAGCGCCCAGCAGATTCACCGTGGCAGCGATGAGAGAAAAACACAAGCGAGCCCAATGGTAGGTAAATCGCCTTCCTATTGCTGTCAGCTTGCATAAAAAGGCGTCTACAGGCACACTATTGATCCATGGATAAACGGCCATCTCCTACCTTGGTGGTGCTACTTCCATCTTGGCACCTAGCCGGCCCGTTGTGGTTGTCCACGGTCTCCTCGTGACCCTAGAGCCCGTTGAAAGGTGTTGCCAAAGTGCCTACGAGGTGGTATACGCAAATACATCGCTTGCAGTCATCCAGCGGGAGTGCGTTGTGTCACCCGCGGCCCTCGACGGCTTTCCCTTTCCTCCCTCTCCCTTGCGTTCAAGGGCCCATCAGCTGGGGCTGACAGGATGGGCAGGGCAATCCTCGACTCTTTGGATGCTTCCTTTTGGTCACGAGCCCCATCGGCAATCGAACTTTTGACGCAAGACAGAAACACAGAGTCTCTCTCACGGTGCCTTGCCCTGTCTTGCCTTGCCTTGCCTTGCCTTGCCATGCCCTGCCTTGCCTTATACAGACCTGTACCTGTAGATTCATGCGGCACATTGACACCAGGCTCCACAGACAGGGGACGGAGGCGGTACGAGGCCCCAATCAGCAGTCCGTAGATACGGATCAACTCTACCTAGCCGCAGTTGGGTGCAAGATGCAATCGACAATTTGGTCTGCACCTATCCGAGGTCGTAATCGACACCTACCTGGTGTTCGGACAACCTTAGCCTCGCGGGCTCAGCTGGCATCGGTAAACGCTTCTAGCCAACCCGAGCGCTTTGATCCTTTCTCTTTCTCATTCCACAGGTGTTCCTTTTTCTTTCTTATTGTTCTTTTGCCGGCAGCCTGGCAGCAAACGGCCCGCCGGCCCTTTTCGTGTTTCATCATCTCAACTTAGTGCCCAGTGACATGTACCCGTGGGCGATGTTACTGTGTGCTCCGTGCTAATTATTAGCAGGACTTGGTGCCTGAGTGAGCACTGATACTTGTTCTACCGTATAAGCTACGGGACTTTTTTTGGGTTGATGGATGGTGTCTTATTTGATACACGATACCTATGCAGGCTGACGGAAGTTTTAGCCCTGCTGCAGACCCTCAGCTGAAGGACGCATAAGAGACTTGTTGTTATGGCAATTTGCCAGTAAATACTATGTAGCCAGTAGCCCAGAACACTGCCCTTTGAAGTATTAGCGGGAGACCTTAGTATAGCTCGCAAGGGGATTCCCGTTTAGTCTCCACCTCATGCATCCGAACTTGTCACCAGGGAGGAAAAGTAATTTTTCCCGTGGCGGAGGTATCTATACATGGAAACCGGATGCTCTCTATGGCAACGGAGTCGAGGTTGCAATAGATGAGGCTGTCATACATACGAGGAGGGCGTGTCTGTCTGCTTGGTGACTTGATTTGACCACGCTCGTATTCCACAGAGAAATAATTTTTAGTAACTTGGAATTGTACAGTGTTCAATGCTAAGGGAGGAGACTCCGTATTAGTGGTACCTGCATTAATGTACCTGACAGAGAGCACAGGGCACGTCCCCATGCAATCACCTGTCTCAGCCTCTCTTAATATCGTGAGCGACAAGGGAGTACGTGGCACAAAACCCTTTTTCTGTTTTGTGTTGGGAAATATTAATGAACCCACCGATCGCCCAGCGGAAGTTTGAAGATTAACTTGGAGCCTGAAACAAGGCAAATTAAAAATAGACATGTTCAGGACATGTTAGCACGGCGTCAGCCTGAGGCCTGATGCGAATCTCCTGCAAGCAGCAAAGCTACATACAGGTAGCAGCGTTGAGCAGCTTGCCCCTTTGTCGCCTATGGCGCCGGATTGCTGTCGTAAATCGAAATATTATTGGGCGTTGCCTTATGATTATTCACTGCATCACGTATGAGAAACTTGACACGCAGTGTAGGAGGCAAGTTCATGTGCTGGCATGTTACATCTACACATGCGCAGGAGCAAATAAGATACATCAGCTTATTTACAGGAGCCTGTTCCATTGTCGCCTTCACAGACAGGGGAGACGATATTACGGTACTGCACAATCCCTCGTCTTCGTCTTCGTAAAGATCGGAGCAGTACGCACGCCCCTGCATCTGCAGCGCAACGCGATGCCGGGTATTCTCGTCGACGTCTGCGTTGTCGGTGTGTGAATGGACGGCAAGGCCATAGAAGGGTGGACCGCGGCTACAGCTTCAAGGTTGTACCCATCTAGAGAATCGATTTGTAGGCGCACAAGTTGCCTACATGTAGATAGATGATATAGGCAAAATAAATGAGGCTGCGACGTACCGTTTGGTACTCGAGCGCCAGACATGTGTCATTTCTGTTGTGTAACCATAGATGAGTTGGAGGCAACCGATTTCCGAAAGGGACTCGGTTCCAGAACCTTAGACTTCCCGTGGCAGACTGAACTGTACCTGGAAATACGGAGCACCATCCACTAAAATAGAAGGGAAAGGGACTAGCAGAATCACAAAGTCGAGATCCCCTGGGTGGAGAAGTGGTGGTTGGCGCTCACCGCCTTAGCCCCACATCTACAGCTGTATGGCAAAAAAAAAAAGATTCGTTGAACCCGCGCACGAAGAGATTGCTCAAACAGTCGCTTGATCTCCAGTTCATCAGGGATCAGACAAGGCAAAATGTCCGCAATGGAGGCCCCAGTCGAGAAAAAGGTTGAGAAGTCAGCCAAGCCTCTTGGCATGCGCAAGAACGGTACGCGCATCCCAGCCTGGCGCATCACCATCACCGGCTTCTACTAACTTCAAGACTCTAGGAATGCAATGGCATGCTCCGAAGAAAGCGTTTCGGCCTACTAAAGGCCTCTCCTCGTATGAGCAAAGAACTAAGGAGCGCGCTGCAATGGCACAGATGAAGGCAAAGGAGAAGGAGATGAAGGAGGAGAAGGAGGAAGAGCGCCAGGTACGCAGCGCTTCACATCTGGCGAGCTGAACGCATTTGCTAACAAAGTCACAGCGACGGATCCAGGCAATCAGGGACAAGCGAGCAAAGAAGGAAGAGAGGGAGCGATACGAGAAGATGGCTGAAAAGATGCACCGCAAGCGAGTGGAGAGATTGAAGCGCAAGGAGAAGCGAAACAAGCTCTTGAACTCATGAGCCCAGCGACACCCTCGCCGAAGACATTGGGATTAGACTGCATCGGCAAAACCCGCAGTGCATTCTATATATTGGCAGCATTCAAGAACCATGGTGCTTACAACGGATGCGCACTGTGGTATCCGAACTTGGACGACCATGCAGCAGCAGCAGCAAGCAGTTGGACGGGGGCTGTAGCGACAACCTCTTCACCGCCCTCGACTCCAGCCACTACTATTCGCAGTAGTCTAAATTTGGTCTTATTTGCATTCTGCGGCAAAATAGGACTGCTAGCTCTTGGGCCTGTTTGCTTGGGTGATTTTTGGGGGTCTTGCATTTGCATGGAGTTGGGAGCACATTGATTACATGTAATACATTTGAGACGGGCTTGCCGAAGCAGCAATGGATAAAACAGGGAAAGGACCTGTCAAAGAAAAGAATGAAGAAACTTACCATACCTAGTACCTACCTATTTTAAGGAAATATGGGATGGAAAAGTGATGGCCAAAGATCTGTAGTATCTGCAGTACTGCTCATACATCTCAATGCTCAAGATGTTAGCCTTAAGAAATGCGAACCAACTAGGTAGTACTTTGCTACTGTACGAGTACAGCTATGACATGTGAACTGACAGGTGGTTTGTCGTCATTTTGCTTTGCTGCCGACCGAGGCCCCACTTAATTTTCCTGGCGGCATAGGTCTTCACCTGCCCAGCCTCAGTTTTGTGGATAATAGATGCATGCACGATGCTCGGATGGAAAAGGGGGCCCCTCAGACGGTCCAACCAGCGGCAATGTCGACCCAAAACCTGCCCGAGTCTCCATCTGCAGCCCCAGCCAGGCTAAGGCCGTCTGCTCTCCAGCGGTCGGCGACGGAGGTCATGGGCGACAGACTCCGGAAAAGGCTGGGTGATGACGAGACTCCGACACTGACACAGATACAGACACACAGGATGCGCCGCTCAGTTGACGTGCCGCGGTCAGGGCCTGTGACGCCCATCATCAGCCCGATCCACAGCCGGCGCACGAGTCTCTTGATCCCAAAGGATGGCGACGACAAGCTGGACTTTACGCGGCTAGGCAGGGAGGACAAGGACAAGGAGAAGGGCAAGGAGAAGCTCCAGGAGGACAAGCAAAAGGACAAGGCATCTTCCAGCACAGAGTAAGATTAAGATGTCCCCACGAGCGATGCCACGAGCGATGCCACAAGACACATGGAAGCTATATGCTGACAGTTGCTCTTCTATAGTGACCTACGGCAGTCTCTCACGCAGCTCAGCACCTTCTCGACCGAAACAACTCGACAGCTAGACCAGACACACTATGCCTTGCTGGAGAAGACGAGCAGCTTGCAGGTCATGGTCAAGGCCCTCAAGGACCTTGCGCAAGCGTCGTGCGACCTCCAGGTAGGATTCGACATGGCCGCGCGGGAGCTCGAGACGGACATTACAGAGCAGCTACGTGGCATTGGACACTTCGAAACACAGCAGTCCACGATCGAGACTCTGCAGAGTCGCATACACCTGGGGAGGCAGACTGCCGATAAGCTGGCAGAGCGAGTGGATGTGGTGCGCAAACAAATCGAGGGCTGGGAACGTGCCGACAGGGCGTGGCAAGAGAAGACGCGCAAGCGACTGAGAATCACCTGGGCGGCTTTGTCAATCCTTGTTTGCATTGTTGGCCTTCTCTTCATGGCTTTCAGCTACAATTCCCGCGGCGCAGCACAGGACGAGTCTGGAGCTCGGGGCGTATGGAGAAACGCCACGCCCGAGTTCAAAGGACAGCATCAAAGCATTGAGCAAGCGCTTGTAGCAAACAACAACGCCAGGCCAGAGACGACGCGTGCACTGGAAACACCACTAGCGGACGACGAGCCGTTACGGATATTCGACGAGCTATGACCTGGCCAACCACGACGGCAAATGCCAAACAAACCAAACAACTTTGCTGACACTGTACGGAGTGAGGCACTCGAGGTGATCGCACGGCTTGCTCGCATGCCAAGGCGCAGAGCGGCCAATGCCATACACATCTGGTGCACAGCACCGGATTCGACAGCGCCAACAGGATTTGCATCAATAGCTCGGGGACAGAAGCCGTTTAGGCACGAGACCATCTGTCGGCGTCACCGAGCAACTTTTAGCCAACTGCTAGTGATATGCGGAGACGGACTTGTCGCACTGCTTTGGTTACTCGTACGGCCGCCCAAACCCTGCGCCGGCTTCACTGCCACAGTGGAGCTGAGGAAGAGCCAGCCAAGCATCCCGAGGTTCGTGCGTTGTTGCTCAGCCAGTGTTTCGGGCTTGCTATTGGACTTGAGTTGGATTTGAACAAAGAGCCAAGGTTTGTCCGGTTGGCTGGGCAAACGAAAGAGGTGCAGAAATGTAAGATTACCTGCCTGCTTTGGATGCTGCTGCTGCTACATGCCATAAGCTGCCACTACCCAAGTACCCAGTAAGGAGTACAGGCGGCTACGAGTACTATCTAGGTAGGTATTCCTTAATGGGGGCGGTCAGATGAACCATCTTCCGAAGACAGATTACGGGTGCTATTATCCTAATTGCAAAAAATTGCCGATCGGCCAAGCATGGAGAAGATGATGAGCCGTTGTTGTTTGGTGCAAGAGTCGGCGGTTTGAGAAGTAAGTGTAGTGTGGGGAAGTTTCTGATTGCTATGAAGCGTGTGAAGGTTGATGGGCATAGACATTTAGTGTATAATAATAATTCAACAATTACAACAATTGCAGCCGTGTAGAATTTCGAACCGGATAGTGTAATGCCCTTGAGAAGTGATATTGCCCATCAATGTACAGTACGTACCTTGGGATCTTCCCACTTGTCTTGTGTTGAGAGAACAACGACGCCATGAATGAAACATAAAACTGATTGGTCTTTGAGCCTGTCTGCCAACTTGGCGCCAAGGCCTGCGATTTGCCCCCGACATATACATCTACATGCCCTTTGTCAAGCTGCGCCCGTTATGCGCGGACGATCCGATCACAAAGCAGAAAATTAGCTTGATCGAGACTTTTTCCTCAAATTGAGTCTCTGTTTCTACTCCTGCTTTGACGAGATTACTTCTCTCTCTGTGTTCCCCCTTTTGTCCCGCCAAAAGAAGTGGCCGGCAAAATGTCTTTGAGATATCGGAGCTGTAAAAAAGTGTGTTGGATGGAGCTGCTGCTTTGTTTCGCTTTGTTTCTCGGCATGTTACTAGTGATGTGGCTGGGGGATCTTGGCGGCGGAAACGGCTGTATGTCTTGGTGCTAATGGCGCCATGATGGAGCTGGCGCTTGTGGTTGTTCCGTGGGCTCCGTCTTTTTGCAGTGGTGTTGAGTGGACTACCCTGGATGAAAGAAGAGTTGTATGAATTGGGGACATGTGATAGCAGTAGATAGGCACTAGACTAGAGAATAGTAGTAGGGGACAGTATTGGAGAGTAGAAGAAGGTGGCGATTAGTAGTTAGCAGATACTGAGTAAGCTGGTTGAAGAATCAGAAAGAGAGAATAGTAAATGTCTCCTATACATCTTGTCATGGCACTTCCAAATATCTACCGCCTATAGATGGATCCATTGCCGCTGGGGTACTGGATTAGTACTCGTATACTATGTACCTAGTGGCCACTCCCTATAAAATCTGCAGTGCCATACTCGTAATCACGCTACTCTACGCCTTAAGCTAGTGATGTCATACTGAAGCCATGCCGCTGCCATGGCATCTGTTCCTTGCTTTGCTGCGTACGAGTACGTGAAAGGAACTGACTGCATGGATTCTCTCTCAACCACGGCGCGAATGGATGGAATTAATTCTCTCGGCAGTCGGCCTTGCGGCTGAGAGGGGCCGAGCGGTTACAGACAAGTGGCTTGGAATCCTGCAGTCCAACGTCATGTTCTGGACCAGAGCAGAACTGCGCCCATGCAGGTGTTGCTGACCAGTATGGAGTATGCGCCTACAAAAGGAATTTCCCTGCATCGCCGTGATGCCGCTTGGACGACCATGTAGTAATAATTATGGGGCAGAGCAGGGCTGTGGACTTGATGTTTTGATAATATTTGGGTTACCTATGTTGATGTGTTTTTTTTTTTGTTCCATCCTCTCTCTTAATAGTCGACCATTGTCACGATCTTTAGCTCCCGTCGCTTTTCCCTCTCTCACTGCCTCCTCTCTGTTGTGTGGGAGAGTTACAAGAGTAGCTAGTTCCCTAGACAGACTTCTCCTCACCCCTCACCTTGTCGAAATCGCAATTGTGACCGAGATTCTGCTGCTTTCGCGCCCTGCTATTTAGGCGAGCCCGCCCAGTCTCGAGCTTACATACCACGGCACTCGTACTCCGTACAAACGACGACGTTTCCTACCACGCTTCTTAGCTACCCCGCCAAGTACTCAGCCGGTTCCTCATCCTCTGATTGACGGCGGCTGTGACATCTGCTACATACCATCCGAGACTTGCCAACGACCGGATTTTCTCATCCTCGGGCGCCCATTCGTCTTTTGCGATTGTCTCTGTTGCTGCCACATTAGATCTCGGCCATGACAGCTGCCGAGCAGGAAGTGCCCGATAGCGGCGCTGCTGTTTCTCTGCCCATTCGCGCCAATGGCTCAGATGCCGCGCCAGCATCCAGCACTGCGCTGACGGGAAAACAGGAGCACTGTGCGTTTCTTTTTGTTTCTTCCCCTGTCTGATGCTTCCTGTTGTGCTGGAGATAGAGCTAACCAAAGGACACACGGCACAGACCTGAAGCGAGAGCTCATTGCAGACCAAGTCAAGTGGGAGATCAACGAGCTCAACTCCCCCACAGCTCTGCAGCGCTTCGGTGCGCCCTTCAAGTCGGAACAGGGCGAAGTGTCTCCCCAGGAATCAGAACTGCCGATTCTGCGATACATCTTTGTCCACCATGTTCGCGATTTCCCGTTTCTGGACAAGGCCAAGGAGAAGGAGTTTTGGCAGGACAAGCTCCAAGTCGTGCGTTGCGCCGTATTGCTGCGAGGGTGATTTTACGCTGACACGTACTGCGCAGTTTCTCGAGTCGTTTGCCATGAAGCAGATCTCCTCGTCCGAAGACCGTCTGGAGGAAACGAAGCGGCGGAAGCTGGCCATCAAGGCTCAGAAGCTGGTTGAGTTGATGATGGTTTCAGGCATTCCCACCTCGTCCGGATTCGAAGAGCGCATCAAGTTTTCGGAAATCGAAATTGTAGATAGCAACGCCATCGATAGGGGCGTTATGAACACCCTCCCCGAAGGAAACTACATTAACGGCTGGGACGTAAATGTGGCTGGCGTTCGCGTCACTTCGGTCAAGCGCAACATCAGATACCACAAACACGCCGAGTTCATTCTCCGAATCAAGAGAAAAGGCGAGCTGGAACACTTTGTCGGGCGACGGTATGGCGACTTTAGCAAATTGCACCGAAAACTGCGTACCGAACTGCCTGGGAGAGTCATACCTACACTTCCCAAGAAGAACAAGTCGGATACGCGAGCAAGCGGACTGCTGCCGACATTTGCTACAGGAAACGACTCTGATGCCTCTTCTGTGTCTTCAGAATCAACTCGGAGAACGAGTAGACTGTCCCAGAGCTTTGGCGCAGCGTCGCTACTATCTCCCGCAGGTGGTGAGTACTTGGTCGTATTCTCACGACGGTAAATGAGGATGAAAAGTCGCCGACTAACTGATGCGATAGCTGCGCGTGGTCCAGGATCGATAAGATCATCTAAATCAAACCGCTCAAGGAAGGTTGCTTCTCCTCGGCCATCTGTCGATGGTCATGTTAGTTCTGGAACAGGAACTCCTGATGGGAAGCAAGAGGTTAGCATCTACCGCCTATGAGGCTTGCTTAACGTGAAGAGAGTTAACATAGCGTATTAGTTCATCCTTTGGCGAGAGAATCAGAGAGTCTCGCTCCGTGCTTTTCTACGGTCCCTCTTGCACAACCCCCAAATCGCCAATACTAAGGCCATGGTAGAATTCTTCAGCGGCGATCCCATCACACCGACAGACGAAGACGTCGAAGACATCCTGAGGCGCAAGGCACTTGATGAGAAGCGTATGGAGGAGCAAAAAGAGTTTTACGAGATTGCTAGGAGACGTGCCGCTGAGCTTGATGAGTACATGGAGCAGTTAGTGGCCCCCCTTTGAGTTTCTTCTTCCCGAAATTTTCTGACACCGAATTATAGGTTCCGGCGGGATATCGTCGAACGCAATGGTCTCACGCTGCTGTTCAAAGAGATTAAGGAAAAGCAGACGATTGGCGATCTTAGCATTCAATACCGCAAATTTGCCGAATGGCTGAGGATTGAAATCGCTGCCGTCGTATATCACCTTTTCTTGGCCGAAGACAACTCAGCCGACATGTTTGCCCAAGCCAAACGCATCCATTCTCTTATTCCATATACCGTTGTAAAAAATGTCATTCGAATTGCGAATCCTGCAGCGGTCATGTCCGGCATCCTGGACATATTTCTCGCCCAGCCCTTTGGAGCTCGATCTCTTATGCAGCGAATGTTTTCCTTGGCATTACACGATGGAATCCGAAGCTTCCAGAGATCCATTGACGCGCTTGACCTCAAGATTGGCGACCCTGTCTTCACAGAGAAGATTAAAAAGTACACAAATGCCGAGGAAGATATCAAGAAGGAAATCCGCCGCCAAGCCGAAGACGAGGATCTTGATATCATCGTGGTGATACTGAGATCAGACCTTATCGAACCCGAGTTGACGGGCGAGCAGATTCAGCGATTGTTCAACGCATATGTTGCCTTCAACAACGCCGTCGAGAACATTGATGAGGAATTGAAGCAAGGAGCCCAGCTCTTTTCGTACCTCAAGCAGCTTCTCAAGCTTTGCATGCGCCACAGAGATAAGACCATGCTGCTACAACTGATTGAGGAGTCCGTTACGCTACAGCTCCTGAGAGACCTATTTACCATCTTCTATGAGCCTCTCGTGCGGGTATACAAGTCGGCCAATGTATATAATAGCGTCACTGACTTTGCCGTTTTCATCGACGACATGATCAAGGTGGTCGAAAAGTGCAGGGAAGACGATGCATCTGCAGATCCTAACCAGACTGTTCAAGCATTTATCGATCTGTGCGCGAGACATGAGCACAATTTTTACAAATTCGTACACGAGATCCATACACACGACAACGGTCTCTTTACTCAGCTTATGGAGTGGATAGAGGGCATCTTGGAATTCCTCCGCAAGGGGCCCAAGAACGGCACGCTGAATGTCAATGCCTTGTTCGAAGGCGGCGTCAGCAGTGGCATCATCAACAAGGAGAAGGCCGTGGAGGAGATCAACGCCCTGATTGCATGGCAAGAGGCCCGGAAGAAGTGGCATAGCGACAAGACGCAGCAGAAGATGGCAGCGGAGGGAGCGCCAGGCAGCGACATGATGCCGACCGGCTTCAGCTCGTCCGATTTCGGCCTCGACGGCGAAGACCTAGAGGACTTGGCATACGACGATGGTTCGGAGACTGAGGCGGAGGAGGAAGACGACATGGATCCGATAGATGCTGAGAGGCAGAGACGAGCTAAGAAGCGTGACCGTCTGCGTCGTTCAGCGGGAGAGCCTGTGAAGCCGCCGATTTCCGAGGTCCACAAGCTCAAGGAGAATTTCCTGATTATGCTGAGGAATGTCTTGGCTGACTAGATGAGGTGACGGGGTTCATGAACAAGGTTTTCTGCGAGCGGCGGATGAGCAACATTGGGCAATGCATTAGAGAGATCATTATGTTAGTTGCGCAAGCGAGGACATGTTTTTTTTTTTTTTGTTGTCTTAGAAATCGATGATGGAAATTATAGAAGTAAAGCATCCAGGCCGTTTTGGGCTGCAGAGAAGGCGGAGTGAAGTTTTGAGAGACAGTGATTTAGAGTTTATTTCATCCGTTGACGTTGCCGTTGGGGGCAGAATCCCCTTGTTATGATATGAATTTAGGTAGCTTGCTTGTACAGGTGCTAGAAACAGAATATATCTCTTTGTAAAAGCGCCGATTAAGGTATATGACTTCCTAACATAAATCTGCCAACAAAAGACACCAAACAATTTGGAAGTAATCACATAATAGAGCCCATTCATTCTTCGGCCATTTCGGCCTGCAATTGAACTTCTAGACACACAGTTAACACGGGTAAATGCAGAATCGCAACTTGCATTGACGAGATGTGACCACTTACGCCATAGTCGATTCGCCGAAGCTGATATCACGTTCGCCTTGGCAAGTAGCTTTTCTTCGTATATCTCGTCGACTTTTCCCTTGATCCGCAGTTTATTTGGCTGGGCCTATATTGAAATGTCATTTAAAAAGCTTGCGAACATGGCCAATTTCGGCGTCCAGGAACTCTTCAACATACCTGCATCAGAATCAGAACCAATTCCTTTGGATCGGCGTTTGCTATAGCACCGACGGTTCGATATCCGTTTTCCCAAAAGACTCGACTGAAATAGTCGCATGAGCATATCCTGTTTTTGCATTTGCTTTGTAATAGTTCAAAAAGTGTACTCACGCTGTGCGGCTCTTGATGAAAGGAATCTTGGCGAGCTCCAGCAGATCCGTCCTTGCACCAGCCATCAGCCTGTCCGAAAAGTGTTCCAAGGCAGCAGCCATGACACTTCCCACAATTGTCAGTACACGAAATTGAAGGCAAAAAAATAGAGCCCTTGGATTGCTTACCCCCATCCCATGTGCTCGCAAAACTTAATCATGCCTGCCGCGAAACCCTGACATGTCTGCGCAAGTGTTTGCACAGAACCTCGAGGCGAGTCGTACTTTCGAGCAACCACATGTATCGGCATCTCATTGCACAGATCCCGAAGCTGCATGGCAAGATAGAAACGACGGTATACACGGGCCAGTTCTTTCTCTTCGGGTGTACTCTCCTTAAGTGGAACTCCCTGAGCACTTGGGATATCGTTAGTGAAGATGCATTGACAAGAAGGGGCTCATGAAAGATATTCCTCACAACTTGAGAACGGCAGTCGGCTTGATACCCAGAAAGCCAAGGACTCGAAGCCCACTCTCATCTAAAGCGTCCATCTCGTTGCGAAACACTTGCCAGTTGACTACGATGCCAAAATCTTGAACTGGAGTGAAGACATAGAGGATATGCATCTCTCCATCCATGACAAAAGCCTTGAGCGTCTTGGTAAGTTCGGAATGTATAAAAACTCCATCATAGGGGTCAACGGAGGATGCAACAATGGCTTTGCCCAACTGCGTCGCTGCAAAACTCGAGTAAGAGTCATTGACAATTAGCCCTAGGTCGTGAATTTCTTCCAGCCCCGACGTTAAGCAGTTTTCCACAAACTCTCGATCGTGAGTATAGCTTATGAGAGAATTAGAAAAATATTCAAGGAGAGATTCTTGGCTGTTCGCCAAGCGCACGGAAATGACTTCCAAAATGGCTCTTGCTAAAATGTCAGCGAATGCCACGCTCGGCGGCGGATCAAAACAATGTCTCACCGTTGAACCCGCTTATTTTCAGTGTTGAGACAACTGGCAATCTCTGGGATATCCGCATACATGAGATCTAAGACCTGCTCCAGGTCGTCTTGGCGACAGCATAGATATGTCTCTCCAATAGGTGATTTGCCCTGCCTTCCGGCGCGGCCTCTCATCTGCCTCAGCATGGAGGGACCAACAAAATCACGTCCCATCCTTGCATTATGTAGGATCACTCTTCGAGCAGGACTAGCGTATTGTAATTAGTGAGCTAGACGTGTCCAAATAACAATTATGGAGGGGGCGCACAGATTAATACCAGCTGCCAGGCTGCAGGTGGCAACACACACTAGCAGTGTACCTGCATCATACGCTTCGGCAATGAGGTCTCTCTCCTCACTCGTTAAGCCCGCCTATTCAGGTCAATCAATACGAACGTTTCTTGGGGAGGCAAAATAATGCACACACATCTTCGGGCTCGTGGTTAGCATTTGGAATTAACGTGAAAGAGGGAGGACTTACGATGAAATGCCACGCCGGACAAGACGGTTTCCTCCAACACAGGATCGGCCCCTGTGCTGAGACTCCGCAGCTCGCTCAGTAGATCCATCCGTTTGTCCATGGTTCTGCTGTCCAACTCGTGCGGCTGAGGCATCACTCTGCTAATCAGGCGAGCATCCGATTCGCAAATGCCTCGACTACCAGCAAATACCAAAGCGCCGTAGCCCATCAAGGCGGTCTCATGAGCCAAAGATACCACTGCATTCAGGACTGGATCGCGGAACTCCTTGTGGCTAGACATCTCAATCTGTCTTATAGGATCCACCTGACCCTTTGATATCTCATCGACTTTTAATTGTTTTTGCGTCGTAGCACCGTTAGAGCCGATGTGGTAAACTTTTCCTTCGCAAACTAGGTGCTCTTCAATCGGTATCGGTCTATATCTAGTTTCGTAAGAATGTGCATTAAGCCATTTGGCGACCAGATTCGCATTCTAGAATAAGTCAGACGTGACTAAGGGGCATGGATCATCTAATACAGGAGACCTACGGGAAGAGTAGCGCTCATGCCGATGATCTGAATAGGCTGCTCTAAACTCAGGAGTTTAGTTGCTATCAACTCGAGAAGATAACCGCGGTGATCATCATCAATCATGTGAAGCTCGTCGAGGACTACAGCTCGCAGTTGGGATATGGATGAGTCTTCAATGGCGGTATTGATGAGCATGTTTGCCTGAAGGTAAATTGTTGTTAGAAACCATGTAGGGACAATTAACCGTTTAATCGAGTCAAACATGGCGAAGCAAACCTTTTCCAGGGTGCATATGCCAATATCAAAGTCCTGCCACGTAGATCTAATCTTACCGCCGCCAAAGAAACCGACAACCTTGATCGAATCATGATCTGGACGAAGTCGCCATATACTACTGGCTTTTTGCTTCTCCAGTGCTTCAGGATCCAGGTTTGCAGTGAGTCCCTGAACAACAGTGCGCAGCCAGCGGACCTTTTCTTGCACAAGGGCAACATATGGGAGGATAAGGAGAGCTTTGGTCTCGGGCTCCTCCATTATCCTTTTCAGCATGAGTACTGGGCAAACATCAGCTGCTTAGCCCATGGCAATATTATGAATACAACGAGATGGGCTCACAATCAGCAACAAGCGACTTGCCACCACCTGTGGGAGCACAATAAACCAAATTTTTAGCACCTGTAAGCAAGCCCGGCCCCTTGAGGCAGTTTTTCTGCCATGGGTAGATTTGCTTAATGCCAAGAGAAGCAAAGTTATTAATAAGCTGAGGCGGCAGATTATATACTGGATGAGCAAGATCGAGCTCGGGGTCTATGGAAGAAGACGGCGTAGCCGCAAATACACGCCGCTGGGTATACTCGGAGGGGTCCTCTGATGCATTAAACGTGACAATTTTGCTGGCAGAAAGCCTCGTAGCAGGTGGGAGAAAATGAAGGGCATTTTGAAACCGGGCCGAGCCTTGGGAAGCTGAAGCGGGAGCAGATGTAGTCGCTGCAAAGGCAGATCCAGATCCAGATCCAGATCCAGATCCAGAAGGCGAATCCCTTCCGTCTGCATCACCAATACTTGTTGACCAGCTTCTCTTTTGCCCAGCGAGTGAAGCTGCTGCCTGCCGTTCTTGAGCTTCCTGGACGCTGGTCTTATGCAAGATGCCCCTCATGCTCTCCATGGTTGAGGGGAAGCAGGCGTCGAGCACCTACGAAGAAGAGGGATGCATCTGGATACAACAACAATAAAAGAAAGGAAAAAATAGAAAGAGAGAAAGAGAGGTAAAAAAACGAGAAAGGGAGAGGGAAGGAAAGCGATGGCAGATTCAAGCAGTTGGCAAATTCATCATCTATGATTATGATTATCCGGAGCTATGCTCGGCACGTTTCCCAGGCAGATGTGACAAGGACAAGGATCTCTGCAGGGCGGGCCAGTGGCAGTGGCGTTCAACGAAGTTAACGCGAAATCACGTGAGGAGCTTATCTAATGCGATCGGTCTAGACGCGTCCGAAGCCACGGGCTGCATCGCCTTGAAGACTTGGATGCCGCTCCATAACATTAGCGGTCCTTTTTGGGGTGGCTTCAACGAATTAGGCGCTGCCTTCGGCCGGTGACGACGTAGTAGGGGCTTACTAGCGGGGGCCGCGAAACAGATCCATTGCTTCTATGGACATCATAGGAGTCTGGTTCTGCTAATTCATGCGTAATTTGAGACGTTGGAGAGAGCGCTACAAAGCGAATAGAAATGACTCCATAGGCGGATATCGGTAGAGCTGCTGGATGTGTAGATACAACGAATATTCGGCAGAAATAAAAACAAATAGTCTAGACTCGAGATTATTTCGTCCTCGTGCGCGACGTGGTTGTCCTACTAACAGTCAGTCTGCCGTGTCATCCCCACTTGTCGATTTGAGTGCCCGGCGGCCGTTTATTGGCCCTCATCTGACAGCAACACAATCATGAGCAGGACAATGTCATATTAGAAGAAGAAAAAAACAGCCGAGTTAGAAATGCATTCTTTACGCCATTCTCCTCCTCGAGAAGCGCGCGCTCAGCATATCACCGTTCTACTCGCGCTGATGAGCCGTCCGTCTGTTGTCACAGTCGCTATGCCACATGCCGGTATTACAAACTGTACTTCGTACATCCTCAAGTATGTATGTGGATGTGGGTGAGTCGGCTGATAACCTGATGAGCCACTCTACGGCCTCCCATTGGTGAGCTTATCCTCAACAAAGCTGGTTGCTCTCACTATTGGCGGGATGCTGTGGCGACGATGTGCCTTTTGGTGGACAGACCTGGGATCGCAGCAGCTTATACTCCGTACTGTACGAGTACATGTGCCGACTGCCTGTGGGCATTATGATTTACCGGCTGGCGCCATACGGATTATCCCCCCCGAGTCTTTTTTTTTCACTTCCTGTTCTTATTTTTTCTAGGGGATATTGTCCTTGTGGCGTTTCCGCCCGACTCTTAGCCCCCACACACCGATCTGGCGGGTTCTGCGTCGTTTTGGAGGCTCGACCCAATTTACTCGACCATTATCCTCGGGCTGCTGCCTTTAGCTTCTCGTTTGAATTCCGGCAGCTTTCTTCCTCTGTGCGCACCGTCGTATTCGTCAGATGTCATTGTGGCCGCGCGGGTTTCCCGGAGTTCTCGCGGGGTTGTTCTACCAGCCCGCGGTCACAAGGACAGTGACAATATCTCCGGATTCACTGTTAAAACGCGGATGGCCCTCTGCTTGTAGAAGAGAAAGGGAGCGCGCCTCAGGTACATGACATCTCATGATGGCTCTGTCTTTGAAAAGTCATTCGCTATCCATACTGAATTGCTCTCAGTAGAGAGAGGACGCCCATCGTACTACCTAGGTATCTATATACTTACTACATGTGCTATAGGGTACCTATCAAAGAACGGTACATACTAGGTAATATCCGACCGGCATGCAGGAACACGTCGCAAATCTCCCAGCACCACGCGAAATGTATCCTGAATTTGTCATGGCCATGTGCAAGTGATCGCTCTCGGCTTCAACCTTCGCCTCCCCTAGTTGGAGACCTGGAGCAAACAATGATGTAGTGAGGAACACATGGATGCCAAGTGCCGTACGTCATCAAGACCCCAGAGGACGCCCACAACCGCGCGGGACGAGCACCTCACCTCTAAAATCCCCAATGACCTACTTGAGGTTGCCCACGATTTTATGACCATGTTGGCAAGTAAATCCTTGACCGCTCAGAGTTTTCGCAATTGAGAGAGCGGGAGATTTAAAGAGACATCGCCTGTCGATAGCGCTTGGACTGGAATTCCAGGTCTGGATGGGGTTGTTTGGATGGGGTTCCATGTTAAGTCAAATTTGGACCCATTTCTGCCAACACAAAAATCTAAAGGGCCATAGAAAAAAAAGAGGAACGGATGGGATATTGGTACCCCCCGGAAACCTCCATGGATTCTAGTAGTCGACTTCGGCTGCCCACCCCCCCAAAACCACACGCGCAGCACACGACTTGCACCTCAACCTATCTTACGAGGTGCCCCAGTAGCGCAGAGCGGTCTAATCGATCTCCCTGTAAAGGAACCTGAAGGTTTTGGGCAAGTCAGCTAAGGTACTAAACTATAAGCCTCTGCCAGAACGCCACTCTCTCACAGTCAAATTGGATGCGCTCAATGTCTCCTCTGGGTCGTCGAGAAACGCCTCTTGAAAGCCTTGTACATGCTTGTATATATAAAATTACTAGCATCAGGCATCAGCCGCAGCTAGGCCATTTTGCGCGGCGTCCTGGGCAGCCGCTGCTAACAGAGACTTTTACAGTACTCGCTACTACCTCGCTAGGTACCAAGGTACCTAGACTAAGGGACCCACTAGGAGGAGTCCCCAGTAGGTACGTATACTGGAACCCTGCTTTCTCTACCTCGCCAGCAGGAATACTCATACTCAATCCACTCGCTTTTCTTCTCTCATTCATCAACTCGAGAGACGACCTTTCTTCTTCCTCCCTATCGCGTATTTTATGGTCCCAACTCGTCGTCACGCAATCTCTCCTGCGATACAAATCTCCGAGAATTTCATATCGACCTCGACTCTCGTCTTTATTAGGGCAAACCTTCATCGCTCCCCGTCTTGTCCCAAAAGACTTCAGTCACTCATCAATCAGTCGGGCATGCCTCTGATTTACCTCGTTTCACGGCTACACTGCTAATCTGCCGCCAATATGGTGCAACCGAATGTAAGTGTTTCTGCTACGACATGCCTTATACTCTTACACGCCGCATTTGGCATTTTCACTTTTTTGTTTTATTTCCTCGTGTCCATGTTGGATATCTTTGACTCGTCGCCTGGCTGCTCTGACATCCACAACAGGACTCCAAGTCTGCAGAGCCTGAAGCAAATCCAACGTCAGAGCCAATGGCCAAGACGTCGCCCGGCTCAGGCGCAGCAGAAAAAGATACCGTCATTGACGTGGCCATGCCTTATGGGACTCGCTCCCGCAATAGGACGGCTAATTCTCGTCCCAACTACGCCGAGGACAAGGACATTGAGATGGACATGTATGATTACTACCCCGACAAGAAAGACAGCGACGCCGGCAAGAAGTCGTCGCGGCAGATGAACGGCGCCAGCAATGGCGATGCGCCTCGCAGCAACGGCAGCTCACGCAAAAATGCTGCTGCTGCTGCTGCTGCCGCCGCCGATGACACCAAGGCCGGGCCTGGCCAGAACGGCACCCAGGACGCAAAATCTGGCGGCACTATCCACGCATCACAGGCGGCGTCAGGATCTGGCACGTCGCAGCCTTCACGGAAACGCAAGGCGGCAGCGAACCAGAACGGCGCGGCGGCCGCATCAACTGCAACATCGGCAGCACCAACGCCGCCGTCAACATCGGCGGCGGCTAAGAAGAACGCCCTGGCGGCGCAAACCCAGCTCCAGGGCATGACGTGGCCCGAGTCCAACATGCTCACGTTCGAGACGTGCAAAGGCATGCCAGTCAATGGGCAAATGGTGGCCGACGATGGCACGGTGCTGGAGGCGAATGGTAGGTAGCACGGCCGGGATCCACCTCCACCCTATGCGAAGGCAATTTCCACCTGCGGCGAGGCCGGGCTAACAGACAATCTGGCAGATCACGTCTATCTTGTGTGCGAGCCTCCGGGAGAGCCCTACTATCTGGGGCGCATCATGGAGTTTATGCACGCCAGCAACGACACCGCCAAGCCTGTGGACGCGGTGCGCATCAATTGGTTCTATCGCCCCAAGGATATTGGGCGCAAGGCCAGCGACACGCGAATGGTCTTTGCCAGCATGCACTCGGACATCAGCCCCCTGACGGCCCTGCGCGGTAAGTGCCAGATCAGGCATCGACTGGAGATCGAGGGCATGGACGACTACCGTCGACGACCGGACAGCTTCTGGTTCGAGAAACTGTACGACAGGTACATCCAGAAGAACTACGATCTGATTCCCACCCGGCTCATTGTCAACGTGCCCGAAAAGGTCAAGAAGGTGCTGGACGAGCGCTGGAAATACGTGCTAGTCGAGCAGGGGCGTGGCAAAGAGCTGACTAGCGCCGTTAAGCTATGCAAACGATGTTCGTCGTACTGCGCCAGGTACGTATTGTCGACACGACCCTACAGCCCGCTCCATCTGGCCTAGGGCGGGTTTTTTTTCTTTTTTCTTTTTCCTTTTTTTCCCCTTCTCTTTTCGGTCCCTGTCCTTGTCTTCCCTTTCTGTCCGCCTGTCTCTGCCTGAATCCTCGCTGTTGGTGTTTCCAGCTGCGGGACTGTCAGTACCGGCCGGTACCCGGGCTGGCAGCCAGCACCACTAAGGTACCTTGGGGCCCGGCCCCTTTTGGCCCGAGTCCCAAGTACCCGACCAGGGTGAGATGCTCTGGCTACATGGATGGTACTTGATCACCAACACCCCTTCCCTAGCCCTGTTTAGGGAGAGCCCTTTTCTGTCGGTTTTTCTTCAGTGCCTCATAGGGCACCCCAGTAACCGCAGCCGTTCGACACCCCCCTCCCATTCATTCCACGTCTCCGCCTTTGCCTTGCGTATTCCCCCCTCCCTGTCTTTGCCGTGCGTGCATGTGCATGCAATTTGCTGGCCTTGGTCGGACCACTGCCCGTCTCCTCACTCGCTCTGCAATGCCCTGTGCCTGAGTTGTCAAGCAGCGCAGCAGAGCCGTGTTCCGGCTGCCGTTTAGGCACTGTCGGATGTCACCGCCCCCAGCCATCGTGCATCACCACATCGGCTGCAAAAGCTACGAGGTACATGGGCACTACATATCAAGACGACAAGAAGCAAAAAGATGAAAATTTTGTTGGCGGATTCATTTGCATTCGATTTATTTACTTTCCGTCGTTTTGCCCTTTGATTTGTTATTTTTTTGCGGAGGCGAATTTGCTTTTTTCTATTCTCTTGTTTTCTTTCTCAGTCATCCCATCTTGACCTGAATATACACCCCCCCCCAATGCTGACACAAGCTCTCAAACAGCAATGATTCGGTTGACTGTGCAGTGTGCCTGCACACATACCATATGAACTGCGTCAAGCCACCGTTGCTCAAAAAACCCTCACGTGGCTTTGCGTGGTCCTGCGCTGCATGCAGTCGTGCTCAGGAGCGCAAGTTGGAGGCCCGCCATACGCCAAACACCGTTGACGCCGGAGATGCTGAAGATGATGAACCTCTGGATGAGGATGAAGAAGATGTTCATGGCGTTGAAACAGAAAGGACCAGCCCTGGAGACGATGATGCGCCCCATCAGGGAACCGCCGAGCAGATTTACCAGGCTAGCCTCTGGCCGTGGCGTTATCTCGGCATGCATTGCAAGCCGGAGGATGCGCTGGACTACGATGACCGTATCTACCCGCGTGCAGGCACCCGCATTGGCCCAAGAAACCAGGCCTCTGTTGGGCCATGGCCAGGCCAGCCTGTGCAGTACGTCAAACCGCTGGAATTTAAGAAGGGCGGCAAGAAAGATCAGAAACTGCTCAAGGAACAACAGGAGGCCGAGAGGGCTCGCCGGGGCCAGCGGCCGAAGTGGGTCCAGGATCAGCCACCTGGATATGTCGCTCGTGGTGAGGACCTGGACGAAGATGATCCAAATTGTACGGCGGTGTTATTGTGGAAGCCGCCGTCTGCAGATGAACCGTCTGCCGAAAAGATCAACAGTTATGTTGACGACGCCATGTCCAAGGCCAAACAGCTAGACCTTCCCGAGCGCTCCACGAACCTTCGTGATGCGGCGGTAGAAACCCTGTATCGCGAGGACTTTAATGAGTCCAAGGCCCTCACCGTGCTCTCTCGAAAGCCCAGGATTGAATTCAAAGAACCTAACTTGAGCCCCGCCGAGGTGAAGAGATTTGAAGAAGGCGTCTCCAAATTTGGCTCCGAATTGCATCTTGTCATGAAGCATGTCAAGTCCAAGTCGCCGGGAGAGATTGTTCGGCATTACTACGCTTGGAAGAAATCAGAGCGGGGGCAACAAGTCTGGGGCAGTTTCCCAGGTCGAAAGGGAAAGAAGCAGGCAAAGCGTGAAGACGCCGCCGCTTCCAAGCTCGCCGATGACGTGGCTAACGATGACGACGACTCTGCATTCGATGCGGACAAGGCGGTACAGAAGAAGCGGAGCTTTATCTGTCAATTTTGCAACAGAACGCAAGATCGGCAATGGAGGAGAGCCCCGAATCCGCTACCTGGGCTGGTCAATGACCAGGGTCTTAAGGGCTCTGGCAAAGACAAAGCTGGGAATCAATATGTTGTTGCCTTGTGCCGACGCTGCGCCGAACTGTGGCGGCGTTATGCTATTCGATACGAGGTTATCGAAGAGGTGGCGAAGAAGGTTGCACAGGCCGGTGGTCGTGCATGGAAACGCAAGCAGGATGAGGAGCTTCTCAAGGAGTTGCAGCTCGCGCAGGAATTGGGCTATATGACTCCAGAACGAGCTCCCACTCCTTCCAAGGCTTCATCCCAGCCCACAGAGACACAAGAGCCTCCTAGGAAGAAGCTCAAGGCTGCCGCCGATAAAGAGGCTGATGCAACTCCATCTGACGCCGGTAGCACCCCTGGCCCTGTTCCCACTAAGAAGAAGGAAAAGGCTGTTGTGGAGCCACCCGCCGCCCCTGAAATGCCAAAACCGCGAATTCTTCCTTGTGCTATCTGTGATCAGATGGAACCATTGGGAGATCAACACGTCTCGTGTCGAGAGTGCCGTCTGACGGTCCACCGCAACTGCTACGGTGTCATCGATCACAAGGTACAAGGCAAATGGGTTTGCGATATGTGTGCCAATGATAAGAGCCCGCAAGTATCCATCGTAAGTCAAGTCACCCCCCCTATCAGCATCAATCCATACTGACAACCGTGAAAGCAATATAAATGTGTTTTGTGCCCTGTTGAGCACACCGAGCATGACTTTGTGGAGCTGCCCAAGCTCACACACCACAAGAAGAAGATGTCTGAGAAGGATCGCGAGCGAGAGAAGATGGAAGTCCAGCAAGCCCGCAAAGCTGCCGAATTCTACCGCAAGAAGCAGGAGGATATGAACCGCCCTGTCAACCCCCGAGAGCCCCTCAAGCGTACCGCAGATAACAACTGGGTTCATGTCACTTGCGCCGTATGGACACCCGAAGTCAAATTTGGCAACGCCAAGGCAATGGAGCCATCCGAGGGCATCCCTTCCATCCCGAGGTCCAAGTATGACGAGATCTGTCAGGCCTGTAACCAACAAGGTGGAGCCTGTGTGCCCTGCCACCAATGCCGTGTACCTTGTAAGTTTTTTTTTTTTTTTTTTCCTTGTTCAAGCTCCCGCCTGAGGCGGGCTCTAGGATGACTGGCAGACTAACCGAATAATAGACCACGTTGAATGCGCACGACAGAAAGGCCATGTTCTCGGTTTTGATATTGCCCCTGTCAAAAGCTCCCGACGAGACCAATTCAATATTGTTACAATCAACGGTGAGAGCGGGACCATGTCAGCCGTGCTATGGTGCAAAGACCATATTCCCACCAAGACGATTGTCCATCGGATCCATGATGTGGCCAGCGAGTCTGGACTGAATGCCCTTCAGCTATACGTCCAGAACTTTAAGCAGGCCGATCTTACCTTGACAGGAACGGTCCGCAAGGCCACGCTGATGGCGGCGGCAGCGAAGCTGTCTGGAGCTCCGATTCAACCAGGGAACCGCAGAGCATCTACAACGACGACCCCCAACGGCACCTGGACTCAACCGCGCAACGGTGAAGTGGTTGACCCTGGATCCAATGCCCAACATCCAGGAGAAAAGGTCTGCATTACTTGCGGCATAGACGTCACCCTGAGATGGTGGCCTATTGATAACTTGCAAGAGCGGAAGCTCACTAACGGACATCACGGGGCCATTGGCTCGGAAGCGCAAAAGTTTGTCGAGCAGCGGAAATTCCAGTGCCACAAGTGCCATAAACTGCGAAAGACTCCTCGCAGCCCGCGCCTGACTCTGCTACCCGGGCCGTCACCTCCACCGCCCGAACTTGCGCGTCCCCAGCCAATGGAAGCTTCCTTGATGACTCCGGTGCCTCCCTTGACAGGTTCAACACCGCCGCCCCTGATAGAGTATCGTGACGGACGTCATTCGAGCCACCCCCTTTCGTGGCCTCAACCGCCAAGTTCGCATGCCATACCGGCCGGATCGACTCCGCCATCCATCCCGGCGCCAGTTCATGCGCCGGCTCAAGTGGCAGGGCACCGTCCGGCTCCGGTATACCCACCAGCACCACTGCCGCCTACCAGGCCGCCCGCCTTTGGCGACTGGGCACCACATCGCCCTGGTAGTCAGCATGGCTCACCTCCTCGTCATCTCAACGGGGGTCCGCCTCCCCTCCTGCACAGCGCCCCCCCGCCGCCTCCGATATCGAATCTTTCCGCTCTCAGGCCACCTGCTATGGCTCCAACGGGAATGCCTGGCGGCCATCCACATGGGCACGCATACGGAAACGGGCTTCCCCCATCACCTCGACGCATGAGTGGGCCAACTGCTCCGGCGCCGTATGTTCCTCCCCCTTACCACGGGCATGGTGGCCACGGAGGACCCGTCCACCCCCCGGCTCACCTTATGGGCAACGGTGCACCGCCGCCGCCGCCGCCTCCGCGAACAGACGCATTCTCACATGGGTTACACCCTCAGCGGTCATCATACCCGCCAACCCCACATGCGAGCACTCCTATCCTGAGAACCGGGCCACCGCCTCCACCGCCGCAGTCTCATGAGCCGCCTCCAGCATCCGCACCTATGGGATCGAGACCTCCAGAGAGCAGGCCGGCCACAGGCGCGAGCACGAATCCATCTCTTCGCAATCTACTTTCTTAAACCGTTGGTTACGGATTCAGAATTAACCCGAGGAGCGTAAGACCGAGATTTGGGATTTGGGAATTGTTCTTTTGCTTGACGGAACGCTGTATTTTCTTCTTTTGTTTATTTATTTATTTTTTTTTTTTTAAAAAGGGAAGCGATCACTGGATGAGGATTTTGAAGCGATGACATTGCCAATATAGGTTCAAACCAAATCTGCTTAGATGGCGTACAACGGTGCGGGTTCTTTGGTAATGCCTTTTAGTGGACAATGACTTGATCCGTTCGATAGACGGGAATACTTTATGTACGTCATGATTTAGGAAAAGTGAAGCATAGCATATTATATTGGAAATATTTGATTTCGTTGTCTGCCTGCAAAGCTTCGTCGTAACGATTATTGTGTGAGTATCTGTGACACTGCCGTGTATTTGTGCAAGTAAATGAACGAGAAAGAATAGCACTGGGTGCCCTCTTGATGTTTGAGGCTGAAGTAAGATGGTGTATTCAAATTACCGAGTTATCTCTTCCTCAGCTAGACTATGCCTGTACAGGGCCACCCTGGGTTCCCCCAAGATGAACTCTTTGCACCTCTAGATGTAGATGGATGGGAACTGTGCCAGTAGCATATGCAGTCTCCTTATTGAATGACCAATATGAAAAGTTGTAAAGTGGGTGTACCCATCTCTGAGTACATACTCAGAAAACGCTCTCCTAGATACTGTAGATACTGCAACTAAAAAGTCTACACAGCACTTTTCTCTATAGGGAAAGTGTCACTGCTACACGGCATCTAGAGGTTGCTGTTGATGGTGGTGGAGTTGGCTTCGCAGTGGCCAGCTGAGTTGGTAGATGGGTGATACTATTTGTGAAACCTGGCGTGTGACACCAGAGCTTATGCTACCCACCTTCTCCTTTTTTGTTCATTTCCTTTCTTTTAATGCTAATTTATTTTTCACTTCACTCAACATGGTATCCCGTGTAAGGTAGTACGTGATGTTAAAGCGAACGAGATGCTTGATTCCGAGTTCCACCAGGCCCAGAATAGTGCTGTTCACATTAGGCTCTCTCTTTCAGAATATGTTTGCTCGCGCCGCTTCTTATTGAACGCTTTTTGGTTGATCAGAATGATCTTCATCTAGCCTTCCAGAAGAAGGTTGCCTCCTACTCATTGAGGACGTAGATGATTTCCCAATATACCTGCAAACATTGCCTAAAAGCCGCTTCAGTCTGCGTGAAATGCTTCGTTTTCCTAACCACCTTAGAGAATATTGATACGCTATACATTTTGCCAAGCACTGCAGGCGCTCAGGAGTATCGTCAGGCCTCTCTGAAGTTTTCAGTGTTCAGGAAAGATGGATGGCGAGAATTTCTTGTACATACAGACGTTGTAATTCTATACACAATTGAGAAATAGGACCATCGCCATCACCAAGACGGATGATGTTCAAAGTAGACTAAGGGAGCCAATTGGAAGCGTTTCAATGAGAACGAAGTACTCAGGCGCTTCAGCTGTGGTGGAAGATAGCTTGGTGGATTGTACAGAAAAGCGCGAGTCAGCTGTGATGAGATGCTGTACAATTCGCTGGCGAGAGGCAGACTCGCTGTCATTGATGTCTATTTTCAATATCGATATCTTCTGTGTCTGCACAGCGAAGACACCAATAAATGCATGTTCGACGTGATGGGCTCTGCGGCCGTACGCTGTGCCTCTCGCCATTCCATGGTGGGCGTTTTGGTGGTGGTGAGTGAGTGAGGTGTGTTGAGCAAGAGAGATGAAAGTGTGGATTAATACAAACATTTTCTATTAGTGATACTAGAGATACTAGAGATACTAGAGATACTAGAGATACTAGAGATACTAGAGATACTAGAGATACTAGAGATACTAGAGATACTAGAGATACTAGAGATACTAGAGATACTAGAGATACTAGAGATACTAGAGATACTAGAGATACTAGAGATACTAGAGATACTAGAGATACTAGAGATACTAGAGATACTAGAGATACTAGAGATACTAGAGATACTAGAGATACTAGAGATACTAGAGATACCAGAGATACCAGAGATACTAGAGATGCTAGAGACGCCCTGGTAGATGTCGACGATATCTGCCATCAAGTTGGCACACAGCCTTTCCCATTGAAGGCCCTTGGGGTTGAAGATCCTCCTCATGGAATAGGTGTCCTGAGCCCGGACCTATAAAAGATTAGATAGAAAGCTACCATAAGCTCGTGTACCTACCTTGCTATTGTCGGTAATTTCATTCCACTGGTATTCTAAACAAGGGTTTGTCCTGTCTAGGGTCATGCTAAACTCGGACTTGCCCGTCCGAAAGGTTGGATAATGCCACAAACAGCACAGAGCTGCTTTCTTTGGACCTGATGGTTTCGACATCAGGGAATAACGGAGTCGTCCAGCCCGGCTCCTTGGAATTGCCCTACGACGTTGGTCCAAGATTCGTCTATGCCGACGTCGTGGGTGGCTCAGGTCCGGCCATTGTCGCCGTGAAAGGCGTCCTTATTTACAGCGACGGAGTCATAGGCGACTGGGTTTTCTAAAAAGCGAACAACGTCCTTTTTTCTTTCCTCTTCAAGAATCTGAGCAAATTAGCGTGCTAGATAGCCACTCCCCTCTAATAACGATGCTGGACACAAGTTTCTACGGAGGAGCTGAGGCTGCGGCTGCATATGCGAGGAAATGATTATTGGATTCTTGGACTCTCTAGAAGTTGATGATAATTGAATGGCGGCGATTGCATTTCTCAATGGGAATGAGATGGATGGCCTACTAAGCCACTCTTATTACAGAGAAGGCTTCTCTGTGCAGTTGCTAATTTTAGAAGCGCCCAGATGATGACACTATGCCTCGTGTGTATTTTTAGTAAGATTTGGACATTTTGTGAAATATACCCCAATTGGATCAATATTTGGTTAAAAAGGAGGAATATTTCAATCTCGAAATGAAAGGAATAAAAGGAATGGCCATCTATCATCATCCTGTGTTCCCAATGACATGACACAGAATATTTGGGGGAGGTACAAGAGATGGAGATGCTTAGAGGTAGGTACCTTATTAGTGCGGGATGAATCTCAAATATCCTACTAGGTACCTTATGTACTTGAAGAACCAGATAGATAAATGTATTCTTTCTGCATCTCGCAGTAACATGTTCAATACCTTGCAATGTAGACTCTATAGAATCAATACAAACAAACCCAGATTGATTCCGTGCATGGGGCATCTCGTCATCATCCTCCCTCTGAAACAAAAAGGCAAGGCTGTGCTTGTGCTGGGTGGGGCCGAGTCTTGGGTCTTGGGCATTGGGAGGGAGCTCTTTTAGTAGCTGACACGATTAACATGCATCTGAGCTCGCCAAGTTCAATGTTTTCCCTTGTCTTCTTCTTCTTCTTCGCATAGGACAGCTTTTCACCGTAAACAAACGCCCGTCGTCACCATGGCGCAGATATTCGCGGACCTGTTTTATTCCTTTGGCAATTGCCTCAACTGCTTCCCGGGCTCGCCGACGCTCAAGATCAACAGCCGCAGCTTCAAGATCCAGCGTCTACTCGGCGAGGTGCGCAAACACATGAACCAGCCTCCCCTTCACTCTTCACTCTTTACAGTTTCTTTGTAGCTAACCAGGCGATTCCTTCAAAACCACAGGGCGGCTTCTCCTACGTCTACCTCGTCGAAGACACCTCCACGCACGAGCTCTTTGCGCTCAAAAAGATCCGATGTCCCTTCGGCGCCGAGTCCGTCCAGCAGGCCATGCGCGAGGTCGACGCCTACCGGCTCTTCGACCACGTTCCCACAATCATCTCGGCCTACGACCACTCCGTGGCGACGGACCGCGGCGGCGGCACCGGCGACGACGCCAGCAAGACCGTCTACGTCCTGCTGCCCTACTACCGCCGCGGGAACCTGCAGGACATGATCAATGCCAACCTCGTCAACCACGGCCACTTCCCCGAGCGTCAGCTCATGATGCTGTTCCTCGGCGTCTGCAAGGCCCTGCGCGCAATGCACGAGTACCAGCCCGCCCCTGCTGAGCGCATGCAGATGGGCCGCGAGGAGGACCATGACGAGGCTGCCGAGGGGTCTCGAGGCGGCCGCAAGTTGGGAACGAGGGGGAAGCGCACCGAGGAGGAGGAGCAGGGCGAACATGAGCGGCCGCTGATGGACTCGGAGAACCGCATTGAGGGCGAGTCCGGCGGCAAGATCAAGTCGTATGCGCACCGCGACATCAAGCCAGGTGAGCCCAAAAGAAAACAACCGCTGCGTTGACAATAATTATTAACATGTATATTTCCCCCCAGGCAACATCATGATCGACGACTCGGGCTCCATCCCCATCCTCATGGATCTCGGCTCCGTCGCCCCCTCGCCCACCCCCGTCACCTCGCAGTCCCTGGCCCTGCAAATCCAGGACACCGCCGCTGAGCACTCCACCATGCCCTACCGCGCCCCGGAGCTCTTCGACGTCCGCACCGGCACCGTCATCGACACCAAGACCGACATTTGGTCCCTCGGATGCACCCTCTACGCCTGCCTCGTCGGCAAGTCGCCCTTTGAGCTGCGCTCCGACGAGACCGGCGGTACCCTCAGCCTCTGCGTCCTCGGCGGCGACTGGCGCTTCCCCGACGAGAACCCCGGCGGTGGGCCCAAGCGCACAAACACCATCCAGGCGGCCAAGGCCAAGGCGAGCGGCGAAGCTGGCGCCGGTGGCGGTGGCTCTTCCGGAGACGTCAACATCAGCGAGCCCATTCGCAATCTCGTCCGGGCCTGTCTCAAGGTCGAGCCTGCCGAGCGGCCCAACATTGATGAGCTCATCACCATGGTTGAGCAAGTCATTGATGAGCTGCCAGAGGGCGACTTTACATCATGACGCTGATTTTGGTTTCACTTCTTTTTTGCTTGATTATTTGTTTGGGAATATGGATGCGATGCGAGCCTGCACATACCTTAAAGTTTGATGGAGCTGTCTACTATTCATGACATATCACTAGGGG